TTTCTTGAACTTTGAGTATTTTTTGTTGACACAGTGCAGAGTAACTGCATGAACTCATCTGAGCTGTAGTACACAGCACAAGTTGTTTGTAAATGAAAAAGTTCAAACACTGGTCTGACTGGAAAATCTCCTCCTCCCAGAGTCTAACTGACACAAAGATCATCAGCAGCAGCTCCCGCTTCAGTCCCATGTCAGTTCTGCGAGTTCCCAGTGAAACGGACCTCAGCCAGAGCTACTCCCAGCAGTCTTTGCACCGCAGCGTCAGTCAGCTGATTGACAGGAAGTCCCTGATGCTCGAGGAAGGAGGTTGGGACAATCCACTGGGACAAGATTCAGGACTGGTGAGGACAGAAATGAGTTTAAGCTAAATGAGCGTGTTATAATTTTGGAAAAACACATACTTAAAAAATTCTGTATAAAAGATCTTGACTATGAAGCAGGAGAGCAACTTTTACCTGAAAGCCCCTTAACTTTTCACACTGATACAAATCAAGAGCTCAACATTATCCTCACTGTCAAAGACGTTCTGCCAAATGAGGCGCCTTCTGGCTGAGCGATTCAGCGTAACCCAGGTACAGAGGCTGCAGCCGGGCCATGACCCTTTAGTGTCTGTTATTCTCTTCTCTTCTTCCCATATCCCCAGTCTCTTTTCAGCAATTCTATCTGATAAAGGCAAACATTGTTTACAAAAGAAAAAGATACTCTGAATGAATTAAAATATTTTTAAAAAGAATGGAGAAGAAAAAGCAGACAAAAACAGAGAAAGCAAGAGACAAAGAAAAAGAAAGATGGAAAGAGAAAGAATGAGGAGAGAAGAGAAAGAATGTATAAATGAATAATGAACAAAGACAAAAATGAACAAGAAGAAAGAGAAAGAATGTAAACAAATTAATAAACAAACAAAATAGAAAAAAATGTATTCATATAGAGAATAAAATCAAAAAAGAAAAAGTATAGAAAAGAGAATAAAGAAAAACAGGAAGAGAAAGAATAAATAAAAATGGATAAAAAGGAAGCAAGAATAGTGAAAGAATATAGTATAAAAGTTACAAAGGAGAAAGAAAAGAAAAAGAGATGTGAAAGAAAGTTGAACAAAAAGACAATCAAGTCTAAAAAGGGTTAAGAAAAGACAGTAAGTACAAAAGAAAGATAGAAAATGGAAAAAGAAGAAGGTTCAAGACAAAAAGAAAGTTAGAGACCAAAAAGTAAAGTGTTAAGTTAATAAATTAGACAGGAAGGGAAAAAAAGGAATGATAGAGAGTAAATGATAGAGAGATGACCGAAGAAGTAGAAATAATGAATAGGAAAAAAGATTTTACAAAAGGAAGAATTAAGAAAGAAAAACAAAGAAGAAAGAAAGAAAATAAGAAAAGACAAAGAAAACAAAAGGAGAGAAATACAGACAGAAAGAGAAACTAAACGAAGGGAAGGAACAAAGTGAAAGAAAGAAAGAGAAAGTGAATTAATTAATGAAGGGACAGCGAAGGGAATGATGGGAGGTAGGAAGGTCCTGTGAGGACGCTCTGATTTGAACACAGAATTATCTTTTCGTTAGCTGTTCATGTCTTCAAGAAATACTCATTTCTTTCACAGTAAAATGAGTCACAAATTGAAAATACCGGCTGTGAAAAAGTAAAACAGCGTACTTTGATAAACCGCTGGAAGTTCCTTTTTCTGAATTCCCGCCCTGTGGTTGTGGTTTCAAGAGTGAATAATGTAGAAATGAGACCGTCTCACTAACAGTCTAATTATTTTCTTTAGGTCACAAAGAGGCATTGGTATCAGTTTCAGTTTAGCAGACTCAGTCCTCAGAACTGTGTGCTCCACTGTTAACAGAGTGTTACTGCAGAGCAGACAGTAGTCAGCACATAAATTTAATGAAATTGTTTAAAACGTGAAATAACTTCAATAAGTCAACATAGCAGCTTTCTGAGTTTCTTTCAGTAGTGTAGATGAAAAATAGAAAATGTATATTTCCATTCCAGCAGGATTTGTTTGCACAAACAGTGTAGGTCACCTTTACTGTTAGAACAGGAATAAAAAGCTGATCAAAGTCATTCTTATTCTTCAGAGTACCATTAGTATCACATTATCTCAGTCTCTGCGCTGACAGGACTGTTGTCAAACTGTTACAGGGTTTCTTCTCCTTCAACAAAAAGAGTCATTTTAGGTCAGAGTGACGGGAGATATGGGAAGGACATAGCGTGGAGAGACTTGTGGCAAATGTTTGAGGGAAAGACCCCAAACCTGTGTTGACTATGAGGACCATAACATTTCCCATGGGGTGACCAATCTACTGGTGCAGATACACTGAGTGCAGAGTGTTGTAGAGCTTTTAAAGACCTGGGTTCTTGTGTGTTTTCTTTCAGTATGTGGAGGAAGATGAGTTTGTGGACGCCATCAAAGCATTCAATTCTGGGAAGAAGGAACACACTATGTTCACTGACACTCATCTTTAGGACAACGTGCCAGCACCGAGTGGAAAACAGATCAATGCCTGAAGTTATATTGACATATGGAGCTCTTACAAAACTCTTAAAAAATGTTCATGCAGTGTGAGTTATTAATCACAGCTGAGGACCAGTTTGACTTTTAAAATGATAGTGGGCCATTTTTAAATGATACCAGGATTATATGTTGTAAGACAGCCAACATCAGAGTGAAGGGATTTTGAAAAATTAGCGTGTAAATTTTATTTATAAAGCATGTTCAAAAAATTACAAAGTGCTTCACAAGTGCGGAACGAACAACTAAACAACACAGATCAAATGTGTTGCTTCCAGCACAGACTTTGAGTCTCTGTGCCCTAACTTAAGTTGAGGAAATAATGTAAAAGCAGCTCTGTTTTAGACACTATCAGCTGTAAATTGAAAGGATAAAAACCACAGTATAGTGTTAAGAATATAAAATCATGGCAGCCCGTTTGTTATGATCAAATGTCTCCACTTTACTGGTAGTAGTTTAGTTACCTTGAAGATCACCTCACCTTTAGCAGGTCTGTGTCTCTTTTTTTTAAATCACGTAAAAGTTTCTGCCACCTCTTCTGTGCCTAGTTACACAAACTTGCTTGTCGTCAATAGCAATAACGCTTGACGTGATATAACACATGGCCTTCATGTTAGTTTGGTAACGAAATGCCAACCGTTTCTTTATTTAATGTTATGTTGCTGAAATTCACAGATGTGCCGTCGTGTATTATACAATGTTAGAGGATGTGACTTACAGAGCTGAATGTGAACTTTTGTATTTATCTTTGATGTTTTATCGCAATGAAAAGAAAAAAAGGAACTGAACATAGCAGATGAAGCTTTGTTGTTAGTATTAAGTTTGACTGTCAGGGTTTGATTTTATAGTGAAGCTTCATCATGAATGTGATCTCATGAGAATATGACATCCCTTCAGTGTTCCTGTTGTAGGTGATTGAAAAGTTTAGGCTGTGATTAGTTACGTTTTTAAAAGGTTGGTGTATAAAGTGATCAGAAACTGAACATTGTAGAGACAGTATTTATCAGAATAATATAAAATATAATATCTGAGTAATGTTGATGGTGTTTTGTGTACAAAGTCGAAGCTTGTTCTTTGGTTATGAATTGTTTTTTTTTTTTACATTTGCAGTATTATTTATGGTTGTTGTATAAAATGTCTGATATAGAGGTGATCCATGGAAAGTCTTTGTGTTCATGTGGGACATTAAAATAATGGTTCAGTGGTCGAGATGATTCTCTTTTGTCCTGGTGTCATTTCTATCTAAACATATTTACTCCTTTAATCTCTGACACAAAAATATTATGGCCAGAAAATTCAAATATTTCTGGAGCTGAAATGTTTATTTCACTTACTACTGAAAACCAAAAAATTCAAAATGTCCTTAAAATTTTAACAAATATATTTATTTATCTCACTTGATACATAAGATGTTTTTGGAAACTGATAAACTACAAGAGGACATTTTTATGATTTTTTTTGGACTGTATTCAGGTGTTTTTTTTAGTAATTGGTTGACCATATTGGTTTCATTGAAGTATATAAAAGTATGTATCAAATAGGATACAAAAGGCAATAAAGGGTTAAGTTTTTGGTGCACTGAGGAGTAAACAGTTCCGCGCTGGTCCCAAAACTACTGAAAGCCTGTTAAATTTCTTTGGCTGCGGATGATATTGTCTATTTGATTCAGAATGAAGAGGAAAACCAGATATTTACCCCCAGATATTTACAACTCTGTTATGAAAACTGAAGAAACGCTGTCTATGGGGCCTCATTATGATAAACAATAATGAATAGCTGGTCACTGTGCCACACCAGAAATGTTCTGTCTTGAGACTGCTCCAAGTGATCCATCTGAAGTTGAAATGTGAGTTTTGGAAGTCTCATCTGCTGAGTTAGTAAAACACAGACGTCCAGTCACACACACACACACTGGCACAAACACACAGAGGGCCACTATCTCCATCAAAACCATGCAGCAGTAATTTAGTTTTGCTGCTGCGTCCCTTCAGGGAACATCACGCCAAGTTTGAAATTAACAAAGTGGCAGTAACAAGCGTGCCCCCGCTCAAGGACAGCAGTCTGACAAGGACACTTCTAAAACATTCACAGCCACATTCACAGCTATTGTCAGCCACGCAGGGAGGGAGAGGCTGTGAAAGGAAAGCTGCTGGAGTGATTGTAAGGGACAGTATGGCCCTGAGCTACACACACACACAACACACACACACGCAGGGTTTTATTAAACTCATAAATCATGATGACGACAGACGGCGTCTCAGAGAGGAGACTGTCTGAACGGGAAGGTTAGTGAAATGAAAGTGTTTGGGAGACACACACACACACACACACCTCTGACACTCAGACAAAACAAAATGTGAAAATGTGAGCACTGTCAGGTTCTTCTCAAACCAAGCACTACCAAGTCAGTGGTGAGCGGCTGCGTGTTTGGTTCAAGTTCAACTCCATGGCATTGTTTGGAATCATCCTCTCAAAGTTTTGTCACTACTTTTGTTGATCAGATTTCACAGGAAACCTTCTCTTGAGTTAACGTCTTATAAAGAAACGGTCAGCATGGAAAAATGGTAGCACACGTTTATTTGATAAATGCCAGTTGAGCTCGTTTTGAGAGTTCTCGTCAGGTTTCGTATCGTAAACAACATGTAGACTCAAAGTTAAATGTGGAAACTGTTTGATAATGGCTCAATATTATAAGCATTTCTGATAATATCACAGCATAATGCAGCGTACATACACAATGTCAAACACTGATGTACAGGGCAGTTGAAACAAACAGATATGTATTCTTCCAGCTCACTCACACCTGGCTATAATATCATGTAAACATAGCCAGAGAGGAGTGAGAGATGACAGATACAGACAGTCAAACAGTTATGTGCTGAATACACTTTAAACTTCATATTTTTTTTAATATATAAAATAAACACTAGTAAGTTACTTTAATATTAGTCTTAAGAGTGCAAGTGCAAATGCAGTTAGGTCCAATAGCATGGTAATGGAGATATAGGCAATAAATGATTATCAATGTAATGTTATTATGTAATGAGCAACAGTGTACGATTCAACATCATCACACACATCAACGCGTCCTTGTTAGGAGTTTGTTCTGAATATGTATGTTTACGTTACACACAGTAAAGTGAGACACAATTTACATCTTTGTACAGACAGGAGGAGATCACATGATCAGCTCAGCGTGCAACCCTGAAACGGAAAGCAATGAGGCTGAAAACTGTCAAAATAAGGTCACATAGCTGCTTGATTTGGCAAATGATGGATCAGGTGATTTCTTTCTGCGTATTTGCCTTTAAGCCTCGGAAATATGTTTTCAGTGTTCTCCAGAAAAAGTGATAAAAAAGTACCGTAGATCCAGAGTGTATCTGGTTTTCTTTTTTTTATGAAAACACAAAACAGTGTGGAGATCATAAAGTAGCTAACAAAATTAGCATGCTCATCTACGCCGATCAATGCTCCGACCATCCCACTTTCATCTCCATTTAATGCCTTTATAACATTATCATCTCAAAGGTGCACGTGTTTCTTTCAATCACATCATTTTTGACCCTTTTACACTGTAGAGTTAATGAGATGTTTCATACGAACTCAAAAGATCATGCTAAAGATGATTATCCTCCTTGTTTGTGGAGGTCGTACAGATGTTCCAGTTTAAGTCAGTATCATCCACTGTATTTAATAGTAGTTAACTTTTTCTTATGTGATGTCTATCAGTCAAACCAACCACTCTTAAAGTCTGGTCTGGTGTCGGTCCATCGTAAGACAAATCTATCAAGAATCAGTCAGGCCCATACTGTGGCTCCACAACGAGCTCAGCCTTCACACACCTTTGGTCTGAATCCTTTTCAACCAAAACACACACACACACACACATACATCCACAAACACACGTGCTGATAACCGTCAAACAAGTAAAATAAGGCACTGCAACAGTCATCCAAAACTAAACAAGACAAATAAAAAGATGTGTCAGAGTAAAGTGATGTAGTGTAGGTCCTTGATCTACTAAAGTGTAGTAGATGTCCTGTAAAAATGAAGAAAATATATCTATACTGCAAAAAAAAGAGGTGTGATCTTGCGCAGGCACCACATATAATAATCGATGATTACCCTCTGCTCTCTCTCTCTGCTTCTGTAAAAGTTTCTACGACTGATCAATATGAATGATTTCTTCCTGCTCAAAATGAAGATTCACTTGTTTTCAAATTTGCACTTAAAATTAAAACCCTTTTTTTAAAGCAGACATTTAGCAAATTAGAAACTATAAATGTCAGAGTTTCCAGATTTCTTCTTGGCTGTCAGATGCTTCGATGCTACTTTTGCAGAAAATAATGTCATTTGTCTGTCACTATATGAGCCTGACATCAGCATTCAGCACCACCAAAGCTAACATGTCATCTATGTGTTAAAGTCCACAGTCACTTCCTTCTCACGGAGCCATCAAACACCAGGATTTACTGCATACTGGAATAATGGCAAAGTTGCTGTACTGCTCAAGAACTTTTGGTGTCAGTCATTCAACTATTAGCGCTGTGTCTCAGACTGCAGCATTCAGATTCAAGTAGCTGCCAGGGTTTTGGCCTGGGTGACATGTTTAAGGTAAACTTCTGGAGTTATTTGTATTGCACATACCTTATCAGACACTTGACAGGGTTATTATGAATTCTGTCGTCTAAATGCGTTTTTTTCAAAAGGAGCCTGATCCTTTTGAAAAACAATCTTTAAAGCTTGTGTGAGGAACTTTTCATTTGTCTGTGGCCCCAGAAGACAATAACTGTTACTGTACCAATTGTAGTTTGTGTTTTCTGAGTGAAAAAGTCGGAGTATACAGATGTCTTTGCTAAAGGGATATTCCAGCGTAAAATTAATTTATGGTCAAACACACTGTAACACTGAGTTAGACACACACTTTGAGAGATGAATGTTGCCGACCGCTTGCTTCTCTAGTCAAACCAACTTAGGTAACAACCGCACGATAGCAATACACAGAGGTCTGAGGAGCCATAAACAAACCTCAACCAAATCGCCACTCTATAACCACAAATAATGCTCAGAACAGCACCTAACTTCATCAACAGTACATATAGGGTCCCAGCCATAGTACTAGCCACCAAACATCTTTTTAACTTTGCCTAATTTCTTTAGCAAAGAGACTAAACACAACTCACCTACTCTCTTCCAGCAGCCACTTGTTTGTAGCAAGACCTCAGGCCAGTCCATCAGGACTACAGCGGGATGACATATGGTGATAATTACTCCAAGGAAATGATAAAGTAATGATCATAAATGTTCTTCCTTGAGCTGCGTCACCCCGCAGCAGTCAATGGACTGGTCAAGGTCTCGCTACAAACAAGCGGCTGCTGGAAGAGAGCAGGTGAGTTTTGTTTAGTCTTTTTGCTAAAGAAATTAAGCAAAGTTAAAACAATGTTTGGAGGCTAGTACTATAGCTGGGACCCTATATGTGGCTATGGAGTGGCTTTTTGGTTAAACGCATGGCTCTTGAGACCGCTGTGTATTGCTATCGTGCAGCCGTTACTAAAATTGGTAACTTGGTAACTTACTAAAATAACTAGAGAAGCAAGCAGTCGGCAACATTCATCTCTCGAGGGGGTGTCTAACTCAGTGTGTAATTTTACGCTGCAATATCCCTTTAAGTCAGTATTCCTTTCACTAACAGTTTAAGGTCATCACTAGACAAAGCCCTTCTTCAATAGTGTTTGAAACTCTCACTCAAATACTCAAGCTCTGCTACTAATGTTTCCCTTTGCAGACCTTGATAGGTTGATGAATTGAAGAGTCAATCTGTCTGTATAAAAGCGTCCCAACAATCCAAACACACAGGAAAAATGCCCTCAGTGACACATGGTCAAACAGACACTAGCATGTTTCTCTTGTTGCTGTAAGTTGGTCATAATGTGAGCGTCAAAAATGGAGTGAGAAATCAGCTTCAGTGGCTCTAATGGCTGATTGGATACTGAACATACTGCTCTCATACGCAAAGTCAGAAGGCTTAGAAAGCGCCATCTCCAGTTGTACCAAGCGAGTTTGAAAGAGTGGTAGAACTTGAAGAGTTTGCAAAGATCAAAAACAGAATGCACTCCTGCCCCAGCTGAGACGGCATGCTGTTAGCTCATGCTGCATAACAACGTTTGGACTCTAAAGTATGACGACACTGACTTCAAATATAAAAGCTTTAAGATTTCAGTGCAGGGAGCAAACGGAGTAAAGGCGAGTCCTGGGGAACAAACTCATCTAGGTCTTTCATCCAGTTACCTCATTTAAAAACCTGTTTCAGCTGATGCCATGTTCCTCTTCTGATAAGATGCACCAGCAGGGGGCCTCACTAATAAAACTACTCTGATGCAAAAGTCACGAGGGGTCAGAGGGGCAGATACACCGTCACAGGCTGCTGTCCTGATTGGACAGCTCGGTGGCCAGCTTCCTGTGTCGTGGTGAGGTGGAGGAGGAGAGTTTGGTTGGGGAAGGGGAAGCATTGGAGGATGAGTCGCTGCCCCCACCATCAGAGCCAGAGGGGAGGGAGGAGAGGTGAGGGACTGGAGGCGCCCTCTTCCTCCCTAGGAAGCCTCCTTCTAGCACCCCTCTCTTCCTCACACCTCCGTCTGCTTTCCCCCCATCTCCCCCTGACCCCACAGTCTCGCCTTCCTCTGGTTGCTGGAGCACCTTTCGCCTAACATCACCTCCGGGAATGGGGCTGTCAGGAGGGTGCTTTGGGGACTCTGGACCACCTTCAGCCTTCATCCCACACAGGCCCCCAATAGATGTAGAAGAGCTGGAGCTGGCTGTTCGACAGGCCCACAGCTCCATCACCGACGATCTCCTCTCGCTGTCGTCAGGCCCAAAGTCACAGAGCGAACGCCGGCCGTCAGGGGGCTGGCTGGGGCCCTGTGAGTCCAACATGCCCCGACTCAGGCTGAAGTTCTGGAAGTCTCTGTGAGGAGTAAGACGGAGGACAACTCAGCCTTCTTCAACCATGAATATGATATCATCAGAGTGAGATCTCTGAAACTTCACACAGACCCTCACTCCTGACTGTAAGATACCACAGCACTGCACTTTTTCCTGCTCTAGTCACACCTGATTGGTCAAGAACTCTAGATCTGGTTATGCAAGACATGGACTGATGTGTGCCCCCCAAAAAACAAGAAGACAAGTTTTAATCGTCGAGCCCTTTGATGATAAAATAAATCTCTTCTAAAGCCCTCTTGTATCGTTCCAGTTTAACAGGTTTGTGAATTATCATCTTCATTTTCACTTTCACAGAAGAATGAATTTGACTTTTAGTTTATGAGTGCATCAAAAAATAAAAATGGTACACAGCCACCGTGTTTTAAAAGTTGCTGTTAACACCTTTATATGAGGGCGCCCTTTTTTTAAACAGAAGACAAGTTAATAAGAGCAGCTGCTGAAATCTAAATCTTGAACCACAGCTGAGGGTTTCTCACTGGTCACTCACTTTTTGCGCTGACACTCTGATATACCATTTTGCGTTTCAAATGTGTAAAGATCTTTACCGGTAGCTGTGGAAGGACTCTGTTCTCCTGGCACGGGCCAGCAGTGGGCTTTCTCTGTAGGGTCGCACTGCTCCGTAAGTAGGCTGGCTCTCAGGGATGGGCTCCTGGGTCTGTAGCTGCAGACTATTAGCAATACAGAGGAAGATTTGTAAGATTGTCAGAAGTTCATGAAAGAAATCTTTACACAGCAATAAGGGCAGAGGATGACAACTGACTGGCTCAGAGTAAAGAAAGTAAAAAGTTGTTCTTGGATATCAAGTCCCTGACTTTTATACTTTTCCTCCTAAAAATAAACCTGTAACATCATATATGTTTGAACTTCCTCCCTCCTCACCTTGAGCAGGACTCTCGGAGGCGTGTGTGATGCAGCACAGAGGGGGCGGGGCTAATATTTGGTGTAGCACAGCGAGACGTGCTCAGGTCGCACTGGTCCAGCAGCTGCAGGAGCTCTTCCTCTGTCGGCCCGCCCACATCTATGACAACAAAGGTAACTTCAGAACATACGCATCTACATCCACCCCCTCCTTTTTCTCTTCTGCTGTCTCTTCCCTCACCCTCTCTCTTTTTCTCCTCTCCTTTATTAGCCGTGTCCATGGCTGTAGTCAGGTCCCACATCTGGATGCTGCCGTTGCCGTGACCCGTGAAGAGATAGCGGCGTGGTCGAGATCCCATCCGGCTGGAGCCCTCACACTCCCGTACCATGAAGCAAGTGATGGTGGTCCCATCCACAGACTGTACCTCACAGATCCTGACACACACAGATACACACATGTCAACATGTCAGCAGTCACTCGACAGAACTGCTGACTCAACCTTTCTGCTGGTCAGCCTAACTAGAGGCAAGGAGGTGGAGTTGAAGTGGCCCTTAGACCTCCTTGCTATCTGCTAGTGTCAATCTGTCAATGAAGTCAGCCATAAAAGATCCAAAACTTATGTAGTTGTTTTAAATGATCCACTCCCCTCGATATAGAGTGTGACAAAAAGCTGTTTGTAAGCCAGACTGAAAACATGTTTACTTTGGCATGTATATTTCTGGATAGGTGTATATGTTGTTTCTGGAGGTCTTGCAGTCAGCCTCAAGTGGACATTTGTGGAACTGCAGCTTTTAGCACTTCCCATAAGCTTCATATCTAAAAACCAGAGTTTACCAAATGGTCAAATAAAATCACTCAAATTTATAGATAAACTGAAAAACACTACACAGGTGCCCAGCCAGCTCAGCCATTACTCATTGCTGCCAACATACCTGGGCTCTGGTTATGACAAGGTGTAAACATTATTTACAGAAACTGCAGAAAGACTGAACTTTATATGTGATACAATAAGACCAACTGAGGGGGACAAACAGAGGTAGATGGAGAATATTTTACCTCTTTCCAGTAGATGAGAGCCTCACAAAGAGTTTGTTGGTGATGGGGATCACCTTCTGTATGAAAACCTGCTGATCGTCTCTCTCTCCAAACGGACCTGAGAACAGGAAACAAAGTTAGTGTCTAAACACAGGTCAGCTGTTTCATGTAGGTATAAGAAGCCTCACAGTTTGTAAAAAAAATGATTAAAATATAGTAACAAGTTTCAAACATTTTTGCACGATTACCTTTTTTACTAACTTATGATCTCTTTGATCAAATTAAAATAAAAAACTGTATTCTGTTTCCTCATTCAGGTCTGTTTTAAGTGTAAGGCTTTCACTACACATGTTCACACATAAAGGTTTGAGTGTGCCAGATATCAACATTGGTGCTACCTAAAAAGACTGAAACCTACTTTAGAGTTTCAGAGTGTTATCTCTCTTCCTAGGACAGAACCTAGGACTTCCTCCTCATAAACTGACCACAGCTCCCTCATGCTGCCTTCATGTTTATTCTCTGCTCTCTTCTCTTACCTATGTCGTTTCCAGAGCAGTAGCTCCCGTGGCTCTCTGTCTCCTCCAGTGAGAGGATTTTGAAGGAAGCCAGAGGGGTGGAGCCCGGCTGGGTGGAGATCATCCCTCTGAACCGGGTCACTGTCCACGTCCGAACGTGATTGTTGTCCGCGCACACTGGATCACAGACCATACATGATTTCGATGAGAGGTCTACAGGTTTAGTACTCTATTGCTTAACCGAGCTCTATCTTTACCACCATGGATCCTTGTATCTGTCCCCCTCTCCTCACCTGACACCAGATGTTTCTCTGACAGCATGATCTTCGTCACAGGGCTCCTGTGTACAGTGAATGTCTGAAACAGCTGAGGTCCTGATCCCACTGTCTCTGGGTGCTGCACGATCACTCTCACTGCACCGCTGCTGGTCCCATAGGCTATCTCGATCCAGTTACCACTCACACCTGAAAACACAGAGAGATTGAAAGAAAAACTGTTAACTGGTTTATAACTATAAGAAAACCATTTTAAGTGTATTTTTTTTTAATTGTTGCTCTTCTGGAGAAAGGCAATCGTAGTAAATTACTGACTGGTTTTAGGCGTGAGGTAGACGGACAGGGCAGTGATGGCATCGTTTGAGGGGTCATGATAAAGTTCAGTCACCAGAAGATCATTATCCTTCATCCTCAGAGGAAACTTTTGCATGTCTAAAGAAGAAGAAGAGACGCATTGATGTTTAAACATATTTTTATAACCTGGATTCAGAATCAAATCCCTTCATTAAAACCTTCCGATAATTCAAACAGTCAAGAGAAGACACAGTATGTGCTCAAACAAAGAGCAGGGTAGTGATGTCCTGTTTTGTAATGGTTTAGACTTCACACATCTCATTTAATCTGACACCATGTTGGTACATGTATATGTGAGTCAAACATGTATGTATGTACCGATGTAGTAGATAGAGCCGTTGTTGCAGCCCAAAAGAAGGAAGGATCCCGCTGTGTCACAACTGGTAATAGGAACCACATCTTGAACCTGATACACACACACACACACACACACAAATTCACCCACATCAGTGCACAGTTGTGTCTATGTAGATTTACCACTGAGCAACACCAGAAGTGAAATAAAAGACTATAAAAGTCTCTACACTGTCACCAAGACCCCAATTAAACCCTCCAGATAAGTTCATGCACCAAGCAGAAAAGTAAACTCTAAAACATGTTTAATCAGTCCTCTATTCATACATACACACACTCCCTCCTACCTGCCAGTGCTGTGTGACGGCATTCCACACCCCGACCTTGCCTGTGTGGCTTGTGGCCACCAACTGGTTCCCAATAAAGAAGAGATCATCCACAGGTACGCCCAGACTGAACACACCTGGAGTGATGGGGAGACAGAGGAGGCGGTGTGGAGGCTGAGTCACAGAATGCAGGAGGTCGAAGGAATCACAAATACACCGATTGTAAAGAAAAAAAAAAAAAAAAGCAAAAATCTCCTTTTTCCAATCTAGTTTGGTGATACATTGAGGTGCAAAAACGCAAGTGCACACAAGAGCTCCAGCTGAAAACAATATGAGATCTCTTTAAATGATGCTCCCAAGGAACAAAAGGGGAAAAAACAGCTAAAATCACTGCGTTAGAGAAATGAATATGAAAAAAAGCAGACATTCTGGTGTTATTGACTGAAGTGGAGCAGCTCTGCGTGATTAAATCATTTGTGTCATTCCTACAGAGTACACAGGAGCTTCCCTGACTGCACAGCTCTCTCAGAGTCCACCAGTGTAGAGGATCTGTGTTTACCTATCTCATTGCCGCTGCCTCCATCTTGGATACTCCAGAGAATGATGCTGCTTCCAGACGCTGCAGCTACCATCTTGTCCTTGTCTCCATGCGGCCCACCCACCACCTTAGCGTTCAGTGCGATGCGTTCAATGGTCCAGTCAAGGTAAGGAGAGGAAAACACCTGCTGCCACCCAGAGGACTCCTTTATCCTAAAGTGAGACACACGTTCAAAGAAATATTTAGGCACTGGCATAACAACACAGAGAGGATTAGATTCACTTCTAAATGTTTTTAAATAAGCTGAAGCTAATTTACACTATTTTAACTGGACATGCTGTGAGACGAGGATGACATCTTGATACCATCCTCTCATCATAAATAATTAAAACTCACTCCTTTAAGATTTAAGGAGTGGATGAGAAACTATTTAACCAACCAGGTTTCTTACCTGTAGCAGATTACAAAGTGTGCATAAGCTGCTACAATCCAGTTGTGATGACCAGCGACAATCAGCACCTTCCTGGGATCGACCACGGGACCTACATATATACACACACATTGGGCTGTTAATATTAATGCCTCGTAATCATAATCAGACTCAGTTTTTACTTTATATTTACATCACTCTACATTGTTTTATATATTCTGGCAGAAATGGAAATCTCTAAAAGAAAGAATGAATCAGATCTTGAATCACTCCACATCAGTCTGGGGAACACACTCTCATTGTTCACTGCAGCTCATTGTATCGTCTGATGTCATCCTCAACAAAGAGCGGGCTGATGGGAAACTAGGCTACCTCAGTCCGTGCTGTTAGCTAAAAGGATGTGTCAGGTCACATTAGCGGCAGCATTAAAGCCCACTCCCTGACATACACAAACTCCCATTCACAGAGCATATGTAAATTAATCACTATTACCATCACACACACATACAGATGTGACTCACATGAACATGCAGAACCTAGGCCTGAACAGCATGAGGACATGTACTCCTTAAGATGAGGCGGTGTGAAAGTGACATTGTTATATTTGCTCTTTCTCTTGACATTTGACAGAGCCGAGTTCATTTGTTTGCACATGTTCAATTCATATTTTTTTAACCTCTGTTTTCATTTACATTGAAGCACACTCCATGCGTTGCTACTAACCCAGTTTATGGTTGTCGTCTGTCCCAGGTGAGAGGGACGGATGAAGAGGGGGTCCCACCCGGGTGAAGCCCTCAGCTCCACTCGGACCAGGTCGCTCATCAGACGAGGAGCCAGAGGCTGCTGAGGCAGGGCTGGACTTACGGGCGGGGATGGCTGTTTGAGGCAGATACACAGAGATTACAAAATAGGTCACTGCTTTCATACAAATAATTTATGCACCAGTTAGTACTTCTGCGCCGGAACAATCTGTTTACATTTTAGTAGTTCATTTTTTTTGGGGGGGGGGAACATAGTTTCCCATTTTTACCTGGAGGCGGCAGATAACCGTGGAAGAGAACGCTGCCACATGATGAGCGGTCCAGTTCCTCACACAGCAGCAGGCGCCGCACTGCACACACATGTAGAAACACAAATACATATACAAAAGAGGTATTGATCTACGTTAGCTGAAAACTTATTCAATGACTGTAGATCACATGTTTTTATTTCTAAGCTTACACTCTTTGTCCTTATTTTCCTTTACTTTTTTAATTCCACGCAAAAAAAAATTAGACCCTGTGTTTTGTTGGCTGTCATTTAGATAGTTTTATGACTTTGCATTGTATCAGATGTATTGTTTTGCATATTATGATGCTAGACTGGTGATCAGATTTCACAAAGATAACTTTCCCATTCAAGTACAGACAATGCAGGGAAGTTACAAACGCTGAAACAGGAAGTAAAATAACCTCAGAGCTCATGGAGCTACAGCAATGAGGTTCTAACCGCAGCCAAGTTTTATCTGGAGCCGAAACAACACCTGACATCACATTTGGCAATAAATCTTCGCAACACAAAGCTGTTCAAACTGTATCCAGAACACCTGCGTGCTTAGTTGACGTGCAACACCTGGTTTTGTTGTAGACACAGACAGAGGTGTGTTGGAGTCTTGATAGTGAGACTTCAAAATAAAAGATGTGAAGGATTCATACTCACCTAAAGGAGTTATCCCATAAAACTCTGCTTCATGTCGTAGGACACTGATGTTGACACCACTGCAAGGAAAAAAAACTGAATTTTTCACTTTTGACGTCCCATCGTTTTTTTACTCAAGGACATTTTTCAAAGTTGTTTTGACTTCTTACCGGAGGTCTAGTTCTTTGGTTCGGAGAAAATTCAAAATTGGTGCAAAAGCTGTAGGATCTCTGTCAATAAATATCTGAAAGAAAAGGAACGTACACAATGATGTAAATGTAGGGCTACATCACCTGTTTAATAAGGTAACTGGTTTCAGTACAAAGTGTTGCACCATGCTTTTAGCCTATTGTGCTAGGATATTAAAAAATAATATGTTCACATGTTTTTTCAGCGTAAAAAATCATTTTCTGAACATGAATACAGCAGTAAGAACCATTCACAACAATAATGATGAGATGTTTCACTTCACATTTAATCAACAAAGTGATTGAACAGTGCATCATCTTATAATAAGCTAATAAATCAAGACTATTTATTGAGCTGCAGCAGGACACAACAGATGTCAGCCCACATCTGCAGGAACATTTCAGATCATTTTCAGATGTTGCATGATGCCTGCTAACTTTGTGCTTGTTTTTGAAAAGGGAACTACAAAGGTTCTACTCACAGCTCCAGTTTCATCCCGAAGGGTGGATATCCTTCCACTCAGCAAACTAGACACACAGACATGGACACACACAAACACACACCCACAGAGCCCCAGTTAACCCGAGCACTTCTCATTTTCCACTAACCATCAGAGTCACCACTACCTGAAGTCCACACACACACTAACAAGCACACTAAGCTGCTATCTCTGAGCTACAGATAAATGCGTATATGAGAGAGGGAGTGCTTTTACATTGTCTGCAAACAGCTGCGAGCAGACTTACTGACAGGCAGGCAGGCAGGCAGGCAGACAGACAGGTGCATCAACAGGCATTAAGCATTACTAGGTCAGCTGTTGTCAATGTTGGAGCTCAGTTTATTGTTTGAGTTTGTTACAACTGTGGTATCTGCCCGGCCCCAATCATCTGTTTCACTTTAACTGTGGATTCCTCTCAAACACTGCATAAGTAAGCTTCTCTGAGGCTACATAACAAGAAAGAAATGTGAGAATACACTCCCAAATGCTAAACTTTAACTCATATATGGTTGAAAGAAAAATCTAATGTTATTTAAACCAGGTAATATAGGAGCACTGTTTCACATAAATAATAGATAACTGAGGAAAACACTGCCTCTCTTAAATTACAAACAAAAGGTTAAACATTTTATGGAGTTCAGCAGCTTGTTTTTCACTGTCTTTCAATTGTAACTGACTGTAATTGCAGCCCATGACTTTTTCCATCACTAGACCAGCAGACATACTGTGTGACAAGAGAGAGGAGATAATGGAACATGCCTACTTAACATGAATTATGTAATGTGAATTCTGTTTTACTGGGTTGCTTAGCATGCTGTCTTTCCATTGACCTGTTTCTTGCTGGGTTCACTGATGCTGTAGGTAGTTAAACAAGCTTCACCTCAGGGGATGTCCAGAGAAGTTAAATCCACTCCATGTTTGTTGTTTTTTTAAGAGCCTACTGCTTTTAAATACCTAACCCTACATGAGGTTATATACGGACATTAAGCTTCCTTTTTCCAGGGTGCTTACGTCCCAATTAGACAACTAATGGAAACATGAGCCGTGAAGGATTCTTGTGTTTTTAGCACTGATAGCGTTTTGTGACTTTGAATTGATCAAGACAAGAAGAATATTTGCACTCTGTTTTTACATTTAACAAACCTTGAGAAGAAAGAGTCTGGGATCCACATTAGAGTCTGTCTGGAGGTGCTGAACCTACAAATAAACACACAATAATTAAAAACAATCATTGTCATTTGAAAGCAGTGGATGAATAAATTGACGTAACCTTTAATACAGTTCCAAGAGTTGCAAATTGAAGTATTAAAAAAACTGATCTTGGTGGGCTGTGAAGAAAAAACTAAACACTCAAAACAGAGTCATGATGAAGTAACTTAAACAACATTTAACTAACAACCATGTCACTTACAAGTGTAATAATCCTGAGTACATCCACAGTTGCTTGGTTATACATATAAAATTAAACAAAAATGCAGCCAAGCATAAATACCCCAATCCCAGATGATAACCTGTCAGAGGAGCTTACCTCGTCCCACCGACATTCAGCTGGATGATATCCCCCATCCCAGGCGTCGGGCTGTTACCATTTGTAGCCATGATGATGACAGAGCTGCTGTTAGAAGTCACTATTCCTCTTTAGCAGATCCTGTCTCTAAAGCTAGCCCCTGCTAACGCTCCTCTCTCCAGCTCAGTCGATGTCCCGACTCCCCCAGCCTAACAACCTTTCCTTCGCCCCATCGTCCATAAAATACCCGCTACTCACGACCTATGAGGACGGCGTCAGTATGTTTAGGTCTCCACATTGTGGGCGGAGAGAGACAAGGGTCTTTTTATCCAGAAGAAATCCACACAATAATTCCATTATTTTCCATGCAGGCTTGTTTGCATCGGTGCCTTGCATGTAACCAAATCGTAGATAGCATCTTGCGCAGAAAATTAGCAACGAGAAACAGCTGTACAAACTGTATTCAGGCGAGGCAAGAGGATTCGCCGCTAACAGCTTCCGCTTCGGCGCCCGAGAACCCTCGAATATATATTTTACAAATATTGTGGATTACACTCTCAAATTTATAGAAAATAACATTTTATTATACCCAAAAGTGATGTATTTTTTTCCTTTTTTTGGTCACTTTATTTAGATATTTGTATGCCTCGTGCTCCATCCTAGCCACTGCGATGAACGGTGAACTATCTTGACTGTTATTTGATCTGCTCACTGTCAGACATGCGCTTGATTTTAGATTCCACAAATTGAGACAGGAATTTAAAAATGACAAAAATGCGCTTTGAGTCCTCTATTAGAATACGAGTGTCTAATGTGTTATCTGTAACAAGGTTGCTGGAAGTCTTTTAATTTGAAAAAAAAAAACGTGAAATGGCAAGGACAGCGACGCTGTTCAGTGTCAGTGGCAGGATAATGCTCAACTGTAGTGTTGAGTCGTTCGCGAACGATTCCTTCAAAAGAAACTAATCTTTTAAGTGAACGTACTGAACCGAATCACTTCCTCGAGTGATTCGTTTTTTTCTCACCAGTTGTGCTGAAATAAGAAACAGAATTGCCACTGCTAAATTGCCACCACAACAACTTGCATACAATAGGACACAGCATGTAACAAGCAGTGCATTAAACCTGCAGCATCCTATCATTGCAGCGGTTTGCAAGGGAATGGTGTATGATCAGTGTGAATTCTTCTTAACGTTAAGCGAACGAATAACTCACTGACCCCAATTACCGAGAAGACCCGATAAATAGCATACCATAGGACAGTATTTCACTTAAAACAGCATGACTTATAAACAGGTTCATTTTTACCAACCTGTTTGCCAGAGCAACACAGCCAAACACTCGTGTTTCCCAGTCCCAGAAGCTATGAATTGAATTAAATCCTGAAATGTTCAGCTGTGTATCAGTTCAGGAGGTCGGAGTCGCAGGCTTCTCCCGCTAAATGATTCAGTGATTTGGTGAACGAGTCTTTCGAACGAATCTTTTTAGTGAACTGATTCTAGTGATTCAGTACATCTAAAAGAGCTGCCTTGCCCATCACTACTAAACTGTGAGGAAAACAAACAGACAGTGTGCCGCATGAAGTGACTCACTAAACTCAGCTGTGCTTCGGTTTACGAAATAAATTTCACAAAAGTGGTCCATGCTGTTTTTTTCCATTCATAGTATTATACATTTTTGTACAACTTTTACCATTTTGACCGCTATTGACTCCACGACCTGCGTTTTCTCTGCGCAAACAAACGCTCCCTAAGTGTAGCCCCGCCCCTCCCAATACTGCTGAGAGAAAGGGACTGGAAGCTCAACATATTTTACGACGAACTACAATTCTAAGTATGAAAGGTTTCTTTGAAGTGTTTTACATCAACATGTAAGTCAGAAACACAGCTGACGTGGTAGTGCCCTCCTCCACGGTAAGACTGCTTTGCTTTCCTCCTCTAATTGGAGTTATTCATTTGTTTATTTACCTTACATTAGCCTGTTAGCTGGGGAAAGTTTGGCACCTCTGCGAGCTAATGTTGAGCTTTAGCTGTAGCATTCAAGTGCCAGGTTTGCTAGGTTACCGGATGGATTGAGTGAACCTTTGATGTCCTCTATCAGTGGGGTTAGTTTGTTTCTGAGTACAAACAACCAGTACACGAGATAGGTTTATGTCATAGTTATAAACTAACAGAGGTGTTTAAGGGCGACTGATCTTTACATGTGATACCTCCAACGTTGTTGCAAAAGGTAACAAAAGCCTTCTCTGTCTACATGTTTCATTTGTTTGCAGTTCTTCCTTCTTTAGCTGTACCCTGTTGAAAGCCAGGACAGATGAACATGGATTTGTAACCAGCACACAGAGAGAAGAAAGCAGGAAAGTTTTCTTTCCACACTACTGCAGCCTCCAGGACCAGCTTGGATAAAGAAAGAAGACAGACGTTAAAATTGTGTCATAATGTCTGAGGCACAGGGGAAAGGAGCTGCGGTTACAGAGGGAAACGTATCAGAGGTCACTCCAGGACACGTGCCCACTCATCCTCAACAGGCACAAGATGTAGCATCTGCGTCTACTCCTGTGGCCTCCATACAGCCTCCTGTCACCACAGCAACCGAGGATGAGGATGAAAGTGAAGATGAGTCAGAGATCCTGGAGGAGAGTCCCTGTGGTCGGTGGCAGAAACGCAGAGAGGAGGTAACCTTTGCTTTATGGGAAGTTAGGATTACGAGACTCAACACAATAGTCTGTTTGAAAGACCTAACCCTGACCAATAACTCAGTAGTCTTCACCTGGACGCCCCTTACTGTTTACATGCATACTATTTTACTATTTTTAGTGTATATAGTGTACATACTTGTATATTACCTCTTTATTTTTACTTATTGTATCTATTATCTCCTTTTTCTACTTTATTTGCACTGGAGTTACTGTGACAAAAAGCAGTTTCTCCCTGGGGATTATAAAGTATTTCTGATTTTGATTCTGAATAACTCTACAGCTCAACAAAATGATTGGATGCAACAATATTGTGTGACAGAATTACGCCTGCTGTTTAAAGTTTAGTGACATGATTTTGATCATCTCTGTAACTGATCAACCTTTTATGTTTACTGCTGGAGTTTTTTTTTTACAGTTTTTAAAGGGGAGGCAACAAAAATATCCATGAGGTCCCAGACTAAATTCACCTATGACAGGTCACTTAGCTGACATGACATATGCCAGTGGTACTGAAGCATTTGTTCGTAGCTCAGCATTGGATGCAGGTGGTTCTGTAGCATGTCACTAGTCATTGGACCAGTTTGTCAGTCAGTGATGTGCCATCTGAGTGCCTTCACTATTTTTTTGTCGAAACAGACAATGTAGATGCAATAGAGTGCTGTAAGTAAAGTAATGCGAGATTTTCTTATTCTACTTTTTTTTAATCTACACATGGTGGTTTCTGTAATGTCCTAAAAGTAATTCTGCTGTTAGCCTAGCCACCAAAGACAACCGAAGTAGCTGATAACAGGTAAACTGCTGTGCTGCTACACATAATAACAACCTTTAGATTGATAACCTGTGATTTTAATGTGATGTTGGCAGGTTTTACATGGATATTTATAATCAGGAGAGATGTTGAGCTGATTGTCAGGATGTAATGTGAGATCGCAGTTTAGTCTAACAGGCTAGCCATTGGCTTTGGCAAAGTTACTTTTATGATATATCGCTGAAGTACCAAACAAACATACTTTATAATAATAAACATTCAATTATTTACATCAGTATGTTGCATTTACACTTTTAAGTGGGATATAACTGAGGGCATTAGCACATCAGTCCACTGACAAGCAGCAGCGTATCGTGTGGTCACTTGGCGGCATATGGTGCTGACCTTTCCATTCTTTTGTCACTACAAATATGTTATTCAAGTATGTCTGCTGTTTACTCGGATTACCTTTTTTTGCGTTGTATCATTGTTTAAACTTTAATTGATGTTCTTTTCCATACTGCTGCAGGTGAATCAGCGTAATGTCCCAGGTATAGATGCTGCATACTTGGCCATGGACACCGAGGAAGGTGTGGAGGTAGTCTGGAATGAAGTCATGATCTCAGAGAGGAAGAACTTCAAACTGCTGGAGGTGAGGCACAGTCGAGGAATCGTGCGAGATAGTCAGTTTGTCATAAAGCCCTCACTGGGGGTTTAATTTAAGGTATATTTTCATCATTTGTCCCAGTGGTTATATAAATAGCTATTTTCTTAAACTTCTTTTACTTTGTTACAAACAAAAGAAAGTGATAAGAAATAGCTTGTCTCATTGTTCAATGTGAAAAAGGAGTTATATGTACCCGAAACAAAAGCTCTTCACTGCCTTTATCATCATGTCCCCTCAATGGAAAATGTTTGGACATATATAAGGCTCCAGAGTTTCATCAAAACCCAGAATTCACATCCAACCTCCATTAATATACTCTTAATGGTACATCATAATCTGCCATACTTTTTTTTTTATTATTTTACAAAAAGATCAAGTTGCTCCCAAGGAAACCATTTCTGTCTTATTGGAAATCATTATAATTTCTCACCATGGGGTGACATTGGGCACAGTGGCAGATGTACAAAGGCTATAGTCCTCTTCCCAGCAGTCACTGCGTGTGCTTCACACTCTGCTCCCCACATTTCTATTCTCTTTTCAGCTGTCCTCGCCAATAAAGGCACAAAAAAAAAAACCTCCTGTAACGATTTGCTTTGGATTTTTGGCAGGTCTTAATTAAAGCTGTTAATGTGATTAACGTTTTAAAGAACATACTGTAGCTGCTTTTGTGTATTAGTACTCAACCACCAAGACTCAAAGTTTTCACCAGTTGTTTTTGAAGATAAAGATCAGATGGTCTAAGCTACACAACAACCTGGGACAACAACAAGAAGTTGGTTCTTCACTTTGTCCTGATGTGATGGTCTTCCATAAATATAATCTACTGCTGTTGTCCAGAAGAGTCAGTAGAAAAAAATATGATGCATTTCTGTTTAAAAGGTTTTATGTGTTTACATTTTCTGTTTCATCTCCTTTGGATTTTAGGAGAAAGTGAAAGCAGTTTTCGATAATCTGATTCATTTGGAACACGCTAACATTGTCAAGTTTCACAAGTACTGGGCTGACACAAAGGAGAACCGAGCCAGGGTGAGTCTCTGACCAGCAAAACACAAACTGGTGTCTTAAGACTGGAGACACTGGCTTGTTATTGAATCTTTGATAATTTCTTTTGTCTTCAAAATGATAAAAATAAGCCATCTATTCTTTGATTACTCATTTAACGACCCATCGTTTCTTCCTGCTCCTCAGGTGATTTTCATCACAGAGTACATGTCATCGGGAAGTTTGAAGCAGTTTCTGAAGAAGACAAAAAAGAATCACAAAACCATGAATGAAAAGGTATTTCCTGAATACCAAAGAAAGGATCAATAATCTTGTAAATAAGTTACCTGAGAAAAAAAAATGTTTTTTTGTTGTTATTCCCCACTTTGAAAGTCAAAGCTTCATACTGATAAAAGTTTAATAAGCTCTCTGATACTGTGTATGGTCCCACAGGCCTGGAAGAGATGGTGCACACAGATCCTGTCTGCTCTCAGGTTGGTTTTCCCTTTTTTACACAGTCCAACAAGTCTAACTCTTCTTTAAATGCTCTTCGATAATAAACCACCCGAGTTTGTTTGTTTCGGTTCTTTGTTTTCTGTACTGCAGCTACCTCCATTCATGTGACCCTCCTATCATCCATGGCAACCTGACCTGTGACACCATTTTCATCCAACACAATGGGCTCATTAAGATCGGATCAGGTACAGATCTACACAGGTTTCATACGAGACAGTAATGGTGCTGGAGCTAAAGAAAGTAGAATGCTGAATGAAGAGTTTGTTGACTGAAAAGTTCACATAGTTTTACAGTCATTTTCTGTGGTTGCCCAGCACCAGTTAGTGTCATCGAACACTTTCTTAAAACTCAAGACAAAAATGAGGAAATATATGTCTTCACATGTAACTGTGTAAGTCAAAGGTGCTATTCATAAATCCTTATTGTGTGAACTGTCAGTCAAGTGCAGCTGGACTACAAGCTTTCTTGTGCAAATTCCCATCAGTTAAGACAGCTCTAAACTTGTAGGGCTCCATTTTCGTGCCTCGCCGGTGAGGCGACGGAGGGTGGCGGACCCCGCGCAGTTGTATTTTCATCTGGCGGAGCCCGGCGTACAGCCAGTTTGGTATTTTCGTGGACTGATGCGCACGGAGGCGAACCGAGATCCGCCAAGCTGGGCGTGGTGGCGTGGCGGCGTGGCAGGGGGAGGTGTCAACAGAATCAGCGGGCGCAGTGACATTTTCGTGCTCGCCAGTGGCGTGTAAAGTGCGCTGAAAGCTCGCTGATTCAAACCTGGTCAGCTTTCAGCGCAGGCGGAGCGCAGCTGGTCTAGTAGTATTTTGGTAGACCGGCGGCGTATCGGCATACGTCACTGATGCCTCACCGGCAGGTTTCCACAGTGTCAGGCACATTTCAGTGCAATAAATAATCATCATCAACTATTAATCTGAGTCAGCACATACATTTAGATCTATATCGATATATTCTGATCTATATCTGATCTGATGAGCGCATTTGGCACGCGTTTGGACACACAACCTGACAGAATCAACACAGCTGAAACCGCATTAAATTAAATTAAATATCTAGTAAATAGACACACATGATGAAGTCAACAAGATATTTAATGTGTCTCCCTCCTTATCTTTCTCCCTCCTTCTCTTATTTTTCACGCAGCTCGACCTGGACATGTCTCTGTGTCCTCTCTCCGTCCTGCAGCAGCAGCAGCAGCTGTGGCGGCTGAACAGATGATTTGTTTCAGTGCTCAGATGAGTTATCTACTTTAAGCCGACATACGGATATTATAATATTCAGTTTTGTGAGCCAAATTTGTTTTATATGCCAACATCTATGAAAGAAAGAGCCAGGCCACAGAGCGCGATGCGTCATTTACGCACAGATGGTTCCGATTTTAATGCCATTTTTGGAGTTAATGTTGTGATCTGTGCGCTCAACCCACCTTTGTCACGTGAGGTTTGAATATATGCAACTTTATGTGAGTGTCTTTATTTGTGGAAAAAGGTGTTTTTCTTACCAATGGGTCCAACATTACACACACCAAATCCATCTGTGCTCATATCAGAGAGTGTGGAGGACGCCCAATGCAGCGTTTACGGTGACACTTGTTGAGGAGCTGCCCTCTGTCGCCATCTTGTGGCATGACTGTCCTCAGACATCTCTTGATCTCTTTGACTACTTCCCGAAAATAGTAATACACCTCGCCGGTGGCGGATTTAAAGGCAAGGAGAGGAGCTCATGTGATTGGTGAAAACAGGTCTCGGCTGTGTTAAACCCACTACACGCCCTGTCTCCTCCCTCGCTACGACTTACGCCGCTGGGAGGAGCTGAGTTAGGGAGAGGGGATACTTACGCCGGGCTGCGCTGCTCACCAAAATACCAAATTGTGCTTGGGAATGCCTTGTCGGCGCGGCGGACCTGACTTACGCCGCGCCTGCGGCACCTCTCCGGCGAGGCACGAAAATAGAGCCCGTAGTGTAGACTGTAGTGAAGAACATATTGATAATTTCTCCAGACTTTTGCTTTGTACTCACTTCATACTCATTTCCTGTTATCTGTCGTTCATAATTTGTCCTTTTGACTCATTTGCAGTTGCTCCAGACACCATAAACAGCCATGTAAAGACGTGTCATGAGGAGCAGAAGAACATGCACTTTTATGCTCCAGAATATGGAGGTAAACAAAACTTATACCATGTATTAGTCACGTCTGCCCTGACCTCCAGAAAAATTAGAAAACAAACTACATATTAAAAGGCTGTCTTAGAGTATTACTGTTTTATCCATGTGACATATATTGTTGATCCATCGTGTACGTTGTGTGAAAACAAAACAGAGTAATAGCATGGTGTGCAGTGCATGTTTCAGATGAGCATTTTGTTCCTTCCTTTGTAACACCATTTCAGACTTTCACTGTAACATTTTTGAATGTTCTGGCCAAACATTTAATGCCAACTTCAGTTGTGTGGACAAAGAATCTCAATCCTGAAGGCATAGTTTGGTTTAAAATGAAAAAAATCCTTTGGTCTGAGACTCAGCCATAATAAATTTGTTAGTTTGTGTTTCTCTTCTGAAATATATTTAAGTATATCACCATTTCAAATCTTTATGATCTGAGTATGAGATAATGACTCAGACAGGTTATGATTTTAAATGATTTATTCGTAATTACAGCTGATGATGACGTCACCACAGCTGTAGACATCTACTCATTCGGCATGTGTGCCTTAGAGGTGAGACGAGACTCATGATGAACGATAGAAACGCCTGTTCTGTCCAAATGTTGAGTGTCGGTGTGACTGTTTTGTGTGTTTCAGATGGCACTCTTAGAGATCCAGGGGAATGGAGAGTCCTCCTACGTTTCTCAGGAGGCCATCAACAATGCAATCCAGTTATTGGAAGACCCGCTGCAGAGGGTAAGATGAAGAAAGGACTCTCATATAGGTTTATATTCTTTAAGTATATGGAAATAGCATACACCATAGGCTGTTTACATTATCACTGGTTAAGTTATGCCTCACATCCCCATTTGATATGCATGTCACTTTTGCAGAAATGTGAGACATAATGTTTGTTTTTATGCAGGAGTTAATCGAGAAGTGCCTCGAGTGTGACCCCGGTACAAGGCCTACAGCCCGAGAGATGCTGTTTAATCAGGCTCTGTTCGAAGTGCCGCTGCTGAAACTCCTGGCTGCACATTGTATCGTCAGTAATCAACGTGAGTCTTTGCCTTGAGAATACAAAAATATTGAGACACAGATCAAAAGTTTGAACCATAGTGTGTGTAGAAAACGTGGAGGAAGAGTCTTGGTTTAAAATTACAACCAACACAGATGCTCTTCAAACTTACGTTTCCTCTGATGACCAGAAGGGGGCGACTCTCTCATTTCCAAACACAGGACTGATTTAGTAGATCAGTAAATAATTTTCTAATATGCTTTTGATCTTAACCAAAGGTTTGGAGTCACCTTATTTGGTAAATTATATTTGCATGTGAAGTAAAGTGGACACTAAAGCTGGTCATTTTGGCTGGGTGGCCAACTGTTAATGACAGCTCACTGACACGGCACCTTTTTCACAAAGATAAAGCCCAGAACATCCACATGTGATCACAGGTTTCTTTTTAGCAAATCAAGACACGCCAAGATTTTGCAGTTTGAAGATAATTAAAAGACCAATGAGTGATGATTACATCTACAGCTTTCATAATCTCCATGGCATGGACTTGTTTTAAGAGAAATTAAGTTGAGTAGAAATTAGTTAATAAGACCAAAAAAAAAAAAAAAAGATGTTTATTACTTTTATTTGAACTTGCTAACTGGCTGTGTTGACGTTCTTTTTCTCACAATATAATCTGATATCAGCAATCATGACATGAATTTATAAATTGAAGAAAATTCTCCTAAAAGTCAGTGTCACTGAATCGACTCTGTATGGTTTATAATTTTCCAGATATGATCCCTGAGAACGCCCTGGAAGAGATTACCAAGAACCTGGACCCTAACCTCGTCATTGCTGAGACAAAAGAGGACGTCCAGCTCAAGTAAGATGGTTTCCACAGTTTATTGTCAACCTGCTTGTAGCGCTCTAACATAGCAGTTATTAGTATTTCAGTAACAACAGACAAATTTATGTTTGTTTTTTTGGACTTTGAAATATAGCACTTTTGGTTTACTTTATGTGCAGGAGAGAGAATTGAAAGACGTAAAATAGACTCTGATATTGTTTGAAAATTACCAACTTATATTTTAGTGATTTCATATAACCCTGAAAAATAAAGAAGTCTTCTACAGTTTTCAGAGTGTTTCAAGAATTATCTTATTTAGAAACTTGTGATAAAAAGATTTTAAACTGTTTTAAAATAAATTCCCTTTTTTCTAGGCTATCACAGTTTCCTGCATTAGAGCTTGATAAATTCCTGGAGGATGTGAGGTAAGACATGAAGAAGTTGTCTGTACACAATACGACCAGGCCACATGGGGGCAGTATTGGTCCATCTGTTTATTGTTAGTCTTCAGTCGTCTTATGATAATTTGTTTCTTAATATGGTTTAATGACCTTCCTAGAAAAACAGTCAATGCCCCAAAGTTATTTTTGCTGTTCAGTTGTAACAGCTGCTCTGTGTTTGAACTTCAAGTATCCAACTCTTAATGTATTTCATCATGTTTGATTTAATCCAGTGTTATAGTAAGAACCTTCAAGAGTTGTATTAATCAAACTGTCTTTCTTCACTATCATGCCAGGTTTTGTTTTCTTATTTTTTTAATTCTTTTTTATAATTCTTTTTTTAGGTTTACGTTTTTCATTCACATTTTTCACTTCACATACCCATTAATTATTCTCCGTTTTTTATTACATTATATAATCCCCATCTGCTCTTTATTTAATCTCTCTACCTGTTTACCTTCCTCTTGTTTTATCTCTCTATCCTAATTTCACCAACAATCCCTCTCTTTGTGTCCTTCCTCCTGCGGTGGTCAGGAATGGTATTTATCCCATGACAGCGTTCGGGGTGCCCTGTCCGCAGCAGCCTCAGCCTGAGACTGTTAAATCTCCCGTTATCATCCCATTGGTCAAATCTCCCACACCTGAACCTGCAGAGGTGGAAACAAGGCGGGTGCGTACGACATCTTATCCTAAATATTATCAAATGAAGACTCAGTCACAAAAATGCTGTGTTATCCATCCCAACTTTGAGCTTTCTTGGGTTTCACGATCAGTACTTGAATCAAGAAATATTTCATGTAGTTAGTGCAATAAAGCAATGATCTAAAAATGAACTTGTGTTGCTATAGAGCTGTGCTTATTTAGCTCTCTGCTCTTTTTCTACAGGTCGTCCATATGCAGTGTAATGTTGAACCGGTGGAGGAGGGAGGAAAATTTCATGTAAGTCTCTGTCAAACATTTTGATGTTATTGTTGTAAATAAGTTACTGTTGAACTGATTCACTGTGCAAAGTAAAAATATGAGCGAGTTATTGACCAACATTGAGGACCAGTCCTTAACTCAATCAAACGTTAGAAATAAACCATTCAAAACTCTCTCTTGTCTTTCTCCTACCAGCTCACGTTGCTGCTGAAACTGGAGGATAAACTAAACAGACATCTGAGCTGTGATATGCTACCTCGTAAGACCACACACTCTTGACGTATAGATGCAGCCATTAGCTGTGTTATAGTGAACCCACACACTAGAGTTAGCCTGGAACTGTAAGTGACGATGCGTTGCAACTAATCAGAGTTCATTTAAAGTTTCAGTTCATTAAAGAGGAGCTGGGATGTTTGGTTCAGGAGCACTACTGAAAAAATAAGAATTAGGTCAAGTAAAGAGTGTTTCCAGATAACAAAGAACAACCAATGGCATTTCCAACCAGTCTAAATTACAATGGGTGTTACAATAACATGACATTATCATATTAAGGTGCGCCCTGTGTGGGTGAGATCAGAGGATGATAAGAGGATAAGAGGGCATTCATTCAGATGTGTTTATGAGTGTGAAAGCCATGTTAAACACGGAGTTAAGACATTTAGTAAAAGTGCTGTCATTTAGTCCATCTTTAAAGGTTTTGATTTACTGGTTTGACGTGACTGGTGGAATTACACCCGACTTGAGCTGATGATAAATGATGAATTTATGTTAGCGCGGATTACTGCACTCTCAAACGTTACCTAATGCTGAGTTTTATGATACAGACGCTCTCTGTGTGTGCACTGTGGCATGGAGAAAAGTGAGAGTGGGATTCCAAGCATCAGTGGCATCACAATATATAGTGCACAAGACTATTTTAGGCAGGGAGACTGACTGACGCGTGTGTGTCATGAAACCTTCCCTTCTATTTTGGACAAATTTATTTGGATCGTATTCAAGAGGAGCTTTAGAAAGGATGTGTTTAATAAGCAGAGGCTTGTAAAACAAAAGCAAAAGCGTTAAGTCTTTAGGAAATATTTTCTTGGGAAACAGCAAAAAAACAATTACCCTGCAAGCTTAGGTTATTTTTACTGGTCCAGTTTGTTTTTCAGCTGAATGCTCTACATCAGACCAGAGCAAAAAGAGGAAAATGAGAAAAGAAGGAACAACCTAAAATAATTAAGGTCAGATTAGTGTGGTCTAATGTGTAAATCCACACACAGGTATGATAGGCATGTGCAATGTTGCAGGCGTGTGGGGAATGCCTGGCCTGGCTTGTGAAAGGCTGCAGCTGACAGCTGTCACCTCCTGTGTCAGAAACCCACCACATCTTCCCAGGCTTTCATCTCCCTGTCTCTCACTCTCACACGCTCATCCACATGGCTCTATCCCCTCTGCTCTCCACCCACTGTTTATCTCGTTATGTGGCTCTTTACTCACACTGCTCACGCATACAGTTTAATGCAGCTTACCATCCATGCAGTCTATAGGCCATATATGTAAACGGACACACCCAATCCCCTGTTATCAGCAGTTTCTGCTAATCATACCTGGCATTTTCCTTTTCTTATCAACATGCTGAAGTCCACTGTCACAGTTGAAGTTGTTTCCTCTTCAATACTACCAAAAGTACAAGTTTCTTAGATGTGGTCAGGTCTGAGACAACACAATGCAAACACTAATGGAGATGTCTCCTCCTGTAGCCATATCAACCTTCTCTCATGGAGTCAGAGTTGTAGGTGTTTTGGTTTTCTATAGTCGATGGATAATCCCTCTTTTTCTGTTGTTCGTCTTGGCACACTCACATTCCTGATTCAGTTGTAAATGGACTACAGGGTTATTAAAAGCCAGCAGACCATGACACCTCCTCTGCTCAATAGACACAAAGAATGTCTCAACTGTGGGAGGTAACTCCAAGATTAGAACAGAAACATACAAGAAAAAACATGAGATCCATTCACCAAAAACACATGTGAGGAAATTTAACTATTTTAATTCACACATCTCAGTGGTTTCAGGAGTCAGTCAGATTCAAAATTCGGGTACATTTTTGTTCACAATTGACATTTCTATGGACAGGGACAACTTATTTTCTTACTTTCAGAGATAGGCTTGTAATATGCACTCTGAGAGATATCTGAAATGTACGCGCATCTCTCAGTGGGACAAACTAAAGGGGCAAATTATATTTTGGGGATAAACTTATGACTCACTTGTCTTTGGGGAAGAAGACAAAAATATTAGCTGAGAAAGAAACTTTTGAGCACTAAAGCAGAGGAGAGACAACCAGGTTTAGTCAGGTCCATTAAAAGGATGAAGCACCTGTGATTGTTTGTGTTGACTTTGGTGCCCTCTCTGAATGAAGCAATTCTTTTGTTGTTTTTTTTCTGCTACTTTTTGTTTCTTGTGTGTCTATGGTTGAACAAGGATCCAAAAGCAGCACCCATATTTTAATAGTCTATAATTTACCAAAGCGCCCTTTTGTTCAGTTGTTTTGTTCAAACTAAGAAACATATTGGGGTTTGTGAGTGTTAAATTCACTGCAGAACTATGGGTAAATGTTTAGTAGGGTTGATGTAAAAGTGCTGTTCAAAGTCTGTGAATGACTGATATTTACTGTGTTTTCTGTTTTTAGATGAAACTGTTCAGGAGTTGGCTGGAGAGCTGGTGGAGCTGGGATTGATCAGCGAGGTGGGTGTATAAGGACTCGCATTGAAGTGTATGTGTTACTGTATGTGTGTTATAGGAAGAAGGAGCAGGATGATACTTTCTGTGAGCATACTATTTCTGAGTACCGAGCTGTGAGTATTCTGTTGGATTAAGAGGTTAGATTACCCTACTGTATATTCCCCAAAATAAACACACCTCACCCTCTGAGAGCATTAAGCAGATTCACTCGTGTTTCTGTGCCCACTCACCTACCCACTTCACTGGTTTATGTTCCTTTTATCTCTCTGGAGTTGGTCTCATGTTGTTATGATTCAGTCTGTTTCATGAATTCCATCGATACTGTGAACAGGTTTATGAGGATCATTTACGATGTTTGTTTTTCTTTCACAGATGGACCAAAATAAAGTAGCTTCTCTACTAGAGGAATCATTCAGCCAAGCTCTTCATTAACAACAGTTCCTCTGTCTCCTTATAAGTACACCCTGTCTACTCGGTTCCATGTTAGTTACTGTAATGACTGTTTTTTTTTTTTGTTTGTTTTGTTTTTTTACATATTTGCTTTTAAGCCTTTGGAGATATTGTGACTTAAAGGGTGTCTATTTTTCTCTGCAGTAGTTGTAAGAACTTTCCCAAAGTGCACAAACTTATATTGTAGAGCCACTTTTAAGCAATTCAAAGCAGTCAAACGAAGTCACCTTTCACTTTTTTATTTCAAACCTAAATGCAGAAACTCATAATGCATCTCTGTGCGAGGTAGTCCAATCAATAAGTCGACACCACTTGGGTTGGCTGGTAAGTTGAACTGGCCTTGTTAATGCTGCAGAAGACACTTGACCAAATCAGAACTAACTGCTAACTGCAGGATTACTTATAGCTTTATATCAAAGCTCACACTTTCTTAATGGTAGTCTTGTTTTAGTTTGATGGATTGACATATATTGACATTATTATGCCCCGTTGGCGTCTTAATACATCTTCAACATTGATCCATTTTACTCATGGTGGTTAGATAATATTTTAATTATATATTTTAAAGTCAGGGTCTGCACCAGTTCATCAACAGCAAATCTCCTGGTTCTCTGAAGATAAAGTGATCAATTTATAACCAAAGAAAATGATCTAAATTAACAAAAAGAGCATTTATGTCTTCCTCCTGTTCTTTGAAAGTATTTTATTCTGTCTTACATACCAGAGCACTCCAGCTCTGTTGTTTTTGTGATCCCTCATCGCTTCAAGAACTGGATGGTTACTTACAGAACTGGCTATATAATATAATAGACAAATACCTATGTGTAGTCATTTAAAGCTTTCATAAAGAACATGATGCATGTTTGTTACAGTCTTTCACATTTTCAGAGGCATCACAAAAACGTGTCTGAAAAATAGATATCTGGTTACTTTGAGGTACTGTGAAATCAGTGTTACTGAATTTCCGTTAGTGTGTTTTTTTTTAAAGTTTCACTCCTCTCTTTGCCTTATTCTGGGCCTATCTGCACATGCTAGAAAGGCCTCTCCCTCAGTTTTTTGTATTCATCGATCGTTTTTACTGTTTGCTGCTTGTTGGGTTTACTCATGCTTTTGACTCTCAGTGACGTGAGACTTGTGCACTAAACCCTGCTGCCATATACTGAAGAGAGAGGACCTAGCCTGGTGAAATGTTGTATTTATGTTACAGATATTGTATATTATGTGTTACTTGACTTGCCCCTTTTTGTGAACTGTCATCTCAGACTAGACCACACCGTTAAGAGTCTGAGTCAATGTTCAACTCTTTTTGTTTCTTTTTCTATTCTGTTCCTTTTTTAAGTTTTTGATAAAAACCTTATAGGTTGATAGTATCATTGGCAGGGTGCAGTCTCCTGAACCTGAATGCAATTTTCAAGTCACACCAGTCCTGTTTAGACTTGTAATGAGATCAGAGAGTTGCCTGTGGCTTTTTTAGTGACATTTCGGCTCAGAACTCTTGTTTCTTTTAACTGGTACTACCATGTCCTCCAGACATGCAGGAAGAATAAAACAAAATACCAAACTTTGAGTACAGATGCATAGAGAAGAAACAAAAATACAAGAGGTACAGCTGGATGTAATACATGTTCAAGTTTAGGATTTTTAACAACATATTTAGTAATGTCCTCTGACCACTGTCTGAGCCCTCTGGTCTTTGAATTATCTTGGTCACTCCAGTCTTACATTCAGACTGCTATTGTAAGTCTACCAGCATTTTTACTTAGAATGACATGTGCAGTTCTCCACAAGTATTTTTTTTATGCTATTGGACTCCGAATGTCCTTTTTGTGAACTACAAAGATTGTATATTCCAGTTTTTGAAAGTCATTCAGAATGTAATGTAGAATGTACTAATTTCATCACTTCTTTTATAGAGTAGTGATAAAAACCAAACAATGTGATCACTGGAGAGCTCTCTCTCTCTCTCTCTCTCTCTCTCTCTCTCTCTCTCTCTCTCTCTCTCTCTCTCTCTCTCTCTCTCTCTCTCTCTCACCAGATATTGATGACGGTTAAACTGGTTATTAAATAATCATAACGGGTGGGCAGCTTTAGCTTGTCATTCAACGAAGTGAGCTTTCGTCTCTTATTCTTGTACATTATCATATTTTATACATGTTTTGAATGTCAGTAAAGGTCTATTTTTTTCTCAAACTTGTATTTTATCAGTCTGCAAAGAGCGAAAGTTCTAAATAAATGTGTGACATGCTTGTGTGACAGAGACACTTTTTTCTGATATGGTCATTTTCCTCATTACTGTGTGTGTGGTTGTATCTCGGGTGCTGTGACTCTGAACATATTGTAACAGAGATGCTCAAAGGTACTACAATATGAGTGCTGCGCCCCTCAGCGTCCATCAGGCCGCAGGTAGCTCACAGGTGAGTTTCCTGACGTCATACAGGAAGTGGACAGGAACACGGTGGAGCTTCTCGTGTCGTTGAACAGCTGCCCGAAAGTTGCGGACATTCATTTCTCGAAAGGGAAAACGCGGAGAAATGTGCACCTTTGGTAAGTGAATCGCCTATTTCATATCATTGTGCGTCATAACGTACACATGTGCGTAAAGTCCGTCCACTGTCGTTGTTCTGACCATAGGCCTGCAGGTGAGCTGATACGGTTTCATTTTACCAACTGAGTTACCAGGGAGACGTATAAATAATGTGGTTTATCTGCAGAGCTGATGAGATGTTGCTAAATATAGAGAATGGCCCGAAAAGAGCAATAATGAAACATTTGAATGACTTAAAAGCATCTCTCCACCACACTGCACTACACCCTCCCATTTCTGACTCACTCGGTACACAAGAGGCCACCACAGCGAGTGTGAAAGCAGCCTCTCTGTGCAAATCCGTGTGTCCACCCCCAACTTACAATGTCCCTGAAAAGAGGTGTTGTTGATAACTTGTTCAGATTAAATTCATGCACATGGAAAATACTGCTTCTTTCTCCATTCTTATGAGATACTGCGAATTTGGTTCCATGTTCCTTTAAAGTCAAAACACTACATGCAGTGGTTTAGTCATTTACTTCAACACTAGAGAAACCTCTAGAGGAAATAATTAACCATAGCTGATGCATAAAAGGCTCTATGTTATCAGTAAGAAAGGTAAATAGATAAATAGCAGCTGCATTAACTTTTGTTGCATCGATATCTACAACTGTGTATTCACTGACGGAGCAATAGAGTGATCATGACTGTGTTTAAGTAAGCCAATGAATTGTGTATGAGGCATGCACATATCTTATTTTAACTCATAGTTTCTCCATCTTTTAATTTTTGTCTTTTTGTATCTATGCTATGCTGCTGCAATTTTGTAATTTCCCCCTGTGGGACTAATAAAGGAACATCTTATCCCTCATCTTATCTTTGTTTTGAAAGAATATTTTCAGTTGATTAATTTTAATACCTTTATTAAAATCTAGTTCTTGTCAAGGTATGGCACAGAATAAATGGTAAGCACTGTTTGTCTGATGTTCGGATTGAATGTTTTAGTACCAGCCCCTTTTTAAGATCTAATCAAAGCAGTGTCACAGTTGCTATTTTCATCAAAGCTGCATATCTTGTCTCCTTGTCATCCAGATAAGGAAAAGGGGCCGAGCAGGCTGATGAAAAAGGGGTTAACTCTTATCCTGGTTGGTCATGTAAACTTCATCCTGAGTGCCATCGTCCATGGAAACGTTCTCCGGCACATTTCAAAACCGAACCAGCAAATCACAACTGAATACACTGTGGCCAATGTCATCTCTGTCACCTCTGGTCTACTGGTAAGTCTACAGTTAAAACATGTATCCTTTGTTCTGGTGTCAAATTGTGCAGCAAAGATATCTAGGTATACTTGTCAGAAATTAATTGAAATATTAATTTCCCTCATTTGAAAAAACATTTTGACCTACAGTTAAAAAACTGTCAGCAGTGATTTACACTGTTAGGTCTGTAAGGTGCCGCATCCTCACAGCTATCATGACTGAACTTGCCTACCATAATAGAGCTTGTTTTTCAAACCAGTCTGTAGTTGCTCAAGGGCAGGCCTCATGACCTGATAATGATCAGATACACTGGCAACTGTTGACGAGGAGATGGTGTAAATGTCACATTATGTAAAAAAATATACCACATATCATGTACTTACACGGGGAATCACAAGGAAGACAAGTTATAAAATAAATTTTACTGGCTTTGTGTCGATGTTGTTTTAAATGTCAGGAGTTAGACATCCATGTCTCTTTTGTGTCTGAAGTGTAAACAGCCTTAAAATGAGTCAAATATGCAGCTTTTCCGGTTTGTTTGAGGATCTACAGTTGTGCACACACTCCACACTGTGGTTAGTTTAAAATGATCGCATTTTCATTTGTGTCTGTCAGAGCATTGCTGCAGGAATTATTGCCATTGTGATGTCCAGGAACCTTCACGTGATAAAACTGGTAATAACTGAATTTGCTTTGTCAACATTTTTCTCTGTTCCCTCACAAAAGTATCCTCACACCTTGTTTTTATATAATTTTCTCTCTGTGTCTCTAGCAAATAGGACTTATAGTGGTTTCAATCCTGAATGCCCTGCTCTCAGCAGCATGCTGTATTGGGCTCCTCTTGGCCATCAGTGTCACTATTGCCAACAATGGGCAGGGTTTGATGCATGGATGCAATGACACAGAGGTGCCCATCAATGCTCGGTCACCTATCAGTGCCCGATGTCCATTTGATACAACTCGAATTTATGTGAGTTTAAACCTCTTTTCAAAACCACTTCTTTACATTACAGTCTGCCTTGATTCATCGGTCATTCTCTCTGGGCTTGCTTTAATTGAGATATGACCATCAATAAAAAAAAATCCTAGGAGAAAATTCCTTTTACTTTGTTACTTTATTTCAAACATTTTTCTCCTGTCTCTCAGGACACCACCCTGGCTTTGTGGGTTCCCTGTGCTTTGTTGGCAGCATTTGAGGCTGGACTGTCTGTCTGGTGCTTTATCGTTGGACTGGCTCTGAGAGGGGTGGAGCCCTGCAGAAAGAGTTACATCAAAGAGCAGGTGTGTGTGTGTGTCTTTGTGTGAGGGGGTGGGTGGGTATCCTTGAAGGGTGTGACTGTGCTGTGAGTGCGTCTGATCATCTGTGTAACTCAGACTTAAAAACACAGTGATCTTTTCTCACTTAGTCTGTATGACACTAAATAAAATAACATCAAGTAAAAAACACTTTTATGGATTCTGGCTGATGCTATTTTTTCTCTTTTCCAGTTGGAGGGAGAGGCTGAGTGCTCCCCTCACAGCCAGCGTCTGATTGGACGGCGCTCTAACCCTGATGCCTAACTGCAGAAAAAAGAAGGAATCAACTCGGTGCAGACAAGCACAGCTCAATCCAAACAGACATTGCTGCTTATTGACACTAGATTTTGCCCATCATTCAGCCTGGTGAGTCTCACTGTAGAAATGGCGTTAAATCAGCCCCTGGAAAATGCTTTTTTTTACTTGTGCTATAATGATGCCGCTTCATATGATTCATACTGTAGATGGGTTACTAAGTGTCTGTCTTCGCTGTCATCCATAAACCAAACAGTTTTTTGTGTGAATGAAGCTGAGAGCAGACAAATGTTTGTATAAATTGAGTATGTCTTTCCATTTTGAAATGCATCCATGATTAACATCATAAATATCACAAAATGCATTCATCAGAGGATGCACTGAAAATTGTTGATCCTTCAGTGCAGACCTAAGGATTTAGTGTGCATGCACAACTATGAAGAAGCAGCAATGGGCTATATATGAGGTCTTATCAGCATCCTCTGTTCATTAAGTACATTTTAATACTTAAAAAATATATATGATTTTAATTATATTTTAGCTGGTAAAAGTACCATTTAAGCAAAAACACTGTTTGTTGTTCATACTATTTTTAATGTTTGCTCTTGTATCAAACCACTCCCACAAATGCAGATGCATTTAACAAACCAGTGTAAGTTGTAAGCTTTAAGATGAAGACACAATCTGTTAAGTGTAATTTGCTTTCTATAAAACGCCAAATAATCTCTTTTTACTTTTATATGCAGTGGTTGACTGAATTTAAAGGCACATCTTTAAATAAACTCTTTGAGTACTGTTTGCATTTCATTTGATGATGATAAGACAGGGGCAGTTAGTGATGCAAAGTTTTTATTTGCTACTTGATGATTGGTCAAATTATTGTATAAATCCAGCCTTTAAAGTACAGTGGTTTATATATTTTTTGTGTTGATTTTAATTTTCTGACCATTTTTTTTATCATGTTTGTTCTGTTTATTAATATAAGCTTTATATAATTTGCTTTTACCTCTCACAGTACTTGTGCAACATGAAGATTATGAGGGTAGAAACTTCAATAGAGCATTTTGATTTCTGCATAAACCCAAAGTAACAGTAGATCTCACAAATGCAGGAGATTTTAAAAGCATGTTTAAGGAAAGACGATTTAACCCCCCTGAATTCAACGTAATCTAGAGTGTGGCACGGCTGTGTGTGGATTGCGAGCATTAGTGTATGTACTGTATACTGTAGTTGAATGTCAAGTGGGGTCACATAAAGAGGTTAAACCAGTATGTGGGCCAGCTGCCTCAGTGGGCACGGACCCCCCCATGACTCAACGGCAGAGAAGAGCAGATCAGCCATGAAACAGTTAATCTAGAGCTGTGCTCAATTGTGTGGAACAGAATCATAGCATGCAGTCCTAATCCTGAGGCTGTTAGGGATAAATATTGACGCAGTGTTGACTAATACAATCACAACATGTCTGTGTGGACCTTTAGTCAGTACACTCATGGACATCGTTTCCTGTTGAGAAAGAGATTTCATAAAAATAAGTACTTGGTGAGATGTACCAATGACCTGAAATGAAACATGCTTTAAAACATAAATTCAGTGCAGTGGTTACAGACAGTGTGCAAACGTGGAAATAGGATTATACACCACATTTACATCTTCACATTATTTCCAACAGAAAGTTTGACGTAAGAAGGTTTGACTAAAACATCATTTCAGTGGATGACAAACAGTTATGGTGGTTGTGATGATGTCTCCAAAAAGTAAAGAAAAATAAAGCTGCTGAAATGACTTGAGCAGGATGCTGAAATAAGACTGCTCCAATGATTCAGCATAGCAGAAAAATATCTTGAAGATGTTAAAGATGTGTTATTTGTCAACTGACTGTTCTCTCATTTTTTTTATAAAGTTGAATACCACAGAAGTACTTATACCCTGTTTTAAGCGTGTGGTTTTCTACCAGTATCTACATTCTATGTATGATTTTTTAATAAAGTTTTGTAATAATGATTCCCTAAAACTTTGTGTGTCATTATACAGTTTATTTTAATTTTTTTGAAAGTATTAATTCCATACACATAGTATATTTCTTGATTTAATCTGCCGTCATTTAGGATGAGAAAAATCTGTCACCATTTATAAAAGATTATAATGGTTGAGGAAATTTAGGTTAGCATTTGGGTATATGAGAAGTATAGTAAAGACATATGGCCAAAAACTTACATTCTCTCCACCTCCCCAGCATTGCTTGCCTGCAGCCAAGTGATGAGGCTGCCTGTAGTATCTGCAGACATCTTTTTTTTTAAATCAACCTCATGGGTGCAGGTATGGCATCAATCAGACCTGACTGATAAGCTTGTTTAGGCTATCTGTGAGGGGTCGTCTTCAAATGTAGGGTACATTTACCAGCCATTATATTATCATGAGCATGTATAACCCAATCCAATACAACAGCTCTACCAAAAGTTCCAGGGAGCTTCTAAATTTTTGTTGATGATCAGACAGGTGATTATTATACTTTATATATTGAAGAGTTAGGCCCATCCAGCACAAAGACTCTTCTGCCTACTACTGTCTGGCAAAAGGTACAGGAGTCTGCCAGCACACACTAAAAGACTGAAGAACAGTTACTACCCACATGCAGTTTGTTTACTAAACTCCAGGCAGAACCTGTGATGCGCAATACCATGTGCAATACAGCAATTCGTACACCGTTATTTATCATCATGCAATATGGCAATTTTCATACCTCATTTATCCCACCGACTTATCCTCCATTTCATACATTCGCACTCAGCATCTACTGCATCGCTTGTGCACTTTGTAAATATTTCTCTTATACTTTTATTCGTCTTTAATATTTTTGTATCCTTATTCTATTAGATTCCCCTCAGTACTTATTGTGTGTTTCATCTGTACTCCTTTAAGTCGAGCGGTCCTCTCATCCAGGGCATTTCATTGCATTGTTGACCTTGTTTAACATGCACATGACAAATAAACAAATCTTGAAATCTGAAATACATCATATTGACAGGTGTTCCTTATATTTGATCCACTTCCTAGTAAAGCAGTAATGCATAATATTACTCTATATTATGTGCTGCAGCACACCACCAACACAAACTAAAAATAAAGCAATTAATTTAAAGAACAATTATCCTCTTTCTGACCAAGTGAACAAAAAATTGAAAGTGTTGAAGCTTTGTTTAAGTATATTTGCAGAACCGGCCCAAGGCATAAGCGAACTAAGCGCCTGCTTAGGGCCCTGCGGCCAATAGGGGGCTCCCCGGGAGCAATTAAAAAAAAATGCTAACTATGTTTTTATATTTTGCATCCATGAGTGATGCTTTCTGTAAGATCAAATATATATTATTGTAAAAATAAAATAAAGTGAAAACATTGTGCTTCTGCTGATGTAGGCCTATGATTCTTACTGCCGATGCGTCAAAGCTCCACTCCCGTTATGTGCCTTCTGCTGTGCAATGTGCACTGAGCATCCAAAGCGCACGTAGTTGTGGGGCAAACCAATGTCGCAGAAAAGGACATATCTTTCAGGAGCAGAGAAAAGAGAAAAGGATTAAGAGAAAAAACGCAAAGATAAAGGTATGTTTGCATGTCATGGAATAATAAACAAAGAGATTTGTGAAAGTGTGTGAACGATCAGCAATCATTATTATTGGCAGAAATAGGGGGCCCCAACATCAAATTTTGGTTAGGGCCCCATTGAGGCTTGGGCCGGCTCTGTACATTTGTATGGTATGGTTGTACGGTATGATACTTGTGGTTATATCGGGTTGCACTAGATTGCCCGGGTGTTCATAATGTTATAGCAGTTCAGTGTATATTTGTAGTGTAATGATGAGGTGCACAGCAAAGCTTGACATCGTGTAATGTGCAGTTGGGAGGCTGGGGCCAATTAAGTCATGTCTGCGCGGTCACGACGTCTCCGCGGTCACGATGAGAAGGCTGCACGCTGCAGCCAGTCAGTGAGCCAGCCAGCTGCAAACAGTGGAACAACGAAGAAGTGCTGCAGTGAACGGAGGCGAGGAGAGCCCGAGCCGCTTGTTGTTCCTACAAGGTAAAGCATTTATCATTTTAACGTTTTAAACAAACTACTTAATTCATTTCAGCAGTATTTTAGACAAGAAAGCTAAGCATTAGCTGAAAAAAGGTTTGAGGGAATCGTGAGCGCTCAGAGTGGGCTGTGGGGTTGAAGACACTGCAGTGACAAACGCTCTCAGCTCCTAAGATTGATATGCTGTCTCGGTGTGATCCTGGCGTGTCACCGTGTATGTTTGTTGCTCCGGTAGAGCGAGGATACCACCCTGTAGCCCAGTTTTTAAAGGTCTCAAACTAGTCCGCGTCCTTTTTAAGAGAGCGTATAGCAGTAGTGATGTGACCTGTACCGTTTACCGGACAGTGGTGCTCTTGCTCTGTGTTATTTAACGTTTTCAAATTTCCGTCAATTTCCGTGCGAGCTAAGCTATCAGCGATGATGCTGGGATTACAGGGCAAGTTAGCTCGTGCCCAGTAACGGTCGAATGGGAGCAGTTTGACGCATGGGGAGATTACAACTCGACAAACGGACTCGGATTTTCTCTTTCATTTCTAAGCTTTTTTTCCCTCTAAAGTTTACTGAGGCAGTCAACCATTAAGACGCTGACTGGCAGGGTGTGAAACATCGCAAGGTTGCGTTACTGTTGCCTGGCCAACATCTCACAAACACGAGAGCGGGGGAGTGTCCGACCGTGCGCAGGTGTAACGTTCATATTCAGCTGCGCGTGAAATCTGCTGTGGTTATTGTGGTCTGCTTTCAATATGTATAAGGTGCTGTAGTGTTAAAAATGAACTGTGTACGACCCTGTCAGACAACGCAGCGTGAAGCATATGCCACTCTGATTTTCTTTTTGTGATTCAAACAACTGTTTTTCAAGAGTCACACCGTCTGTTTAAGTATTTTAAAAGTTATATGCATTTTGATCGGTATTTTCACTTCTTATGGGTGTGTCTGAGGAGGGACGAATACAGTGCATTTCTCCTTAAAAAAGGAAGACCACTTGCCCTGCTTGTTTGACCATCAGTCCCTTCTTCTTTGTGTGTTTAACCTGCAGGACCTGCTTGATGGATCCACCTCAGGATGGCAGTTGAATGCGACAGACTGGATCCTGTTGTCTTGAGGGGGAATCAATAAAATCATCTGGACTTCAGACATCTTTTGAAATGTCAATAAAGATGAAATGAAATGAGGCAGTGAGAGACAAGGGAAAAGCAAACTAGAGGAGGCCTCCAGCAAACGCTGACGGTGGAGCTATTATCTCAGGGATGTGCTTTCAGTGTGAGGATGGAACAAGGGGAATCTGTCCTTGACCAGGGGATTGACAGGGTGTGGAGCAATACCCCAACTTTGCAAAGGAACAGGAAATACTGCCATGGGTGGTGAATTTCATATCGGACACTAAGCACAGCCTCATTCATAGACTGCGGATGAATTTGAACTTAACCTTGTGCACAGTGGGGCCTTGCTGAAATTTTTGCTGTGACCTCTGCTGTGAACACTAAAAACGATCTTTTAAAGATGCTTTAAAAACAAATCCTGTAAATCTTATGGTCATCCGTCCAAGCCACCTTGGAGTAATGTCCAACACAAAGATGCATACACCTGTTGGAAGAGGATGTAAAGAAGACTGGTTTTCAAAAACTACAACCATGTATTGCAGACGGAGAGTTCCTGCTCGTGTTCCTCTCCTCCATACCTTCCTGCTCCTCTTCTCCCTGGTTACCCCCACAGTCTCCATCCATATGGAGTCCATAGAGAGCCACAGTGAATTTAGCTGTGAGCCCATCAGACTGAGAATGTGCCAGGATCTGCCTTACAACACCACCTTTATGCCCAATCTACTGAACCACTATGACCAGCAAACTGCTGCACTCGCCATGGAGGTAGGTTGAATTTTGTGTTGTGCATTCATTTCTGTGTTTGTTTAGTGTGTGTGTGTGTGTGTTTGTTGAGATACTGGTTAGCTGCTGAGAGAAGAGTGATATTTGATATTGTTTGAAGAAAGCCAGAGCTGTGAATTTTGAGTGACTGCTGACAGCAAATGAACCAGTCTTTTTCTTGGTGACAAGGTGTAAAATCTGTAAACAAAGACAAAGCAACAATCTGCAGGATCTGATGTTGTTGTGTCATGCACCCACTGTTGGCAAAATGATTTTTCACACAGTGTTAAACGATGTTATCAGGAGCGCTGTTTTTGAAAAGAACAAGATATTGTCGTCCAAGGTCAAAAGATGACATTTTTTTTCCACACAGGGTTTTGTCTGTGTTAATAATTAAAGGTTCATTCATATAGTGAGAACAATACTAGTCATCGGCCAGCAACCCCCCATATCTCTAATCATTAGAAAGTACACAAAGTACACAGAGGTGGTTTGAATTGAAACAATGCGGAGTCCTAGCTCTCCAAATTGCATTCATGGAGCCACACGTCCTGTCGAGGTAAAGTGGCTTTTACAAAGGCGTGGAAAATCAAAGAGGTGGCAGCAGCAGCAGCAGCAGTGAAAAAGTTGAGGAAAGGTGATAGGTGATCTCCTCATGTTACAGCTTCATCACTACATGTCACTGTTCCAGGTAGACAAAGACGGATGTGTACGTATTCACTCACATGAGCATTTTCAGTTTCAGGTCAGTTTTTAAGCAGCAGCAGAAGTCTAAATCAGAGAGATGTATGATGTATCATGTGACTGATGCAAGTTAATAGTTTTTACTGCGTGAACATTATTTTTTAAAGGCAAAATGTGTCGTGGCACAAAGTGAGTGCAACAGTACATACACACCATCCATCCATATCATCTTACGTCTCCTTTGTTACTCCTCAGGGAGGGAGACACAGCGCAGAGCGAGGTGTTGCTCAATAACAAGAGCGTAATTACCCGTTTGCAGCAAGTATTCATGGGCACCAAAGGCGCTGTATGGCACCGTGTTTGAGATGTGGACAATTATTGGTTAGGTGTGGTTGTCGTTCAGCACTAAAATATTGTAGGACCGCCTAATAATTTTCTCTCAAAAAGACAATTCCATACAAAGAAAAAAAGAAACCCGAGCCTGTTGTAGCAGGAATACACGTTTTTTCTCTCCATTAGGTTGTCATGTTTTGTTTCTCTTCATCAGTCCACGTCTGCAAGCGGAAACCCCACTATGTCGTGTTGATTGGCATAGTTTAAGCTGTATTTTGGCTACTGTGTATACACTGGGGCTTATAGTTTAAGCAACACTGAAGGATAACAAATAGTCAGTAGAATTAATTCTGCCTCCAGCTGTTCATAGTTGGCGTATTAAATTACCCCTGTTGAAAAGCAAATACATTTTGGACAAGACCCGTGTTGGCTGTGTGCACGTTGTCTGTCTAATCTTAGGGGATTTTTATTTTGAGTTGATGTTTGGTTAATATTTTCCTGTGTCAAAAGCAGATGAATGTCAGCCAAAAGATCAAACAAAAATTTTCTATGCTGTGACTCCCTGAATATTTAATCACACAGAGGGATTTCCAACATTATCTCCTGTCAAAATATGCTGTAGATCACTGCTGTCAGATGCTCCTTTTTTCCTCCTCAGTAAATAGAAACATTAAAAAAACAGCTTTATTTTGGATCGACGGGCGTGCATTTTGAATTTGCTGAGCGCGTTTGGAATGGGTGATAACACTCACCGAGGAACAGGATTCACTCAGCACAATAAGAACCATGCAAATATTCAGATCAAGTAAATTCCCCAGTGCCATGTCAAAATACACTGTGTAAGGATTTGTAAGAAACGTCTGTTGTTGAACTTGATTTGACCCAGATGAAGAAGGAGCCAAGTAACTGACACCACCAGTCCCTGCAGTCATGGAGGAGACATCTTTTTTGAAGATGGTTGAGCAGCAACATGAGCTCTGCTAGTTTTCCTGCTCTGGTCTGCTTTAGAGGGTGGGGTACTCTTTCTGGGAACCCTGGAGGGAATCTAATAAAAATATGTCTAGGGACAATAGCTGTGTGGAAGCAACTTGTGTGTATGTGTGTGTTACACTTACAAGCGCATCAGCTTTTGTGAGTGTAAAAGGGCACATGGAACTGTAGAAAAAATAGTCTAGACTATTTTCACTCATCTCTCACTAATCACTATTTTTTAGTACTCCCTTTCCTGAATTAAAACAACAATGTTATCATATTGTTGTCAAACATGAAGTTTATGGAAAATCATGATAAAAGATCATACTTTTAACCTCATAATTGCTGATACCTTTGGTGAGAAAACAGTATTCTATAAATGTTTTTCAGCTATGGAGGCTAAAACATGCTGATTGGAACATTTTCTCTTTACAACAGCATAATTATTTAAATCCTCCCTAAACAGAAGCTAAGGTGCAGTACAAACTTACAGCAGCCCAGTAAGAATTATATCTGGACTAAAAACATTTTTTTTTGTCAGTGTCTGCTCAGTTGTGTGTAACTAAATTCAGTTAAGTTTAAGACTTACAGATGTTAAAAGAAAGCACTGCATATATTATGGAGGTCTATGACTGTCAAAGTTAGAGCTGTTTTGTTTTGGTCATTGTAACATTATTAACTAATTTATCATGACAGGAGTTTATTCATATGTAGTTGGACCAATCCATAACAAAAGTTACCCCGTGAGATTCTCACTAAGAGCAGATTTAGACTGTTGTCTTTGTGAATTTATAGCTGAAATCCTCGCATGCAGTCTGATCGTATTCTCAGCAACATTAAAATAAATAGAATCCTTTTCATTCCAGTTCTGGATTCATACACAACTGCTGTTCAGTTAGTGTGAAGTATTTCAGATGCCTTCATGAAACTGGAGCCATTGTCGGCAGCTGTTGTAATCACTTTTTGGGTCGCATCACATGATGAATGTTTGCTCTGGCTCTGGTGAAGCTTTCGTGTCTGTGCTTTCTTACAAAGTAGATAAATCTGTCCAGTGGGCCGTGGCCGTCATATCATGTTCATTTTTATTATGAGCTATCTTCAAGTAAAAGGTTGTGACATATTTAAGCCCTTGACTCAAAAAGAGCTCTGGCTGCCTTTTGTGGGGTTTGGAGTCGGGCCGTCATTGAGTCATCAGTTTTGGCTGACATTGAAGAAATTGCCTTCTTTTCCCCACTGCTGTCTCAGTCGACACTCCAGGCTAAAAAAGGATTTTCTTGGCTGTGTTTGCACGATGAACAAGTCCACCTCTATTTATCGTTTGAGTGACAAGCTCAAGGTAAAGAGTAGGATTTCTCCTGTGTGCTTATTCAGAGTCTGGCTTCAGGCTAACTGTATGCTAGTACTTCCTGTGTGTATGAGTGACAGGGAAGGTTAACGGTGCCAGCTGTCATCTCTCACGAGTGCTAACTAGCTGCTAATCTCTTTCTCAGTCCCACAATGAAGACATTGATTCCCACAGACCGACGGCCACCTCCATCTGCCACAATACTCAATTAATCCTGCGAGTGGGTGAGAGAGACTGAAATACGAGAAGATGGGGAAAAAAGAGGAAATGGATCTCAAATGAGAGACTGTGTGAAGAGTGAAATGATGTCTTTGAAATAATGTTAGGGTGTGCATGCACGTGTGTAAATACATGCTTTTGTTTCTTCATGTCACTCAGGAACATGGTCTGTACCGCCCATCTGTCACAGCTCACTATTGTTCCCAGGAGATGTGCTGCAGGTCGTGACATTACTTGTAGTAAAACAAAGAGATCAAGATGAGACATCACTCAGATTGTGTGTCTGCTCATAGAGACGAAGACAGATCTGGTAATCTAATTATACATTTTCAATACAGTCAGAGTTTTTAGCATGTTTTAATATTGATCAAGGATGCGCCTATCAGTGAGTTTGAAAACACTCTAAACCACTAGTAAATAATTTAGGATACAAAAAATCAATAAAATAGATATCAGCCTCTTCTTGTCCAGGGATTTTGTTTCTTTGCAGTAGCAGACAAAGAAAGATGTCAGGAAGGACTTGATGTGTCAGGGATACAGTGTGCCTTCAAACGTTACTACAGTGATGAAACAGAGACATGGCTCCTCCTGTTACTGTGCACAAAGCTTTGGCAGACCAGATATCTGCTTTGCCATAGACTTCAGTAGTGAGTTGATTGGAAGATATTTAAAGTCTTATTTTTGTGCGGATGCGACATCCTTTCTCCTGACTGCATGCAATTGGATTCATTTTTATCCAATTTGTCTAATTTTATTTTAGGTCAATAGGACAAAAATAACTACAACTACTGCCTCAGCCACAGTTCTGTGGTTTTCTGCTTAAAGCCCTTGTTTCTCAATTCTCCCCTCGGTGTCTTGTACTATTTTTCAACAAAGTGAGCTCCTGACAAATTCAAGTGTTTACTGCAAAAACATGTTTGAAATAGATACTGATGAAATCAAGCTCTTTTAAAACCATAATATTATTTATTGATGAGAGTCTAGTTTTATTTTATTTTTTTTAATCCTTCAAATTCTCACAAAACTCACACAGTGGCGTTCTCTATGTGGACATTTCGTCTCATTGAATTCACCCAGAGGATTCCAGGCCAGTCTTTTTAATTTGGATCCTGGAGTGAAGAAGATTAGAAAGCCCCGGGTCTAACAGTCACCTAAGAATGGCTCATTTGGCTCACAATAGAGTGCACTGTTTGTAAAGCAAATAGACAGCAAGCCTAACTCTGAATGAAGGGACTTAGAGCTGTCAGTCACTCCGTTTACATGCCTGCTACAAAATCAGGTTATTCAGAGAAATCAAATTAAGGTGGGAATTCTTTACAATGGCCTGATTGCTGTAAAAACCAACCTTTACGACGGATCCCATTTCTGTGGTTACTGATTCCCACAAGCAACTCAGACAGTTTAAGTGTGTTGGTGATATGAGACCCCGCAGCCTAATGAGTCCTTTTCTTCTTTTGCTAATGCGGCGTTCAGGTTGACAGCATAGTAATAAGAAGTTGCATAGCTTTTCCTTACTGTATGCTTTCATCTGACATTTACAGTGGGACTTAATCTCATAATCTTTCCATATTATAACGTTGCAGCGGTTCTCCTGACTGGATGCATTCTTTTGAAATAATCGGTCTGTGTTTTTTTTTTTAATCTCATACCTCAAGTAATAGATCCAAGTTTGTTCTCTTTTTTTTTGGTTTAAGAATTCAAGTTACTGCAGGGAGCTAGCACTCACCTCTTAAGTGCAACACAGTCATGCATCCTGCCTTCATTAAGCAGGGTTTTAGTTACACGGACAAAAAGCTGTTTGACAGTAATGTGATGCTTATGTGGTCCATCAAAGAATATGATACCCAATTTAAATTACAAGGGGTTAAAAGGAAATTTCACTCAAACTTGGGTTGTGTTTTCTGTGGTGAAATTCTTTTTGGTGGTAGGAAAGAGAGGTTCTCTTTCACTCAAAATTCAGAGTGATAACAGTAGGAATAGCTCTCAGATTAAAGAGGTTGTACCATCACTCTAATAAGACACTGGAGAGTGTTCTGTTGTTCTGCTAGCAGGCCATCTTTGTGTTTTTCATTGAATTTTAGAAGAAATACATTGTAAGATAGGGTCGGGAATCACCTGTGGCCCCACAATACAATATAATCACAATACGATATTATTGCGATTTTTAACATGTATCACAATACAGTATTGCGATATAATATATTTCAATTTATACTTTTTTTTTTCAACTGTTTAGCTAATTTAGCATTTGTCTGTCCTTTATTTTTGTCTTATTTACACAGTATTTTATTTTCATGTAACACATCTTGCAAACCTTATGTGTCAGGTCCATCTCATTTGTGCCCTGCTTGCATTCCTAATGTCTTTCCCCAGGTGCCGCTATATTTGTTATACTAACTTTCTCCTGCTCTATGATGTCACCACTGCCAACCTCATTGGACAAACAGTTGATTTTATTTTTCATTATCATAGATCTGACTCCACATTAGCAATTAATTTGAGAAAATCAATACTTGGTAAATGTGACAGTAAGATATATCACCAGACAAAATATCGCGATACTATGCTGTATCGATTTTTTCTCCCACCCCTACTGTAAGATAACTTTGTTACAGTCGAGATATCTTCTGTCACTGCTGCTTGTTTTTTCTTTAGCTATTACTAGAGCTATAAATTGAATGATAGTTGGCGAGGTAGGGCTATTTCTAAAATTTATGGGTTGCAGTCAGATGTATAAATGATAATCTGGGGTGCTCCAAAATAAACCAGGAAAAGAATCTAAGGGACAAAGTCTTTAATGAAAGGAATGTGTGAAGTATAGTTTGAACAGAAAGAGTGAGTAGTGAACAAGCTGAGGGAAATAGTGACTGACTGACAGGTTGTGTAAAGTCTTTAGACCCTACTGTCTCCGGTGTTTGTGTTTCCCTCAGCATGGGGTCCTGTCCTTCAAAATAAGACTGCTCTGTTTAGAAAGGGCCACCCTGGGGCCACCAGGTCCCCTCTACAGAAAGAGTCTGTGTGTGCCAACTTTGGAGAGTTCGGGGCCTGTTGTGCTCAAGCAAGGTCTGTTGTGTTTTTCTTTTTTGTGTGTGTGTGAATAAAAAAAAGAGAGAATTAGGTTTTATGGAGGTGTGCTTTGTATAGATGTGTGTATGTGTGTGTATGTGTATGTGTGTGCGCGGGTGAGAGAGTGAATGTGTGTTCATGGTTTTCAGTGCATCTGAAGAGGCTGAGTACTCTATTCACTGGTGGAAACGGACAGGTCCTCATTCAGCTTTTTAAGTTCCTGTTTATTTCAGTTGAACTCTTGATTATCCTGCTTGTTCTGATAGTCTATTGAAGCGGCTGGCCGTAATGAAGCAATCATTTATTTATGCTAAGAACAAAAGCACGACCTGGTGCTGTTCCCATTAGCATAGCTGCCACCACCACTGCTTATCCAGCCTCTCCATGCCAAGCAAAAAGAGATTTAAGGAATCTTTGGAGCGATTTCTCATTGCTCAAACACTGCTCTGTAGCCAAATGTAAATATAGCACCACAGGTTTCTGTGAATTGATGAGGCAAGATTTTCTTCTCTTGTTCTGCAAGGGTAAGATACTGCAGTATGCTTTAGGTGGGATTGCAACAAGAAGAAAATGTAAAACCACATTCATCTTGTACCAGGTCCTACTTTTTAAAACCTTTATCTTTCACAGTTTCATGATGGATCTCAATTTTTTTTTCCATTGTCTGTTTATTATTTTACAGGGAGAAAATTTATTCAGCTTGTAGGTGAATTGTTAAAACCAGAAAAAAGGGGAGAAATTCCCATCAGGCTGACAAAGAGCCCAAATAAAATATGTATTCCCCTTTTACATTCATCAATGGTCAAAAAACAGAGGAGATTTTTTAATTTCAGTGATTTAAAACAAGGAAAACAAATCCTGTTCCACAAGCTGGCACTAGTAAACACTTGGCAGTTTGCCGTTACTGGATAGTGGTGTTGTGGAATTCAGATTTGGAAAGATATATAATGCAACACAATTATTGTCAGAGTTTAAATCATTTTGATATATTTCCTAGAGTTGGTTGTGATCTTTCAATTACTTAAAACAGACTCATTACATCATTATTACTGTAAGGAGTGTCCAAGTGTTTTGTTAGATTTATGTGCTTGTTCAGCCCACTTTAGTCTCCCCATCCATCCTCTGCCTGTCCTTATAACCGCAGATAAACAGATACAGATGTTCTTACGAGTCCCTCCAGATTTTTGGTCTCACACGACCTGATCTGTTACCTTCACACACCCTCACAGAGCCCTGCATGGCTGGACTCATAAATATAGGTTATTCATGTATTATGGTCTTAATCTAACCCATGACCAGCCTGGGATCTGCATGTTTGTGTGTGTGTGTGTGTGTGTACGTCTAGTGAGAGATGTTTAACCCTCCCTGTTAAGCCCAGCTTCACACTAACATACACACAAACACTCACATCATTGATCCCCTTCTCACGCAAAGCCACTCGACACAAGGCAGCTCAAACATTTTCACCATTCTGCAGGTCAGGACCAGCGTCGGCATTAAGAGCTCTGGTTCCACTAATTGTGCACTTATCAAGACTCATGCAACTTTCAGCTCTCCCAAAATAGCTCACACATAAAAGCACATTATCCCACAGATTTTCAATCTGTTTAAATCAGCTCAGACTTTGCATTTTGTGGACATGATTCCTTTTAAGTTTTAGGAAATAGGTTTCTTGTAATGTTATTTGTGACACGATTTCATCTTGTGTGGTCTGGACATGAACCAAATCTGTTTTTGTGCCTTTCCTCCTGAATTCATCAAAACAGAAATACACAGTTCATGTTGACGGGTTAGATGGTAATGCAGGGCTCTCAAGTTTTGAACTAAGCTTAGAGTGAGATTTCCTTGGGGGGGTGATTGAAGATAATTATTAGTATAATTATCTCTTAAATACAACGGAGTATAAGGGGCACAATTAGAAAAAAAAAACGTTTTTAAATCTTAAAGAATAAAGTTATTATTTGGGAGAATAAAGTCATTAATATATAAGTATTAAGTCGTAAAGTTACCTGCTGTGAAGGAGAGTTGTTAAAATCAGCACTGTGGAGCATTTAGATGAATTTTACTTTAGTATAGGTTTCACAAACATGGAGATACTTAATCCTTTGGTACATGAGCATAACACTGTCATGAGTATCAGAACTTATATTTGAGATATATGAGAAATGCTGCTTTTGTGGAGGGGAAAATGGCCGGAAATGGCTGTACAGAGGCTAAATCCTTCAATACAGCTGTTAATAGCAAAAGCATAGGGCTTTAGTTTATCATATGAGTTTGTATGCCATGAGGTGTTGAGGTCTCTGCATGTGTAGGTTACTGACTTACTGTAATCATCGGGTCTATCTCGTCCTTATAAAAACCTGCTCTATTTCGGCGAGTGTCTGTCTTCTTCTGTAGTCAAACCGTAAGATATCAAAATCTACCCGGATACAGCAATGCTGCTTTTTTATTGGCTGTTCAGTAGATATACTTTATTTGATTGGCTTGGCGTGGCACGCAGCTTCTGAACTCTCGGAGGAACTCAGTTGATTCCTACCTGTTCCATAGTTAAAGAGGTGCAACTTGGTGGACATCACCATGTTCCTTTAAATGCGTGAGAAATACAATGTGTGGCGTGTGAGCGTGTGAACGGGTGGGAATGCGTGTATCACACGCTGAATGCGTGAGACTTGAGAGCCCTGGTAATGAGTTAATCGAATGCATATGGTCCTCTTCGTCTCATCTACATCTATTTCCCATCTACACCTCCCAACAGTGGTCTAACCCAGCCCTCCCACTCACTCTGTGACTCACATAATTAGTCCATTTCAATCTCCACATCTCCCTCTGACCTTTAGATTCTATCAGTGTATTTATGAGTGATTTAATAACACAGTTTGGTTATGAAGCGGATTATTCTTCCTCTATCGTGACTGAGTGGTGGTGTAGCAGTGTAACATAGTGGTTTAACCAAGGATATGGCCAAACGTTGTCAGATTACTACAAATTTACAAAACGGATATTTAGACTTTGTCCACCAGTAACTAAGTGTAACTCAGAACTTGGACTGTACTCAACCAAAGAAATTCTCGGTCGACTAAAATCCTGAAATTTTCGATCAAAAATCGACTAATGGGAGGTGGGGGTGAGGGGGGGTGTCCGACTCTGAAGACAAACCCTTCTGCGGCGGGGTGAAAGTATACTGATATCAGCACAAGAAGGCAATTAAACACAAAAGGTAAGTTAAAACGCTCAAAATAGAAATACATTTAGAAAACCACTGGACGTTGATTCACGGGGACACTCTTCAATCTTCCTGTCTCCAGCTGGTCTTCAGTGGGTTGGGCGAGTCCAAAATGGTGAAAACAGGGGGGGTGTTCTGAGACAGACTGTTACCTGTGAAACAGAGGTGCTCTGAAAACACCCCTATTAGCACATGGTCCGTTCCTCCCGATGACATTAACCATAGACTGTAAACTAACGCGGCAAAAATCGAGAGCATGTATCGACCAATAAGTCGACCAGTCCATGACGAGGACTTTACAGCCCTATTCAGTACTTGTGTTTTTGCTTCTTGATTTATATTGAATTTGTTGCATAATGCTTTTCAAAATGAACATTAAAGCATCAGTTTTTAATTTTAATGGTTGAAAACCGAATGATTTCTGTATGCATCAGTACTTACTCATGATGCCTGAGCTGCAAAACTCACATTTTAATCAGTGTGTAACATAGCAGAGGTGAGAGTGTTAAACAGATGGGTTAGACACAGGCAGCTTGGATGGTGTTGGGATGTGTGGGTGCCATCTGATTCAGCTCTATTGTCTCTCTCTTGGCCTCCCATCTACATCTCTATCATTTCATGTGATCCCCTCGTACGCCTCTCAGTTTCTTTTCACACTCACTTTCACACTCTTTTTGTACCACTCTTTGTTCGAGCTTGTTGGCTGTACTTTTTGGACGATTATACTTTGCTCTGTTATCTTCAATGAGACTTGTCCCTGTGAGCCTTCACATCACCTGTTGCCATGGTAGTTAAATAGGCAGAGAAGGAAGGGGAGGAATGGAGTGAGGGAGACAGACAGGCAGGGGGGGTGGAAATTGGATGATGAGTGCATGTTCTGGACTTAACCAAGGAAAGGAGGGACAGAGGAGGAGGGGAGGCACTGATAATGAAAGGCAAACTGAGGATATAGAAGATGATGATCTTTGTTTTTAGGTCATACATCTCTGTTACCATCTGTCTTGGAAGATAAGAGTTCTAAAGCGTCTGTTAAATATCTACCTTTTTCAGTCTGGGCTGTGTAAACATGATTTACTTGAGCATGTTTCATGCAAAAGACAGGCCTGTTTTGTTGCCAGTGTGAGACAGCTGCTGAAAGAAGTTTAGACACAGTCTTTGCATGTTTTGCTTTATTGTTGCCCGGAGAAGTTGCATGATTTAAAGAAAAGTTTGACTTTTAAACAGACTGTTCTCATTGCAGTTGTTTGTTAGTGGGAAGTCATCCTCTGAAATTAAATAAATAAATGTGTGTTAGTCTAATGAGACAAACAAAAGCCTGGGTTAGTGAAAGGAAAGGTTGCACCGGGGTTGTAACATAGAAAAAAGATGAGTTGAGAGACACAGAAGGTTGGCAGGGTTGAAATGACAGGATAAAAAGGAGGGAAAGTCTATGAATGATGATGTTGGAGGAGAAAATTGAAAAGGAAAAGTGGAGGAGGAGGAGGATGAGTGCATGTCAGCGTAATTGCCAGGAGAAAATAGGAGGCAAAGAAAATAAGAGATGAATACAGGAGAAAAAAAGATAGGAGGGAGAGAGGAGGGGAAGTGAACGTGAAGGGGAATGCCATTAACAGCTTTGTCGGGTCCTCCTGACTGAACGATGGATGGACACGGATAAACGAACAAATGAATGAAAGAGGGAGAGAGTGTGAGAGAAGGGTGCCCCTTTCTTAACTGTCTTTTCAGAGATTAGGGAGGAGAGCATCACACTCTGTTCACTTCGTCTATTCATGGCCAACGCCTGTCTCTCTCACGAGCGTGTGAGAGCAGAGCAGAGGAGGGGCACATAGCCAGAGTGTGTGTGTGTTTGTGGTGTGAATCTGTCTGTGAATACTATGTGTGTTTTATAAAGGGAAACGTGGAAAATGTTCCTGAGATTCATTTTTTTTTCTTTTCTTTTAAGTGCAGAAAAGGGGGGCTTCAGCCAGAAAACAATGGAGTACTCAACAAAAAGGAATAAAAACTAGAAGATAAGACTGTTCAAGGAGAGCGAACTGGAAGGATCATGTAATTGCTGGGTGATAGTGAAGGAAAATGATGCACTTTGAGATACAGAGAGAGGGAGAGAGTGTAATTGGCTCTAATGTGTAGATGGATGCAAATAATAGCCTAAGTGCAAGGAAGAAAAATGGAGAGGTAGCACGGCAGCAGCAGGGAGGGAAAAGCAAACAAAATATTATAGCTACTGCAGAGAGAGGAGTAGAAGATTTAGTTGTAGTTTTTATTGGAGGGTTTTTTGTTGCAGGAATGTTAGATTATATTGTAGCTAATGGAGTCAGAGTTGATATGGTCTGACAGCATCTGTGCTGCAGGCCCCACTGACTAATTTCAGAGTGAGATGTAGAGAGAGCGCGTCAGAGAGAGCACAGAGAGATGAAAAAAAAAAAGATGGTGAGCGTGTGAGGATGATGTGTCCAGATGGCAAGGTTGAGTAGCAAAAAGCCCGATCTTTCAGAAAGAGGTGCAAGAAATGGTACATTGCATCTGTTTTTCCATTAAAAGATCAACATTTGGGTTTTTTAATGTGCAGGTTCAAGAGATTGAGGTTATATCACAGTCGGTGAAATCATGTGAGAGACATCTGACATCAAACATCTCTGAGTTTAAGATGATCTGATTGCTATTTGAGAGTTTTTTCTGTATCTACTCATATACAACACGACGACGTGGCCATGAAAATAACTGATCAGCCTGACAAGGCCAGGATTGCTCTTATGAAAACCAGATAACATAGCATGTTTTTGATACTCTCCATTTGCTGAACACTAGACTACTTAGTTGGGCGTCTTTGGTCTTAAATGTTGGATTTTTCAGAAGCTGACTTTGGTGCCAGTTCAGGGGCTGTTTCTTTGGAGGCTTAAACCCAGCAGCCTGTCACCTTGACGTGACCACAGCACAAAGCTGGTGACAGTTTTAGGAAGCCTGTATGTATGTGTGTGTGTGTATATCCATCTCAGGTTCTCACACTCTTAACACTCTTTGCGATCTATTTGACTCCCTAATCCACCGGGAAACTCTTTTCTCTGTTTCACTCCAGTTTTTCTCCTTCATTCCCTCCCTTCCCTCCTCCTCCCTGTACACTTGGGAATGAGTTTCTGCAGACTTGGCTGACTGGATTTTCTACTACTGTTGTATGCACCGAAGCACACACACACACACACACACACACACACACACACACACACACACACACACACACACACACACTTTGCACACATATAACACCCACTGGCAAAACAGACTCCTCATTAATATTAAACGATCATAAAAACCTACAGAAGCTTTTCGGTTTTGATCAGAATCCAGATCAGTGCTGCAAGACACCTTACCTCAACTTGTGGTTGTCATATCTCATTATTCATATAGCTCCTAGATGTTTAATCAAATAAAAGTGAAGGAAGACTTGTGGAAAAAGGAGGAAACTACATTTCATGATATTAAAGAAACAAATTTAGTCCATCTTTCTGCCGTCAGGGGCAAGCATCTTCCAAAATTGAAGCTTCCAGCAGCATTTCTCAGCCTGGCTAACTATTGTTTTTAATCCCAAACACACTCTGAACAGGAAAATTAAGAAGGTAGCTCTTTGTTTAACCAGAACAGCTGTGTGCATTAAGTTTTTCAATGCTTTCTCTCTACAGCAGTTATTATTCATCGTTCGTTTGCCAAAATCGTGTTATAGTTCCAGTATTTGTCGTTTATCATGTGCCTCATATTTTGCATCCGTATGTCCTTCTATTTTCTTTGTTGGTTTTTTTCTTCCATGTGCTCTTTTTCCTCTTTCTCTTGCTCCCTTCTTCCCCCTGGGTTTCTTTGGAGAGAGGGAGGAAAGAGAAAGAAACTTAATCCGTCTATTGAACAAGAGGTGGACCCGTCAAGGGCTCTTTTCCCTCAGTGTCAAAAAAAAACAACCACGCTGCTTCTCATTACTCTTCCAATTCTGAATGCTCTCAAATACCTCTCAAAATAACACACTCAAACCAGTGGTTTCATTTAGAGGCAGATTTTCAGTCCCTGATATATTTTGTAATGCAGTGTTTCGCTGTTATAGCTGAAAAGAAAATACGGTTAATGATTCAAAGTATTTGGTTTTAATTTTCTGACTCGATGTGAAAAGGAAACAAGCTTCTGTAAAACCATTTGGCTTTACAGTTGAATTAACAGCACTCCTACTGCAGCAGCATGGGGCATTAATAAAGGATCATTCTGTCAATGTTGAAATATCTGAAAGGGTTTTTTACAAATACAGCTGCCAAATAGCTGAGGTCAAGTTACCATTCAGACTGTTTTAAAGTAGCGTGGGGGAGCCATCAAGCTGTAACGTGACATGATGGATGGTTTCTTTTGGCAACATATGGTTTGCCTTTTATTATATACCTTTTATAATACAGGCATTGTGTCACACTTCATGTTGGCTGAGCTGAAGAACACTTTTTACTCCGTACTTTTTAGTTGTTTTTTTTTTTAACTGTAACTCTTGTGGTGAAAGTCTAGAAGAGGTCAAAACTGTGTTAAATATATTCCATACAGTTTAAAATCGATCATATCAGCAGCAGCATCATATCTTGGAGCTGTAAATTAGAGCTTTAAACTCCCAGTAGACTGATCGATTTATTGGTCGATACATGCTTAATCAGACCAAAATGCTGATCGGTCGACTACATTTTTTTTCCGCATCAATTTACGGTCTTTGGTTAATTTCATCAGGAGGAACGTACCAAGTGCTAATGGGGGTGTCTTCAGAGCACCCCTGTTCCACAGGTAAAAGCCTTTCTCCGAACACCCTCCTTGTTTTCACCATTTTGGATTTGCTTAACCCATCGAAGACTGACAGGAGACAGGAAGATTGAAGAGCGTCCGCGTGAATCAACTTCCAGTGTTTTGCTGAATATTTATATGTTAGTCTTTTGTGTTTTATTGCCTTCTTGTGCTGATATCAGTATATTTTCACCCCGCCAAGCCGCGTCGTCCCCCACCCACCATCAGAGTTGGAACCCCCCCATTAGTCGATTTTTGTGTCATGGTTTTAGTCGACCAAGAATTTCTTTGGTTGATTACAGCCCTACTGTAAATGCACTAAGATGCAGAATTAATGTTTTCATATTGGTAATTGTTTTGTCATATTGGTTTCCTCAGTCATAGCAGTGCTGAATTCACATAGACTACTGCTTTCTTATTTAAGAGGTACATTCAACTAAAGTGCACAACCAAATCAAGCAGCTCCATTCAGGGATGCATAATGGCTGAGCCTATTTGAGGGTCTATTTGAGCTTCATCACAGGTGCACTACAGACGTGGTTGCTTTGATGTTGGTTCAGAGAAATTGCAGTGCTACCTGACACAGATCTATTATGTGCCTATTGGCTGTAACGACCAGTAGAGAAGTCTCTCCTATGTTATTAAGTGGATTCAGTCCACTGCTCATTGAGAGAGAAACAAGCAGAAAGAGAGATGGATTGTGGGAAGCTGATACACTACATTTCCTCTTTCTCCTGCACCCATCTTCAGCTCTCAGTGACGATGTACACCTTCAAGCCAGGATTTGATGTACTTCTTTGTTTCTTTCAGCTGCTCCTCCATCACAGCTAACTACCAAATGTCAGATAATTCCCTGCAGTTATCCTCCATGGAAAGCTGATTGTTTCCTCCCTCCTCTCTTGTTGGGTGGCACAGTTACACCACTTAATATCAATATTCTCTTTGTGGTGGGGGCAATTGCCTTGACCGCCGGAATAATTGCACACAGATATTGTGCGCACACACACACACACAGTCACACACTGGCAAACATGATAACTGGGGCAGACTTACACATTCATACAAGAACACTGACACACATCCACATGTAATCCAACTTGCACAGGGGAAACGGGCAGAATGGGGACACTCATATTTGCTGCAGAGTTAGTGTGAGGACACATAAAGAAAGACTCCATTCTGCTGCTGCTGAGGAAGACACACTCATGCAGAAAGCACCTACCACTCGGTTAAGTGTGGCCTCAGGCTTATACTTGAAGTATGAGTGAGCAAAGTGGACAGACAGCGGCAGAGAGATTGTTTTCAGAGCGATGAAATCCAGATCAGTTTTTGTCGAGGACAAGGGAAGACTTTTGGATGGTAATTGATGTTAAAATCTCTTTGTACATTTATTGAAACTGCTCATTGTAGTGATGTTCACACTGATCTATAGAGTCTACGATGTAAAGATGTAACTGAGATGATGTGACATGTAAGTGACATGTAAGTGTCTGTAATACCAGACCGTGTAGATCCAATGAATGTGTTTTTACTCAGTAGCCTCCCTCAGGTACTTAAATGTAATCTAGTGCAGCTCACAAACACTCGGCCAAGAAGGTAGCCTCAGTTTACTACAGTTTTAGTTACATTTATAAAAAATGTGCACTTTGAAACCTGTTTGTGATTGAGGTCCTACATAAAGATAATGCAGTACACTTTTAAATTAAGGTTTGATAATAAAAAAAAATAAAGTGTTTATAGTAACATCACATATACTGTTTCAAGTTTAAGTTTGAAAACATATTTTACAGGAGAGCTTAACAATGTTTTTAAGGCTGAAACTCTGGGCTTCCTTTTTTATCAAACAGGATTCTGATCAGTCAAATATTCAGGCTCAGCCCTGCTGTTGAGAAGGCAGCAACACTTTGCTACTGTTTCATCACTGTTCATTACAGAACAGGCTTGTGAGTCAGTGTCTAACAGCCAAACATAATTATATATTAAGAACTCCTCGGTTCAGTTGCAGGACACAATGAAAAGCGACTATACTGCGACACACCATCTTCTCTAATGAAACTGAAGACCTTAAAAAAGCAGTCGGACCAATAACCGACCCTTTTTCTCTTATTTTTGTCTTCTGTTTCCACGAAAAAGAGCATGCCAGATTAAACTGTTTAATGAATGAAGTGTACAGCTCATTCATTTTCTATTCTTTCTCAACACTGTATATTTAATTCATCTACTCGGCTATGAAGTTCTGTCCCCAATCAAAGCTCCCTCCTATCTAGCGCTGTCCCCACACATGAAGCTTGCGTGCAACGCATGAAAAAGTGAATGCATGGTTTGTAAAACGTGTGAATTATTGAATGAACCGAAGTGGTGAGTGTGTATCAGTGTGTGTCTGTCTGTGTGTGTGTATTTATGTATGTGTATGTTTCCATGTGCTTCTGTGGGATTGTGAAAACTATGTCAGACAGCTCATGCACGGCTGCACCCATTTACTGGTGGAACATCATCTCTCTGGTGTGCACATCTAGAACATGGCAATTGAGAACGATCAAAACACACTTGCTAGGCATGACTCCACACACACACACACACACACACACACACACACACACACACACACACACACACACACACACACACACACACACACACACACACACACACACACACAAAGTGGTGCATGAGTATTTGCCTGAATGAACTCATACACTCTGTTAGCACATACTGTAGCTTTTGTGGCAAGCAGTCAATGAAAAGGCACTGTTGTGTGTCACATGTACACATATTTTATACACACACACACATTCACAAAGTATGGTATTGTGTGTGACCAAGCTAAGTGTTGTGTTATATTGCTTTGGTCTGCATTCATTGCTGTTACAGTTCTGCTCTGATTTCCCTGTTATCTCTTTGAAAGCCTTTTGTGGAAACATGGCTAAGAGCAGTATTATTAAGTACACCTTTGAATAGCCATGCAGGTCATTTTGCACACATAGCCGAATGTAAACAGCCCACAATGGACTTAATAGGGCTGGGCGATATGGCCTCAAATCAATATCACAATATATTGAGCAGTTTACCTCGATAACGATAAATGGACGATAACTACTCCACAAGCTGCTCACCCCCTCCCACATTAACTTGGTCTACTTCAGCCGCCGCTCCAGCAGTGACAACTTTTGAACCGTCCTCCATCTCCTCACCAGTATTTCGCTCTTTGTTACGGACTGAATGGGGCTGAGTCACATCTCCGACATACGACAGTGTCTTAAAAGGACATGAGACCATAGCCTACCTACACACATCCAAAACCAACTTTTATTTATTTTTTTGACACTGAATATATTGACGTGGGCAAAATGGCGTTGGTTATTGGCGTAAATTTCGATATTGGTAAATTTTTGTTTTATAGCCCAGCCCTAGGACTTGATTTTTCTGCTAGATGCTGGTAAATGAGCACATCGTTAAAATGTTGTAAATATTCTGGGTGTGCATGTTGCACAAAAGCAGCATTCAACATCCATATAAGATGGTAGTACACTGATATTCTGCAGTTTCTCATCCATAAACCAACTTTTAGACAGTTAATGTAATGAATATTTTTACATTTAAGGAACCCTTTCTGAATACATTTAGGCATTATTTATCCATCAGGTTTACAAGAGCATTCATTGGCTTAACCTCATTGACAGAAAAGAGACTGTGCATTACTCGCCACACTGTCAATTTCACTGACTCTTTGTTACCATCAATTATAGATTAATATTATCTATATTCAGTATCGTGTCGGCTGCAGTAGTTGTTAAAGAAGCAGCTCACATTTCTCCAGTCATTCTGGGGATTTGAACCATCCGCCAAAAGGTCTGCAGCCTGACTCTCTAACCTTTACACAGCCATCAGAGGAAACAGATCTCTCATCTTCAGCGTTTGGACAGCCCAGCTGTTTGTTTGTTCAGTGGATTGACACGTGGCTGTGGACTAACCTTCATAGGTCCGTCTTTGCTGCCCCTCTACTTCAAAGGGGTGTTTGGTAATCTGATGGCTGCATACATATTTCATGAGCTTCTAAATATTGATGGAATACTAAGTAGTATACATTGCAGCAGAGGAGTAAGGACTTATTTGTCCTTCCTCTTGCACACCCCCCTTTCTCTTTGATGGCTATTTCAGGGTAAATTCGAGCCTCCTCATATGCACCGCTGACAGCAGTAAACTTTTTCCAAAGCCCAGCCTTACCCACGAGCTTGGCAGATTCAGTAACAAGTTTGACAGGCTGGTTCCCTCTGGTTTTATAGTGCAACAATAGAAAGATGAAATGTGGGTGTTTGTTTTGGGATCTTTGTTTGACTGCGCACTCTCTTAGTGTTCATCTAATGTCAAAGAGCTTTGTGATATGTTCAAACAGAAATTAAAACCTCTTCATTTTCCTCCCCCTCTGCAGCCTTTTCATCCCATGGTAAACCTGGTGTGTAGTGCGGACCTGAGGATGTTCCTGTGTGCTCTATATGCCCCCGTGTGCACTCGATACGGACAGGTATCCATGCCGTGTCGGTCCCTCTGCCAGCGGGCGAAGGATGAGTGCAACAAACTCATGGAGATCTTTGGATTAGTTTGGCCTGACGACATGGAGTGTAACAGGTGTGTGCGTGTTTTTTGCACTGTATCTCAGCTCAGCACTTGGAAATGTAATGGAAATGAAGATTGGAATGAAAATGCCAACAGAATAACCTTTTCTCATCCCAGTCGATAAGTCTCTCCAAAAGTAATTACTGGATGATCCATCACTTTTATTGTTTTTTTTTCTCCAGGTTTCCAGACTGTAATGAGCCCTATCCACGTCCAGAGGACCTAATAACAAGCTCTGACCCCACTGACCAGTCATCCATGACCGTCCAGAGAGACTATGGTTTCTGGTGCCCCAGAGAGCTCAAAATCGACCCGGACCTGGGTTACACATTTATGGGCAGGAGGGACTGCTCAGCCCCCTGCCCCTCCATGTTCTTCAACCGACAAGAGCTGACCTTCATCCGCTACTTCATAGGAGTCGTTTCCATCGTCTGTTTATCTGCCACGCTCTTCACCTTCCTGACGTTTCTCATCGATGTTACCAGGTTTGACTGTCTGAATGTTAGAAGACATTTCATGTCAACTCTCTGCGTGGAAAAACAATCTGATTGGCTGTTTATTTTCCCATTGTTACCTCTTTAGGTTTCGATACCCTGAACGGCCAATAATCTTCTACGCTGTGTGTTATGTCATGGTCTCACTGGTTTTCTTTCTGGGCTTCCTGTTGGAGGACAGAGTAGCTTGTAATGCAGTCAACCCTGCACAGTTCAAAGCCTCAACCATTACACAGGGCTCACACAACAAGGTAAGATTCAAAGCAAGGGCCCATCCAGCATAAGGACAGCAACAGCTCATTCTAATGCTTGTGTAGTCCATTAAAGTTTAATTTTTGAAAGGAGTCAGTTATTCTCACATGTCATATAATTACAGTGCCCAGCATAAGTCAGTACACTCCCTATTAAAAGTAATGTGTTACTCAATATCTAGATGAACAAAGTGCAATTTTCAAAGCTTTGACAAAGCTGAGTTTAACATCACATTTTATGTACCATAAGATGAAAATAAGGGTTATATGGTAACTAAAATTTAGCTTTGCTCTCAGAATTTTGATGGGGTTGAACTAATTTTTGCTTTCTGATTTTAAATTGAAAAAAATACTTTTTGTATGCAACTTAAAAAAATCTTTTTTGCAATCAATGGCCTACATTTGGGGGAGTATTTTGTTGCATATTGATTGATTTTGAAAGGAAACCAAAGGTTTTCTGACAACTCTGAAGGGGTGTACTCATTTATGCTGAGCACTAAAGATTCGTGATGGAAAGGTTTTGTTTCTTTTCACTTTTTTACTGGTGGCACAGTATGTCAAAGAGCGACAATGAGACAACAGACAAATACAGAGTGAATTTGTCAGAACATTTGTATGGGGAAGTTGTATAACAGACAACTTCAGTTTTGTGGGTCTTATTAGCTTCAGTTGAAATACTTATCAGCTCATAAACAAAGTGGTCTAATCAAAAAGAGATTCACTAAATGCTGACAGTTATAAATCCACAGGTTTGACTCAAACTAAATGAAGCTCTCTTTCTCTATCAGGTGTGTACCCTGTTCTTCATGGTCCTGTATTTCTTCACCATGGCCGGCAGCGTGTGGTGGGTCATTCTTACAATCACTTGGTTCCTGGCTGCCGTGCCTAAATGGGGCAGCGAGGCCATCGAGAAGAAAGCGCTCCTCTTCCATGCTGTAGCCTGGGGGCTCCCAGGGGCCCTGACTGTCACCCTGTTGGCCCTGAACAAAATTGAAGGAGATGGGATCAGTGGAGTGTGTTTCATAGGGCTGTATGACATCGATGCCCTGAGGTGGTTTGTTCTGGCACCACTCTGCCTCAACGTGGCGGTAAGCACAGTCAGAAGATAAATGAGTCGGTGGATGGATGAAAGAGTTGATGAGTGGGATGGATGGATTGTTGAACAGATTAATGGGTGGGTGGATGAAAAGAAACAAGAGTGAATTGTCGGCTAAAAAAAAACTGCAGGGATATTGACACGAGTAAATGGATTGGTGGGTGGGCTTTGGGCCTGTGTGTGTCAGTCATCCAGCTCTTTGGAAATAATCAACATCTATCTTAATATTATGTATCAGTCTCTGAGTTCGTCTTCTCATTTGTCTCTCTCTCTCTCTTTTCAGGTGGGGGTCTCTCTCCTCTTGGTGGGCATTGTGGCTTTGAACCGTGTGCGCATGGAGATACCTCTGGAGAAGGAGAACCAGACCAAACTGGTCAAGTTCATGATCAGAATGGGAGTCTTCTCTGTCCTCTACCTGGTCCCATTGTTGGCCGTGATTGGGTGCTACCTGTACGAACACACATTCAGGAGCATCTGGGAGACCACATGGATGGAGGAGAACTGCAGGCACTATCACATCCCGTGCCCGTACAAGGTATGATGGAGAGAGTGATGTGCAAAAGAATCTCTCTTTGAGATTGTGGTGTGCTTGAGGGGATGTTTTTTATTTGAGAAGTTGTTTGTGGGGAAAATCTGTCGGTGGAAGACCTAAGTCACCAGACTCTCTGCTTGCTAACATTGATCAGTCCCCCTGACATATGAAGATTAAATTTCCATTGAGTGGCTGATCAAAACTTTAACATCCACCCTCTGTCTGAAACAGATGGTCTCTCCAAGTCTGCCTTTGATCCCAGCTGGACACTGAAAACAGACATACTCTTGACAGGATATCCCGCAGAACTCTATCACAGCTCATGCTGCAGCATTCAGACTCCCCCTGATTTTTCTCTCTTAACTCTCTGTATCTCTCTCACTCACACAGTGTGTTTCCACACTGCCCAAGATAGCTGGTGTGAAGTATTCAGCTTCTCTCTGTGTTTGTTCTCTCCTGATTAAATCATTGAGGATGTCTTGTATGTTTATTAAAGAGGAAAAGTTTGTATGACTGGTTAATACAGCAGCTTCACTGAGAGAATGAACTCTATTGAAACTATTTGAGTTTTTTAAGGTAGTATTGGCCATCATTCTGTCATAAATACAATGTACTCTCTGGTTGTTCCTGTAATCTGAAAATTAGCATCATTGTCAACACAGAAGTGACAAGGCAACAAAGAGCAGACAGGTTGGAAACAAGCGAAGTCATGCTCAGTTTAAATGGTCAGACTTTAATTAAGTTATAAAAAGATATAATAATTAATGGGGAAATCTAAGTGAAAAACCTGAATGGTAGCCAAATGATACTACCCTTAAATGAGCAGAACCACTGTGTGTCTGTGAGAGAGAGAGACAGACAGTCAGCAAGTGCACATGCGTGTGGTCGAGCGAGTATGTGTTTGTGGAGGAGAGGGAGCAAAGTGCAGTATGCACCATTAGCTCGGCTAATGCTTCTCGTAAGACCAGCTCGGCAAAAAGGCTCCCATCTCTGCCGTTTAGTCTGTCTGCTAGTTCTCACACACACTTCTTTCAGTCTCTCTTTCCCTCCCTCTGTCCCTCTCGGTGTCTCTCTCAGGACTTGCTCAGTCATGCTCCGTTGCCTGTAGTCTGAAACGTCTTTGTAGCTTATGTGAGGAGCAGCAGGAGTGTGTTATTTTGTGAGTGACCAAACAAATGTACAAAATAGACAGGCTAACACACTCAAGAAGTGTACTTCCTTTGGACGACCTAAACAATTTAATCCGCTCCCTAACAGTAACTTTTCATTTCATTGATATAGAAGCTGTTGTGAGGTTTTATGATAACAAAGTGTCAGCTAATTTGTGACTGACAGATAAGATGCGATGGTTTAGAGGTAGGTCCAAGTGCTTATGTTTCTTGTCAGTGTACATGTGTATGCAGTGTCTGTAGCTGTGAAGGAGAAAAAAAACCTTTACAACCTGTTGTAGCTCAGGAATTTCATTATTACTATGTGTCATTTGATCTTGACCCTGGGGGGTTTTGTGTGTGTGTGAGAGATGGGGTTGGTGGGGTTGGTGGGGGGTACAGTTGCCATGTTTTTAGATAATTGAAAGTTCTGCAGGCATTGTTCAACTGCAAGTCACCACTTAAGTGAATGCACATGGGCTGGGCACCCATGGCTTTTTGTTCAGGACTTAAATGTGAGACATTTAATCGCAGACTGAGCCCAGATAGATTCTGTTTAATTGAAATTTAATGCATCTCAAGAGCTACATTAGAAAAATCAATAAATAAATCACTCGTCTTTGTCTTCTCACTGAAGATGATGTCAGCCTTAAAATGCTATGTGCAATCTTCAAATGTTTCATGTTAGGGTTTTCTGTACTGATATGAATTGTCATTATTAATCACCTTTAAAGACTACCTGTGGTGGGTTTCAGTGTTTGAAAGCAAAAGGTTTCTCAGGTTTCTACAAAGGATTTTGTGTTTTGTTCTGTCTGCTTGTATAGCTGTCACCACACTGATTCACTTATTCATACTGATGCAGAAATAATTATTAGGCTATGTTGATTTTTGTGCATTTCTACCCACACATGTAGATCCACAGTAAACTACTCCCTGAGTATAGTCTTAATCAATGCTTCAAAAAGCTCTGTTAATTTATGCAGCTATCAACTGTGTGAAGATTATTTGGAGATTTTAAAAAATCAGAAGCTAGCAAGCTGTGAAACAACTCCACTTCCTGTTTACAGAAACCTTCCAAAGCTCAGACGCTGCTGTAAACTACTGCCCTCTGGTGGAAGGTTATCTATCCTGCATCACTTTTATTCAACAGGCTGAGGAGGGAGCAGTTGCTGTACACTTGAACTGCAGTTGAGCTGCTAAAGCAGCTGGGTTTTTCCTGGGATTACCTCCTCTCTTCCATCATTTAAACTGACTGACTCGGTTAAAACATTTGGGTCCTTTGGTTCAACTTAATGAGCAAATAGTTTCAGTTGCATGCCAAGAATTTCGTCTTTGTTTACGGTTACTGTTGCAGAAAATTATTTACAAAAATAAAAAATCTTTTCTGAATTCACTGCTGTAATTTTAGCTGCTTCTGTTCACTCAGTTTCATAACAGTCGAGCTGATCCTGAACATCTGTGTTCTCTTCAGGTGGAGCAGACCAGCCGTCCAAACATGGTTTTGTTCTTGATTAAATATCTGATGATGTTGGTGGTCGGGATCCCCTCCGTGTTCTGGGTGGGCAGCAAGAAGACCTGCTTTGAATGGGCGAGCTTCTTGCATGGACGCAGACGCAAAGAGTAAGAAGACAGATGGGATTGTTTTCATTCATTAGTCCTGCTTTTCCTTCCCTGGTTAAATGTTTGTAGATGCTTCTGGCGCCAGTATTCCTTCAAAGACAGAAATCAGACTAATTTATGAGAGTGGGAAAAGCACATCTGATTATGCTGTTAGATAAGAATGAAGTATTTTCCATCTACCTCTCTTTGTGAATTCATTAGTTTGGTGAGAAAACCCAGAAGCATATTAAAGACTCACTCCTCGTGTTACACAAAGCAGCGCAGTTGATTAAGATTTGTGTTTGGAGTATTTGTCTTTTGTCCCCACACCCCTGTCCTCAGTAACATTATTGTCTTCTTTCAACCATTCCTCTCCCTCGGTTTAACCCTTTGTTTGCTGTATCTTTGATGTCCCCCTACATCTGCCCCTACCCCGCCCTTTTAAACTCTCTCTCTCTGCACCTGCCTGTCCTGTTCCCATTCTTGTTCCCCTCACCCTCTCCTCACTGCAGCAGTGGGGTGAATGAGTCTCGTCAGGTGCTGCAGGAGCAGCCAGACTTCGCCCAGTCTCTGCTGCGTGAACCAAACACCCCCATCATAAGGAAGTCCAGAGGAACATCCACTCAGGTAGGACTACATACAGCATGCAAATAAGAATATATAAATGTAAATGTAGATTGTAGTAAAAGGAGTAGTATCAGCATGTGTAATTCCAGTGGCTCCAGGACCCGACAGCAATATCAGAAGTGATTATTAAAGATGAAAAAAAACATGAAACCAGACCTGAATGAGTCTCTTATGTGTTAAAGGCTGTTATGTCTGCAACTAGGAGATGGAGCAGGCTCAAGTCTTTAAATAAGTCGATATCTGACCGAACCAAACTGACTCAGAGATCAGCAGCTATGCTGCTGCCGTATTTCTGTAGCTGGTCGAGCTAGTCTGGTGTCTCTGGGACTGAGGACACCTGTTGATTTAAACAGAAACCAAACCCAACTTAAGTTAAAATGAAAGTGCTGAGACAGAATAATTGTAATCAACTCTGAACAATCAAACATTAAATGATTTTTCTATGGGAATCAGAATAACATGTAATACCAACTATTAATGGATGTAATTTCCCTGCATAACCCACATAACATAGGAAAGACCTGAAGACCTCAGTATCATGTTAGACTGTCCAAGTAGCTGTACAGATAAATGATGACTGAATAAAACTTTGGATCACAGTTAAAGCAGACATGTTTTAAGCATTCATGTATAACCGATTCAGTGTGAAAACAACTGCACTCACTAAGTTGAGTAGATAAGGTTGTACATTTCTGTTACTTATGGGCTGTTTAAGTGCAAAATGTTTATTTCAGAGTTAAAAACTAGAAGTTATTCCATCCACCTGACCTCTGATCCTCTTGTAGGGCACATCTACCCACGCCTCTTCCACCAACTTGGCTGTCCTAGATGATCTTGACAAACCAATCAGGACTCACCACGGCCACACGGCCTCCACCAAGAGTAAAGCAGGCAGTGTTCACAGCAAAGCCAGCTACCACGGCAGCCTGCGCCGCACTCGTGACGACAGGTAAGGTCAAATCTCCCTGTTTGTGTGACTTGCACGATAGAAGCCTGTGTCTGTAATGTCTGTTCCTCTCTCTCTCTCTCCCTCAGGAGTGATACTCTGGTACATCGTGCTACAGAGGAGCGCAGTTACCATGGCAGCTTGCAACGTCTGGACCATCCGCTCTCCACTCACAGCAGCCTTCATAAGTTGGACGGCCATTCGAGGCATGGCAGTCAGAGAGACGTCTCTGAACCCCCGCCTACCCTCATCACCCATGGAACAACAGCGAGTGAGAGCCAACAAGCTGTGGAGAACGACGGTACAAGCGCCTGAAAGGAGAGACTCGAGTTTTAGTGTAAACTCTTATACGGACGCTGTCAGCGCTGTTTAAGATTCACTCTCAGCAGACGCACACTCCCCTGTTCAGCGTGTCAGTGTCTTCTTCTACAGAGATGCAGAATGTGCCAGTGATTGCTGCAGCGGTGATTCATGGCGTTCCTCCCTCTGTGATCATATGTTAGCAGTGTGGCTAAACGCTAACACAGCTGAGTCAGTGTTCTTGACTAATCCTGTACAAATACAATTGAGTTTGTTTACTTAATTAAGATCACACAGTACAACGGTCCTGAATGCTTGAATCAAACTGACCGATCCAAGGCATTATTCAGGGATCATCAGTGTTGTGCAAAGGTAAAGCAGGTCTAGAGCTGGAAACAATGGAAGGGACGGGGGTCTTTAGGTTTTATAACCAAGAAGATCTTAGCTGTTTCCAAGGAATCATTCTGTGTGGTTTTAAATCTGATGTCCTCAATCTCACGGTGGAATTATCTCCAAACCACTATCTATCACCACCTTGTAAGACCTGCTTTAATATAAACTAATATGTGAACACTGCCAAGCATTGCTCTGTAACAATCTTGAATCTCTGGGGAATGTTTGAAAGAATTGAGGTTGTATTTCAGTCTTAGTTTCAGACTGAATTTTGATCATTCCCAGTCTTTGTTTGCTCTGGACTGCAGCTCTTACTGAGGTGATGTTTGTCTTTTCGTGGCTTCAGAGCTCCACAAATGTGGACTCAATGTGAAATCGTGGACCTCTCTGTGTTTAAGTGAAATATTTTTATACTGTGAAAATTGTCGGCCTGCTGCTGAAAGCTTCCTGTTGTGCGTGTGTCTGTGTGAGTGAGTGAGTGAGTGAGAAATAAAGACAAGCAGAGGAATTCTGGGGTTATAAACTTCAGTTCTCCTCACCCAGTGGAGAAAGGCGGAGGGAGGAAACTTGTGAAACAAAGAATGTAAAAGGGTTTGTTTCAGGTGGAGATAAAACACAGACAGGTGAAATGAGCTGGGATAATGTGTGTGCACTGAGCGTTTACGCTCACTCAGCTCACTCAATTTTTTTGGCCTACCTGAACTGTTTCAGCACTGACTTTTCAAAGTCAAGGCTTTGACTTGACAAAGGGCAGCTTTGGAAATCTTTAAGATGGAATTTTACAGGATATTTTTCGAGTTTCAGGTCTGGGAACATTTTCCTTACAAACTGGACAATGGAGAAGCTCCTCCTCTTAATCGTGGGTCCTCACATCTGTGACATTCGGGTGCTTGACAGCCATCTAATTCATATCAATAAAAAGATGAACCAGTAACGTTTATTTGCTGTATGATAAGGTCAGTTCAGAGTGGTGATATCTTTTAATTTACAACCAGAGTATTTCGATGCATTCAGCTTCATTCAGGTCCATCAATGCATATATAGTCCATAGTGAAAAAGTCTGTTTCTTCTCTAAAGTTTTACCACTGCTCTTGATATGAACTGCTGATCTTTTGTGCTGACATGTCTGTCATTGTTGTTGTGAACACATGAAGCTCAGATTTACTTAAACTGGTGCAGAAACAGTAGAAACAGAAATGTTTGCTTATTGTGCTTTGCTACAATTTCTCTGATTTTCCACTGATGTAAATGTTAGAGGGAGTGTGTATTTTAAAGATGTTTTTCTATACTTCGTGTTGGTTTTCCAGTCCCTGAAGACCCAAATTAGCCTACCTCACCCTTATACCCTGGGCCTTCTGTGTACATGTGCGCACACATCCACATATACATAGTGATTCTTAGTGTTCAGTATGAGATATATGGTTGAGGTCAGTTCTGAGGAAACTGAACTTGATAACTGATAAAGTGCAAACATGAGTAGGTTTTCTGTAGCTTGCTTTCCCTCCTCTCCACAGTTGGCTTGTGTTTACCTGGTCTACCTCTTTAGTTCACATGGACCCAGCTAACTCCCAGACCTTTTAACGCTGCCTCTCTCTCCTCCTGTCTGTCTGATTTTGTTTGTCTACACCTGATCTGAGTTACTCACTGCTGCCCTGCATATCTGCTGTACATAGATTCTCTGTCCTCTCTGATGACTAATCTGCCTCTCGTCTGCCTTCTGCCTCTCCTCCTGTAAATGTGCCCACGCTGATCTGTTTTTGGACCTACAGCAACTGTCTGTACTGACGAAACCCTGACTGCTTACAAACAAGAGCTGTCTCGCTTTCTCCTCTGAGCTGGACATCACGATGAGAGTTAAACTTTGTACTTGACACACTGAAAGAGGGCACCTGTCTCTATTGCCTGTTAAATATCTCATTTGTGTTGTCTCATAAAGTGGTGCAGCTTCAGAGTGAAAATCTGACACATTATCGATGATGGTTCAAGAGCGTAATATTGTGATTTCTGAAACTTGAGTTTTATTGTATGCCTTTTAATTTATTTGCTGTTGGGACTAAAAATTTCTTTGACATGCAGTCTAATAAACTTTTTATGAACTTCAGAGCTTATACTTGTCTGTTACATCTTAAATCATGTCCTGCCTTTGTTATTATTACATATCTGACATGGTTACCGACTGGTGGCGGTGATTGGGTTAAGACACTTGAATATCTTACAACAACAAATGACGGTTCATAGGTACAAAATAATGATTTAAAAAAATCAGAAAAGACTTCTCCCTCCAAATACTGAAATATTGATCACTGGTTGCTGAGTCAAGACCAGATCCCTGATCGTTCTCGTTTCCGGCGGACAATGGCGGCAACATCCTGTTTGAGAGCAGAGACGCTCTGCTCCAGCTGCTCTGAGAAATCCCTCAGCAGGCGACCGTGCTCATCCACAAACAGCCTGAGCCCCAGCAGGTCTGACTCCTCCTGGACGCAACAGAGGCACACGCGTAATTACAAAGCGTGAATGTGAAACAGACGAACAGCTGACCATGTGTACATGTAATCCTATTCTCTGCAACATCTATGTGCATCTTGGGAATGCCAGAGCCCTCTGACTGTAATCAATGCTGAGGCCCACTGAGCACGTAAAAAATGCTGATTGACACAGGAGACTGAGAAGTATTTCACAAACAGATAAATTCTGTGTTAAAGTGGGCCTGCTGCAAAAAATAAGACGTCAAAATAGAAGTTGTAATTTGGTCAGGGGAGTAAAATAAAAAAATTAAATAGGTGCAGATCTGAAAATCTAATTTAAAAAGTAAAAATTATAAATATTCTACATTAATCACACTCTGACATATTTCAGGACATGTTTGGTCTGATATTGATGTTTCCAGCTTACAGCCAGGGGTGGCATGGGCCTCCACGGAAAACTGCTTTGCCACCTCAAAACCAACATTGTGGTTGGCTGTTTGCCTTGACTGAGGTGGGACTAGTTACAAAATCAACTGATTCTGCCGTGTTGTCAGGCTGCCTGTGGCTTTCTTTACATTTCAGTGTGGCATTTATTTTTTTTTTATTGTTCACTCTTCACTTCCTTCAGCTGTGAAGTCTGTGAAGATTAAAGCTCAGGGGATTTACATGCTGCCTTCTTATAATTGAGACGTATACACAGAAATATAACACCTGTATTATACTAGGACATCCGTTAGTTGAGTAGATGTGATAAGACAGACAAGGTAAATTAATGCCATACATTCCTGTGTGTGTGAGCACTTAGTGCCGCCACAGTTGACAAAGTCTATACCACTCTGATGAAAATCATGTTTTTCTTGTTGTTTATATGTTCATATGGCATTTTTCCAATGCTACAGGATATATCATGAGAAAACTAAATGCGAAATTGCATTTCTGAGTATTTCTTCATTCAAATCGCTATAAATCTCTGGCAGACCAAAACAGCAGGTTCAGAAACAGTGAGATTTCCTACGTAGCAAATCCAAGCTCCGCTCCCAGAGACCCACTATGCAGGCCAGACTCAGAGCAATAGAGAGGACGATTGCAGAACAAGCGTGTGCAGTAATGATTGCAATGCTCGTAAGAAAGCTAATTATGATATCATCTTTTATTGTGTCCCTGAAGACATTAGTGTCCGAAAGCTGAAGAGCTCCTATGTTACCTGCCTGGAAGCTAGTGTGAGGACGAGTGTGCAGGGCAGCGTTGTCTCCACCCACAATTTAGAGGCAAATTGCTAATAATCTACTGGAGCTCTGGAGAATAAAAGTCCTGGGAAATGACAATTTTGGCTAAAAACTACATAATCACAATGTAAAGACCACTGATAAGTAGTAAAAAAAAATGATCGGAGTGGGACTTTAAGAATATAAAGCTGTGTTGTAGTAATGATCACAAATACTGATGTTGCAGCTGGATGTGAATACATACACTGGGTCTGTGTCTGCGCAGCCGCTGCAGCTGACCCTTCACTGAGGTCATACTGTGGTAGAAAACCTTCAGAGCTCGAGCGAACTCTGCATCACAGCTGGGGCGCACCGAGCGACCACGCACACTCTCTCCACCTTACACACACACACAAAGGGAAAAAGGTTTGTGAAGACAGACACACACATATGAATTGTAATCACCATTGTAATCACTGTAACCAGCTGTGCTTCTGTGAATGTTAACTGCATGTGTAATTTGTGTTGAACTGTCACTATATTGCCAATTTCTCTGTTACCGTTCCTGGCGGTGTTGAGCTGTTCTCTCAGACTTTCATTTTCTTTTCTCAGTGAAGCGTTTGCACTCCTCAGCTTCTCCAAGTCCTGCTGCAGAGCTCTCACTGAACAGCTGAGCTCTGCTGAATCTAAAGGCTGCAGCACAAACCCACACCAACACATTTAAATGAGCAGATATTTTTGCCTCACACACACACACAGTATCTACATCAATAAATAAATGATGGAGCCATATTTGTGCCCTATAGCTGTTTGAAGTTTCTCATGTGCTTCTCTGTGAGAATCAAATAAACACTAGCTTTGGCTGTACCCAAATTTAGAAACATGCCAGAGGTGAAATTAAAGGATCATTCCTGATACAGTCTCAACGTTAGACTCACTGCTGTGTCAGCTGTGCCTTCCTCCTCAATGATAATGATTCCCTCTGCAGTCATCCTCAGTCCCTCCAGAGCTGATTTCAGGTCAGTACAACCCTCTGAAAAGAGGGTTATCTGCTTTCAGACTGCTGCTTTATACCGTCTTTGAGCCTTAATAACATAGACACTGTTATAACTGTAATTGTTGTTTACAACTCTGCATGAAAAGATTCATTATGATTAAATGGAGGTTCACTCTGACTCATCTCTGCCAGTCTGTGAGGTAATAAAGCAGGTAAACCTTCTCCCTTCCAGGCTAACATTACCAAACTCATTGCATTATAAGCAGATTTTGTGACAGGAGTCTCCATCATCTGGCCAATGTGCTGTTTATTCTCCTTTTTCGTGATTTGCTTTAAGCCAGGCATAAGAGAAAATTACAAAAGAGTTTTGCCAAGTCTTTCATTGCTGTCCTCATCCTCACCTTGAAGGCCCCAGAGCTCCAGCACCACAGCGCTGCTCTGCAGGTAGTCCAGCAGACGTTGGGAGGTGTGCAGAGAAGTGAAGTGAACTCTGTGATCCAGCAGAGGGTTCACATTGTGCCACACCGCCGGGGTGTAGAGAGGCTGACTGCTGTCGAACAACCTGAACCTGAGAGACGGGAAATCTGTCATGTAGTTTGAGCTTTCTCTCACATGAACTTTAAACTCTCTGCACCGCTTTCATCCCCTTTTTTTACTCACCCAATCTGGACCCCTCTGTTGCGAGCCTCTTTGATCCAGCGGAGACCGCAGCACTGATCCAGGACCAGCTGGAAGTCCAGTCTTCGACCCAGTAGCTCAGATGGATCAATCAGGATATCATCCTCACCCAGAGGGCTGAAGAGAAACATTTCTACATTACACTGAGCTTATTTCTGACATCTTTCTATGTGTGTGTGTGTGTGTGTGTGTGAGGATCATACAGTCCTGTAGAGGTGCAGGGGACCAGCTGTGCTTGTAAGATGGCCTCTTCTGTGCCCTCTGACCCCATCACCTGCACGAAAAGTATCAACCTCAACTATGTTTCTTCAAAACACAGCGTCAGATGTAGAGACATGAGTGTGTGTGTGTGTGTTTGTGTGTGTTGACGTGCAGTTAATCTGAGTGTGCACCTCGAGCTGTTCCTCCAGAGAGATCCTGAAGGCCAAAGATTGAAGCCAAAGATGAGCCGTTCCCAGAAGCAGAGGCTCCACAGGATCCCAGAAGGGGTCTTTATCTCTGGGTAATGCAGCTGTGGACAGCCCCTCCACTCTCTCAAGGAGGAGAGATGAACATAAAAACAGAGTTAGTGCCGTTATGTTGGTCAGCGATGGTCTAAAATTGTGTTGATTAATTGGTTAATTAATTAATCTCCATTTCTGTACCATCATTAACCACTAACCCTGATTTCTTTTTTGTCTTTGTTTATAAAAATAACATTTTTTTTCACTGAATTACATTTTCTTCACTCTTCTCTGCCTGATGCTGCTGGTAGACTTCCTCCATCAGAAATTTTCGGTTCACAAACTTGGCCTTCGACCAAATCCACACCTGGGGAGGAAACCCAAAAACAGTTTAGACCAACAGGCAAAAAAATCACAACCAGGACTCAAAACTAAAACTGAGATAAGCTTATCATCTCTAAACCTGTTTTCATCTAAAGACACAGGGAGAAAGACATTTAATAACCTGTTTCCTTCCTATCGCAGTGACTCTGACAACAATCTCTTTCTCCAGATCATGGCCTTTTGGATCTGACAGCGCCAGATTCTTTATCTCCAACCCAAACTCCACCGCCTACAAACACAGGAGAGAGACATAGGCAGGTCTGAATAAATGTGTATGATCTTTCTCTGTCGATAAAAAAACATCTGATTAAGATAATCAACCATTAAAACATTTAAAATGTTAAATGATAGAGCCAGTGTTTGATTGTTTGACACCTTGTTCAGCTCCTGGCTCATCTGGTTGGCCTCAGCCACCATGGGTATCAGTTTGATGTAGTCGTAAAAGACGGCCAGCAGGCTGGGGTCAGCTTGGATGGACCCCACACTCGACCCCCCTGAACACATAAACAGAAGTAGGTTTTTAATGCAACCCTCATTGAACCCTCCCACTGAGCATTTTTCGGTCTAAAAAAGGTCTAATAGAGGTCTAAATGTAGCCTAGACGACTGGTCTAAAATCAGGCTACCACAGGTCTAAAAATGAACGTTTTTTAGACGCCTATATTCAGACCAAGTTTAGACTAAATCTAAATCTGGGCTTTATCTATACTACACTGTATATTACTCAGTGGCTATCATAATTATTTTGGTTAAGTACTGTTGAAATTAGGTCTAAAAAAACTAGACGTCTAATAGCCGTCTGTTGCTCAGTGGGCTTCATTCTTTGATCATCCTGCTCACCCAGGTGGATACCCTCAGCAGCAGCCAGCTCTGATTGGAAGTAATCGTAGTCATAGCGACTCCAGTCGTCCCCGCCCCTCTCAGAGGGATAGCCAATAAACAGGTAGGTGCAGTTGGAGCCGAGGATGAGACGGTCCTACGGAGCAGGAAAGTGTTTCTGTGTTTGCCGTCACATACTTGTCTAAGCTGTATCATCGTAAGATAGAGTAGATGATCATGTCAGGGCTCACCAGATGTTGAAGCTCAGTCGTCTGGGAGACCGCATGGCCATTAACAATGACCTTTGACTCTGCCAGCGGGGTCAGTGTTACTCTCCGCTCTTCATTCCTGAACACAGCATGACGCTCTTGAATACTGAAGCACAAAAACAAAAACTGCTGTATCAGTATGACTGGCAGAATCACAAAGTCATCCTACACTCACAAACACACTCTCTCTGCTTTCTTCTTTTCTGATCGGTCTCTAGGTCTGCAGCCACTCCCAGCATGCACCAGTTTAAATGCTGCAAAATGCTTCAGACGGATCACAAATCAATGACAACATTCAAACCCACTTTCAAAGAAACTCACCCTAAACCCTTAATTGAGATGGATCTCTGGGAAGAGTCACACAGCCCGATGTCCCACTCACCTAGAGCACAAAACAGCAGGAATAAGTACTTATAAAAAGGCTTGCAAATAAAACAATAAGTCCTCTGATTAGAAGAAGTTGCTCAGTCATTCTTTCAATCCAACTTCTTTACATAGGTCATTTATGGACGTACCCTCCTGAATGAAAAGCTTGACAACCCCTGAGAGCTGAGCATCCTCATTGATGTTCAGGATGTAAGGATGCATCTGCATCATCCTCCTCTCCTGACAGGAGGGAGAGAGACAGACGAGACAAACATCGAGAACAGAGAGATAAAAAAAACATCTTCATGTTCAAAGATGCTGCTACCAGTTTGTTTACACTCATATTCAGGCTCATATGCAAACTGCAAAACATGGTGGTGGATGTGACCTCCTTCATGGTACTCACTGGTTTGTCATCCTGTTTAGATATCTGCCATTTTGCTTTATTAGAATCACTAATGCTCATCTGTTATATGATTTACTTTGGTCTCTGTTCTGGTTGACAGGCTGTTGTGGTAGAGACTGTCAAATAGCTGAACCATTACATATCCTTATTGGCTAACTTCTTGTTTTACAACTTTTGATGTGAAGTGTGTGTTGGTTATGTTGCACCTGTGTGATGTTAGCATACTGCTGCTCCCAGTCCTTCAGTGCCTCCTGCAGGTGTTGTTCCCACAGAGTCTGGATGGCTCTGATCTGGAGCTCGTTGTGAGTCAGCAGCTGACGAAGCTCCTCTTCAAACACACAAACACACACATGATCATGACCTGCTCGACCCCTCTTTGCTGTTTCCAGGTCTGTTTGAAGCCTGAGGAGTCTTACTGGTCTCATCGTTGGCTCTGCGTCCCTCCTGACCCAGTCGACTCAGGCGCTGCAGCAGCCTGGCGTTCTCGGCCTTCAGCTCTTTGACCAGACGCTCTGTGGGGCTCTCATTGACCACAGCTCGATTCTGGATACGCTTTGCCCTGAAGAGGTGATGGAGGTGGTCAAACAAGAAGTGAGATGTTTGAACAGAAAAACAAAAATGAGTAGAGAGGTAACGAGACGGTCAAGACAAAAGTAGGATGTTGTCTTGTTGTATGAACTTCTCCACCAACAACAAGTTTGTTGTACCTCTCAGCATAACGCAGGGTGGACAGAGACTCCTCATAGCAGATATCAGCAGGGCTCAGTGTGGCGATCTATGATGAAATCAGAAATCATTTTATAAATCATACTTTTGACAAGGCAGTAAAAAAACACCACCCCTGCTGGTCAGCACAACTCTCTGTTACCATGACAGTACGACTGTTTCCTCCCAGTGCAGACTGCAGCAGCTTGGTGAGGATGGAGTCTCTATAGGGTATGTGGACCACCTTCTTGCCCACTGCCACGTCAGCCAGGGCGCTGCAGGAGAGAAAGAGAGTGAGACTGACAAACTGACAAAAAAAATCCCTGTCACTAAGGCCCACCTGATGACATTCCCCAGTGTGGTGAGGCTCAGGTTGATGGCCGTGCCCTCTTTGAGTCTGTCAGCCTCTGATCCTGAGGATCTCTGCCGCTCACTGCCAGCCAAGTCCACCAGGTTGATGTTGGACTGCTTTGTGATGCTCTCTTTGGAAAAGATCTGACAGGAAGTCACATTAAGAACACAACAGCTTAAAAAACCCTGAATATAGTATTTCAGTTTGGATAGATGCTCAGGAAAACATACGGACTGAATTTGATCAGGTATTTACTCTGATACTCTCTCACTGTTATGGTCACATTCTGTCTATCCTTCCTATCTATCTATCCTAACATAAGCAGTGAGGCCGTTCACCTGTTTGAGCTGCAGGATAATGAGCATGTGTGAGCGGCTGCTGTTTGCGTTCATGTGAGTGGCAGCTGTGGTTCGAGTCCTGGTGCCCTGCTCCATCAGCTGCTCCACCTACACAAGAAAGAAAAGAGAAATCCCAACCCTTAAGGAGAACATCTGCACTTTTACTTCTCTGTTACCTCTTAGGTCTAACTTTGATGTGTGTGGGAGCTTTAGTTGAGATGTTTCTGGGTAATCTGATCCAGTTTGTCAGAGGTCACTGTCAGGACAGTTGCAAACCTTTGAGGTCAGGAGGTCAGAGTCTGTCTGTGTCAGAGCCATACATCAGGTCTCTGTCTCCTCTTCAGCCACAGCTGTCCTGACACTGCTTTCCTCGGCTTTGAGTTTCAAGAAATCAAGGTCTCAGAATTAAGACGTACGATGAAGTTTGAGATACAGTCTTTACATGAACAGCTGTCTCTTTTGTGACTCTAAGACCTTCGGATGGCTTATAGTGATTTAGGTGAGCATAGTTCTTTATTTTGAAATCAGATACCCAACACTGTGATCTTATCCTGAGTATCAGTCAAAAAGAAAGGCTGGTCATTTGCTGAAAGAGATTTCAGATCCTGAAACGGTCTGTCTGAGAGGATCAGGGGCTGAAATAATATCTTAGTTTAGTAAGTCTTCAAACCAAACCAAGCTCATACATCACTGCTACTAAGTCTTCTATATATTTCTTCTATCATTTGTTATCTTACAAACTTATGTCCTAATGTCTTTTCCCATTTTCCAGTGTGTATTCTTTTACTTCCCCTGATGAATCTGATTACTATCTGACACTTTCTCTTCTTCATGATGTTCATTATCATCATTATTGTTTTTGTTTATGCTGTGATCCCACTTTACACTGTAAAAAGCAAACCCATTGCTATATTATCTGTTTTTTACCTGTACATCTGTGATTGACATGGAAAAGGTGCCTTCAGCACATGTAAATATCTTTAAAGTTTTTTGGTTTTTTAGTAATTTACTTTTAAAAAGGTCAACTTCCACATCTTTACTTATCATATTTACTGTGAGATATTTCAGGCCATTTTCTGGTTTACATTTAGATGATTATGGCCTAAATGACCATCTGTGATCTGATGTCTAAATTATTACTGTATATTCCTTAAAATACAGGATGGTGCAACTTCTGACAGGTACAGTATTTTATAAACTCAGTTCTTAGTTAGGTAAGTATGGAGGTTTTAACTGAAATAAAACTGTTTCAGTTTGAAGTCATTAGGCCTGTGTGGCCGTAAAAAACAGAGGGCCTACATCTGGGATAAAACACATTTTTATGCTGGTCAAAGGGTCTGGTTTGAAGTGGTTCAAAGCGGCCAAAGGTTTATTTTAATGCTCTGTTCATTGTATTAGCTATTGACAGGAACTTTTATACTCTATACACGTACAGGATCAGAAAAAAAGATCAGAATTTAACAACTTCAACAACTTATTCTTAGAGTTGAAAATAAAATAGCGAAACATATCTACCTGCACAAATGTAGAGCATTTCACTGTGTGGATTCATCTCTTACCTGTGGTGCACTGTCACACGGCACTGTTCGGAGACCCTCCACATAAAAACCTCTCTGCTGCTCCTCTCTGACTCTGAGTCCTCCTGGGGTACGAGACCCTCGAGACAGCAGGTCTATCACCTGGACAGAGAGGAGAGAGAGGTGAAAATAAGAGATGTAGAGATTCGGGAAGGAGTCAGGAGTTCAAAAAGAGACAACAAAACTTAACAGAGAAAAACAGGAGCCAAGAGATCTGCTTTTCTTCATGGTTACCTGCTCATTGTAGATTTCCAACATGCTGAAGAAGACCTGTGTGGACATCGAGAACAAATACCATCAGTGTTGTAACTACAGCAGACTTGACATTTGAGCTGGTTAACCAGGATAACTAAATCAGCTGCTCTCATCTTCACCTGACACTGTCTGCTGTCCTGGTTCTCCCTGATGGCCTGAAACAGTCGCTCACAGAGTTTAGGAACCAGGCCTTTGTTGGGCCCATAGCCCACCATGGAGTAACTCTTCCCTGAGCCAGTCTGCCCGTAGGCTAGCAGAGTGGCATTGTAACCCTATGGACAACATGTCAGGACAGGAGAGACTGACACTAAAAGAACAGGAGGAGTTTAAAGATGATTGAGCTGAGGAAAACTGGAGGAGGAACCAGAATTGAATATGTGATGATTGTTACCTGCAGTGCGTTCTCCAGGATCCCCTCTCCTAGGTCCTGGAACACACTGTCCTGTGGGTGGACAAGATTTTGTGAGCTGCAAGCTCTTGTCTAAGCTTGTCCTCCCCTTAAACCATAGATCTGTACATCAGTCTATATATTGTCTCATTCAGCATCTGCCTGACCTGGTCGGCGTATCGCCCACCAGGCTCTTCAGGCACACAAAGCCCCCCCTGGTCCTTTGTGAAGCCGCTGTGGGACCAGTAAGCATAGTCAAAACAAAAGGAGCGGCGGTTCTGAGAGTCCCGTGGGTCCTGGATGATGATGGAGCTGGATACCATGGAGATGATACAGCGGCTGCCTGCATCCCTCTCCCTCTGCAAGAAGAGAAAAAGACTCATTTTCAAACGTTTTTTCTGTCTTCAGCTTTTCTGTCAGACTGTTAACTCTGTCTGCTCACACATTTGTGAGTTAACTGCTCAAAATCCATGTTGCCCTGTGAAGAATAGTCTGATAACCACCAGGTCATGCTCTTGATTAGCTTACACTTATTTTTCATTAAATTGTAAATCAACATGAATACCTAAAGGTTTTTTTTGGACAGCATTTAATAAAGTCGTTTTCTGTCTGACAGCGTGAGTCATTAACCAACAGTCTGCTGACTTTGAAGAGGTCCTGGGCCCCATGGTTATAGAGCATGGTCATACACAATGAGGTATAGATGACAGCCTTGAAAGAGGTCATACAAAGCCAACATGATACTTGAGATACATGCAAACAAAGAATCTACAAATGTTGAATATGTGGAGGCTACGTGGTTTCAGATGAGATGACATGCACTGACACACACTGAAGAGGCAGCAGAATTAGTTTTTATGTAGTATATAGCCTGCACATAGGTCCATGTCTGGAAAGGTTGCCTGCAAATAAAGTGTTTATTTTTGAAGGATTCCTGGACAACAAACAGCAAATGTTACTTTTTTTTTCCTGTTAAGTTCCAGGAATGCTAGGTCTATGTGCCAAATTTAGGTAAAACTGTCTCTGGGGGTGTGTACTTTTTGAAAATTGCCAGGTAGCACGTTTAATTTCCTTTCTCTTTATTCCTCATTTGTTTTTAAACATGTTCAGGCCTTAAGAAAAAAAGGATGATTTGTTTAAATAGAATTGCAAAATATATCACAAGGGCTTATATTTAAGGATTGCCACCCCTGCATGAGCTAGTGCGCCTAATGAGCCCCCCAGACACACCTCTGTCCACCCATACTCAGAACTTAATCAGCAGAGACGCTTCGTCCAAAACAAACACAAGCATTGGTTTTATACGGACACTAATGCTGCTTTTACAAATAATGTTTCTACGTAGGAACTTTTTATCTTTTGGTTGAATGAAAAAGTTCGGGCCTGCTTGAGTTGTTTGTATCGTTAAAGCTTCTGTGTTTAACTTTTCATTTGTGTCCATTCTGGTATCTCCATGTAGACAAAAAGGTCTTTGCATATTTTGACCTCTTCATGGTTCAGTAGTGTCCTCCGACAAAAATCCCTAATGTGCTGATGTTTGGCAGCTAAATGTTCAATTTTTAACAAATATTTAGCATTAAAAATATAAAACAGGGCTTTTTCTTTAACTGCTCCATAGAGTTTAGGCAACAAAATGACAACACAATAATCAATCATGTTGTTACTGATGGTCTTGTTTGCTTTTGTACATCATTAAATAGCATAAATATAAATTACAGTCTATTTCATAAATATACATATTAAAAAAATCCTCATAGCAGCTTTAAATATCAGCAAATATAAGAATAATCCCATTACTACATAGCTTGGATATATCATGTACGTCACCAATAGAGAAATCCAATGGTATAAAAAATGATATTTTCTGCACACTGACCTTGTTAAACGGTCGGACTCTCACAGCCACTTTGACGCAGTCCTTGCCGTGCATGTCTGAGGCTTTAGCCCTCATGGTGCAGCAGGTAGCGGGTCTCGGTACAGGACACTGACTGACTGAGTGATCAGATCCCTCACACACACAGACAGACACACACATGACTGTGTCCAGTTACACGCTGACATGGACACAATCAGGTTAACATGACAGGCTCCCTGCATGAGCCTGTGAGGAAACATTTCACCTTCCGTTTCACTGGATGGAGTAATGATTCAGCGGCAGGATACTTCAAACTCCACTGGAACAATAAAATGAGGCAGACAGAATCTTTACTGTAATTAAAATAACTTCAGTCATATCGTTTTATATGGGGGGGAAATAGATGAATGTGTGTTATTTGCTTTTACCACCTACCTGGTGGTAGAATTGGAGCACCAGAGATAAGACAGGTTTCACTTTCACCCTGTCAGCCACCATAAATTATAGAGGAGGCTCCAGAAAAGACCGGGAGTCAAATTTATACGGGCAGTCTCACATTCACAATTACCTGTCTTTCAACATTTCATATCTCAGAAGTCAAACTCCAACTGTCAACTGGACATAATACATCAAATAAATAGTACACGAAATGTTCTAAAAAACTACACAGAATGAAAAGATTCCTTATCAAAGCAACAAGTTTAAGAATATCTGGTGACAGAGGCCATGTGCTTGTTTTTTTTTTGAAAGGTCCACTGTGTATTTAAGTAGCCTTCATGAACAGTGATTATTTAGTATGTTAGTGACTCTGTGTTGTGGCCATCTTGACCAGGTTTTCATGTAAACAGATGTATAAACTTAATTGACATTGCTGGTCAAATAAAAGTCAATTGAAAAAATAAACAAACAGGAAACCTGCCATTTGTCAAGACAACAACAGGGTGAGATAATAATGTATCAGATTTCATCTAGCGCTTTACAGAGCGCTAAACTACCGTAGTAGTCACAGCTGCCCTGACACAGACTGACAGAAACATGGCTGCCAGTTTGCACCTACAGCCTCTCCGACCACCACCACACAACACTCACAATCATACACCAGTGGAGAATACACACTGGGAGAAAGGTGGGTGAAGTGTCTTGCCCAAGGACACAACGGACAGAGGGGAATTGAACTGCCAACCTTTCAGTTATTGGCTGACCGCTGTACCTCCTGAGCTACTGCCGCTCAGATCAAAGCTCCAGACCTGCAGCTAAAAAAAAAAGGAAAGCGGTCAAGTAGATCAAGTTTTTTCATGGAAATAATGAATAAAGGATAATTTCAACAACAACAAAGCAACGGATTTGAAAGAACATGTTGAAGAAGTTTCCCAGGAACTTATAAAACTTTCACTGAATTTACAGTGTGTAAAATAAATTTATCACTGTGACCGCTTTAGAAAGTTCCTCAAAGAAAACTTTCAAAAGGTAAGTTTCCAGATGCGGGTAATATTTCAAAAAGCTATAGTTATTTTAGAGAGGTAAACAGCTAGAACTTTAAGCAAGGTTTTGTGGTCCAGTCACTTCACCCATCCAAGTGTGCAACCAAGCACATGCAGTTAAGACGCTAAATAAAACCGAGACCACCACTCAGAAGTCTTCAAGCTTTAACATATTTATCAAAGAGCAGTCATCAAAAATAAGACATTCTACATACATTCATCAGAAAATAGCCTTTTGTCAGATGGTAGATGCCATAAATTTAATTAAACAAGCCTATTAACAAATCCAAAAAGAATCGATCAACTCAAACCACTGTGCAAGTACTTTTTTCATTCACACTATACAACATCCCCATGACATAAAAGAAAAAATCAGTCCAGGTCTGATGGCAGAAGTCTACAAGTCTGTGTCAGTCACAAAAACCCCTCGACCCTCTGAAAGTTTAAGACTATGGCATAGGCAGTCTGATATGATGATGATCAAATGCAATCCAGACACTTAAAACTTCAAAATGAACATTATTCTTTCTTTTATTTATTTATTAACTTTATTTGGAACATAGCAAAAAGACTATTTACAAATCTTTCAGTAGAAATCTCTGGTCTCCACTGGGTTGGTTGCTTTTCTTCTTAAATAGAAAAAACAGCAGGCCTTGAAATCTTAAAAGTAAACATCAGCAACAACAGCAAAAAGAATTAAAATAATAAGAATGTAAATAAAACCTCTTCAGCAGAGGCAGGTTCACTTCAGTCTCTCTAGGCATCCTTACAGGGAGCTCCTGGAGGTCCTCATCGATGCTTTCCCTTCTGTCATTCTGTGCCCAGAGATCTAATCTACACAAGGAGCGTTGCAAAATGTCCAGCAGAAATGGCAACAGATACATAATCAAGTGAGTTTGTAGAGTGGGGTGTGTAAACTCCAAAAATATAGTCCTCTCACACAGCTGTCACCAGCGTGTTCTGTCCCAAAAAATATACCGTCATGCCTGAATCGCTTCATTTCTTCTTCAACAAACAAAGTGCAGCACTGCCAGGCCTGTGAGGAAAAGGAACCGTTAAAGAGTTTCTGCATACGCTTTTATTTACAGCTTCTGGTTTTGATCGTTCAAAACCTTCAGGCTGCTTGAGGTTTCTTAGTTCACACAACGTCAAAGTCCTCAGAGTTTCTTCTTCCGTGTGGCAGGTTTGGTAAAAACTGTGTCCATGATGCGTTTGCGTCGGAGGTTCATACTGGAGGCGGGGACCTCTCCCTCCTTCACCCTCCTCTGAGCTCGCTGTGGAGGATCAGCCGGGCTGGGCAGGGGTGAGATCAGGTCTACCTGTGCTATGGGGGGCGGCTCAGGAACTGCTTTGGATCTAAAAATAGAGAAAGAAAAAGACCTCAGCACTGAGCAGTTTTCTTGACCACAAAATAACAATGAGCACATTTAATGGCTAAATATAATATTCTCTTCTGAGGTCCGGTATTTGCAGACAATTAAAAAAAGATGCAATGTTTTTAACTTGACAACGCAAAGATAAAGAAGTTCATGTTTCGTTTTCTACAAAATACTATTGTTGAAACTTCAGAAATGATCATTTGGTGAAAAAACCCTGATCAGAATCACAGGGTTCCTGTGTCTTGGTATGCTCTCCAGCTGATTTGAGAAAAGAATGGTCTCCATTTTTTTAGGACTGTGGAGAAACTGAATTCCACATTAAAACCCTCAAACCAAGCAGATCTTTGTTGTTGTTTTGGTTTCAGGCCGTATTAGAGTATCTCTCTTCAGGAAACAGGATCTTACTTTGCTGTTCTTTTGCCCGTTTTTCTCGTCTTGGTTTCTTTGTCTGTTTCCACTTCAACATTTTCCTCTGGAGAAATGTCGTCCTGAAAACAAAGAGAAGAACTTAGAGATTAAAAGTGCTTAAAGCTTCTGTGAATAACTTCCAGTCTGTATTGATTTTGGTGCCGCCTGTGAACAAAGCAGTACTTTGATTTCTTTCTTAAGGGTTCAATAATTACTTATGTTCTACTTAAAAGGCATGACGAGATTTTTCATGGACCAGATAAGATGTCTCACATCAGTATGTGACAGACATAGAGCAACACTCAGCATGAGGGAGTCTGACGTTAAAGTCTGAATTTACATTGTTGGTACTCTAAAAACATTTCACAGCCACAAAGACACAAACATGATCAAAGCGCTATAAGACAACAGTGTTAAACATCAGCAGTGCGTTTAAAAACTCTGGCTGTGTGTGAAGCAGGGTTCACCAGCCCGATATGGTGTATCGCCTCATTAGCTGAGTCCACTGTCACATCTTTAGTTCTAGTTAAAAACTAAAATCCAGTCTCAAGGCTTGACACAAATTTTTTTTTCCACAAGGACACAATGAAAATTGATCAAATAATGTGTGTCTTATTGGTCGACATAAGTATTATTATTTGAAATCAACTTTAGGTCAATTGGTCACATATCATGGAAGCTATTGAAGGAAAACAGCCTCTTTTAAGAACATCAATGATCAAACATTGATGGTCCCTTATTCAACATCCGACGTTGATAGCCACGGTGCCTAGTAGATTTAACTGCGCTGTTTCTATTCCTGGTTGTGGAGAGTTAGAAGACGCCGGTAGATCCGCAGTGAATGTCTATCAAATATCCAACCTAACACTAACTTCACTGCGGCATTTACATGAAAAATCATTTGTTGCCTCAGCTGATTTTATTTATCGCGCACTTGTGCCCTTAAATGCACTTCACAATTTGCACACATCTATTTTTAGTCACAAATGAATGAGTGAAACAGTCGCACTGTCGAGCCCTGAGTCTATCAGGGATCAAAGAGGACTCACATGAGGAGCATCAGAGGCCTCCTTGACGACTCTCCTCCTGCTGCTGCGAGTGACAGGAGCTGCCGACCCCTCACTGGGACCAGGAGACTCTGCTCTGCTTGCTGACAAAGAGACACAACAAAAGGGTTAAAACCATCCACGACAGACGGGCTCTCAGACTGGCTAATTACCTCCCACAGGGGTCTCACCTCTAGTTCTTCTCCGTGAGGGTGAATAGATGAAAGAATTCTCGCCTGGGCTGGACTCATCCTCTTCTAAACCGTCGCTGACAGGAAGAAGGGCTTCGATCTGCTCCACTGAGGACTTGGTGCTCCTCTTGCTGGTTCTCATTATCTTGGTGACAACTCCTGTAGTCGAAGCACAAATGACAGTCACCGTTTCTTTCTTCAAACATTTAAACTCTCTGTGTTTGAAGCTGTTGTTATAGTTCACAGCCATGTACCCACCTTCTTGTTTCTCTGCCTCATCCTGAAGTCTCTTGATGAGTGCATCTGCTACAGGAGTTTCAGAGTCCACCTCCAGCGGGGAATCCAGTAAGGGGAGGTCTTCCTCGGGGTGATCCCAGAGTTTGCCTCTAGTGGGTCGGTGGGAGTTGGTACGAGACGCACTGCTGATGAGTTCAGGCTCCAGTAGAACTTTGCTTTCTTCTGCATTTTCAGCTGTGGTCTCTCCTCTCGTCTTCTTTGCACTCTGAGAAAGTGATAGAGGAACCACTTTGACCTGTGAGTGTTAAACATCAACAATGACCCACAATGGATGATTTATGGACATGCAGTGAGGGGGGAAGTGAAGAAGTTACATTCAGAAGTTACATGATGGGAAATATGATGAGCTATGAATGAGATGAAATGAATAATTTCATGAATTCTTACTTTTGGATAAATACTGAGAGAAATCTGGTTTAACTGTCGAGTCCTGGAGTTGCGTTTCACAGGCAACTCAAAGACCTCGTCCTGTTCCTTCTCTTCTTCTAAGACCTCCAGAGGTGCTGGAGCATCTCCAGTGCTGCTCAGTATCCTCCTGCTGGATCTCCTTGGAGTGTTGGCCTGAGGTGTCCTGCGTTTGGATGGTGTGGGAGTCTTTGCGCCTGTTTGTTGAGAAACTTTTGGATCTGCCACGTCCTCCTCGTGCTCCTCCTTTTCTTTGACTTCGTTCTCTGTGGCTGCAGACACCTCCTCAGCACTGCTCTGGCTTCTCGCTGAAGCGGCTCTCTGGGATCCTCGCCGTCTGCTTGGAGAAGCAGCTTTGGATGTAGATGCGACAACGGCGCTGTTAACCACCTCCTCCGCTTTCTCTTTAGAAGACGGGGTTGCTGGCACAGAAGACGCCTGCTGAGCTTTGCGCGCACTTCGTCGTGGGGTGCTAGGTTGCACGTTAGTGTCTTTGTTCTGTCTACTTTTCCTCGGGGTACGAGCAGGTGACGCGGGGACCACCAGACTTGTTCCCTCATCCTCTTCTTTTCCGTCCTCCTGAGGCTCCTCGGTTTCCTCTGTGACGGGTGAGACAAAGGTAACTGTTCTGCCTCTAGTGGTTCTCCGTGTCGGGGTAGAAGGAGCTTTCTTTTTCCTCTGAGAAGAGGGAGTTTCAGGCACAGGGGGCTCATCTAGCTGGTCGTTGGAGCTCAAAACCTCAACTTCTATCTGCTTCTCTTCTTCTACATCTTTTTGTTTTCTGGGTCTTCCCCTCTGTTTTTTCATCTTTTCTTTCTCTGCCTCAGGTTCTTCCATTATTTGCTCCTCTTCGTCTTTTAGGATTGTGTCGTCTTGCTGCTGCTCCTCCAGAACAGCCGTTGTCTCTGCACAGGGGGACACCTCTGCATCCATGGTAACGGGGCCGTTTTCTTGAGGCTCTTCCTGCCCCTCAGTAGGTGTTGGTTTTTCCTCCTTCTCCTCCTCCTCTATCTTTTCCTCCTTTTCCTCTCCTAACTTCTCCTCCTCCTCCTCTATCTTTTCCTCCTTCTCCTCTCCTAACTTCTCCTCCTCTATCCTTTCCTCCTTCTCCTCGTCCAAATTTTCCTCCCTCTCATCCATCTTCTCCTCCTTCTCCTCATCCATCTTCTCCTCTTGAAGTAAGCAGTAAGGCTCCTCATCTACCTTTTCCTCCTTCTCCTCATCCATCTTTTCCTCTATCTCCTCAAACTTTTCCTCCTTCTCCTCTTCTATGGTTTCCTCCATCTTTTCCTCCTCCTCCTCCTCTCTCATCTCTTCCACGACAGACTCGCTCTTGTCATCAGAGTCCTTTTCATCCATGACTGCTGGGAGTTCTTCGTCTGCAGATGACACATGCTCTGTGAGACCTGCAGGCTCCTCGTCCTCGGCAAACATCTCAACCATCTCTTCATCCTTCTGCTCTGTAAGATCTTCTTCCTCGTGGTTTTCCCTGATGAGTTCAGTTTGTGGTTCAGTTTGCTCAGCATGTTTTTCAGGCTCTGGTTCAGTCTGCTCCTCTTCCTCTTCTTCTTCAGTGCCATCTAAGCTGTCCATCTTCTCCCTCCTCTCTTCTTCGGGGAGTTCTTCAGACTGAGGTGGCTGCTCTTGATCATCTTTGCCTAAAAGAATAACTTCAGGTTTGACCTCGTGTTCGTCAACATCCTCAACATCTGCAAACAAGGGCGGAGGTTCGGCAGACTGCAGATCGTTCTCCATCGGGAGGGTGTCTGCATCTTTGTCCACATCCTCCTCAGCGTCCAGCATCAGAGAGAAGGTGTTCTGACAGTCAGGCCTCAGGTCGTCCTGCACGCTCTGCTGGAGCTCAGGGAGATGCAGCTGAGGACCGTCCACCAGGCCATCCTGACCCTCCATCAGCTCCAGAGGGACCAGGAGGGTGGTGGAGGGTTTGAGTTCCATGTAAGATGATCCCTGGTCTTCCACCTCATCTGCCACCAGGCCTTCTTCATCTGCCCCGAGTCTTACCATCACCACCTCCCCTTCCAAGTCCTCCCCCACCATCTGTTATTAGGGAAACACAGAAGAAGGCATTTGGATGGATTATTGATCGTTTCTTTGAGGAGAAATGTCATCAAACATTTACAACCTTTACAAAAGAGCAAAACTACTGATTTCAGCTCACAACATCAAAGCTCACAAAGAAAAGCATCCTATCCAAAAACTACAGAACTCTTTGATGACTGAAGAACTGCACTGATGAATCGCTGAAGCTGCACATTTTCACCTTTATCTCAGCTGCAGGTGTGATCAGAGAGAACGCAGCAGCCTCCTGCTCTGACAGACTCGGCAGGAAGTGCGTGTGCTCCTGCTGCAAGAAGACAGAACTGGGTTGGAGGGGTGGCAGCCTCCCGTTACCCTGGACCTCCTCAATGATCTCTACATCACTCCCAGAATCCTCCTCCTCCTCTTCTTCCTCATCTTCTCCCTCTTCAGCTTGATCAGATTCTTCCTCCTCCTCCTCCTCCTCTTCTTCTTCGTCTTCTTCTCCTTCCTCTTCCTCTTCTTCTTCCTCAGACACAGGGCTGGAAAGCTCTTCACTGTCATTTACACTCACAACAGCTGTGAGATACGAAAAACAAAGAGTGAAGATTTGTGAGAAAATGATCATAATACTTCAAGAAAAGTTCACAGTTAATGATCTGTGTCTGCTGTGTGTGTTTGTGTGTGTGTGTGTGTGTCTGCTCTGTGTGTGTGTGTGTGTTTAAGGTCTTCCTCACAATGGGAGTCCGTGCCTGTTGGCTCAGAGGATGTCACAGAGACGGTGGATTTTTGGCTGGTGAACACCGGGGGAGCTTCGACAGCAGCCGGCTCCTCCTCTTCCTCCTCACCTAATGACTCACTGAAATGAGAGGAAGAAGAACTTTTGTATAACCTTTTTATTTTGAGAGGACAAGACTGTGGATGGAGCAGAATTGCATGATTTAACCTTGAAACCAGACATGTAAGTATGCAACATTTCAAAAGACTTAGTGAATATTTTGTAAAACAAAAGGGGAAGTTGGTACCTGTTAAAGGTTGTCTGAGAATATGATGCGTCGTGGATTCCTGAGCGAGTGAGCGGAGAGTTCAGATCGCTGCCAAAGAGATGTCTTTGCACAAACTCTGTCAGATCTGTCAGAGAACGACACAAACCAAAAACAGCATGATCATTTATTATCGCACAGAGTAACACAAGAGTTACTTGTCTTTTGATGTTTCACAGAAGAAAACAGGGCTGGGCGAAAATTTACTTATACAGAAATTTACGACAATAACCAACGTCATTTTGCCCAGATCGGTAAATTTAGTGTCAAAAATATAAATAAATAAAAGTTGGTTTTGGATGTGTGTAGGTAGGCTATGGTCTCCTGTCCCTTTAAGACGCTGTCCTACATCAGAGACATGACTCCACCCCATCCAGTCCGTGACAAATAGGGAAAGACAGGTGAGGAGATGGAGGTTGGATCAAAAGTTGTAGCGGCTGGAGTAGACGAAGTTAATGTGGGAGGGGGTGAGCAGGTTGTGGAGTAGTTATCGTCCCTTTATGGTTATCGAGGTGAACTGCTCAATATATCGTGATATTGATCTGAGGCCATATCGCCCAGCCCTACTATAATAGGATCACTAAAACACATCACACCTGTGGATGGCTCTGGATCCTCTCCGGGCTCTTGTGAGGGTTCAGCAGCTGCAGGAGGAGCTTCCTGATTGGTGATCTCTGTGGCCTCTGATTGGATGTCCTGTTCAGCATCATTCTCTGGTTGATCCTGACCATCAGTGTCGTTCTCTGGTTGATCCTGAGCATCAGTTTCATGGACAGACTCTGCGCTCTCGGTCACCTGATCACAAACTGATAAAGGACGAAATGCGTCAAACGGTGAGTCGAGCATATGTCATTAGATTTTGGTGCTTGAACCTGTGTCTAACATCAAAGTGTGCAGAAACCAACAAAGTCAATTCTTCTACTTCTTACCTTGATCGTGACGGGACAGCTCCTCCTGGTCCTGATCTGCAGCGTCTTCTTGTATGCTGCTCGACTCAACTAACTCTTCCTCTTTATTTTCAGACTGAACGTCATCCTTGTTTTCAGCTTCATCATCACGACTGAAGTCCATCCACATCTCAGTTTCCTTCAAGACATACTCCTCCACTTGCTCCTCCCTCTCTAGATCCTTGGATGTCTGTAGAGGGGTTTGCTCAGTGACTTGTGAGGACTCTTCCTCTTCTCTCTGTCCTTTAATACTTATCACAAGTCTTTCCTCTCTTTCCAGGAATACAGGGAGCTGAGCATCAAAATACTCCAGCGTGGTATCGGTTGATTTGAGAGATGTCTGGCTGGTGTCAAAGCTCAGGCTGAGTCGTGCCTGTGCAGATGGTTTGGTTTCCGCGGCGACGTCACTGGGTGAGGAAGGTTCGCCCTCCAAACACCTCAGCTCAGGAGAGGAGATGCCACCTTCTGGAGGCAAGAACTTCACTTGAGGTTGTTCCTCCTCTTCGTCTCCATCCTCTTCAGCAGGCTGTGAGGACCATGTCTTACGCGTGGCCTTGGAAAGCAATGAACCTCTGGTCAACAAGCTGATCTCACTCTCTGCTGCCATCTAGAGAGAAGGACAAAGAGGGTGAGAGAGAGACACAATCTACTCTTCAACTCAACTCAATCTAACAGTGGAGCTACTGATTAATATTGCAAACTATTAATGATTCATAATTAAAAAATCACCAAAATTATAAAAAGACACATTTCTCCAAAACAGCTGTTGTAGTATGGCCATGAGGAGACCCTTGGTGTGTGTGGTGATTTTGGAGTCTCTGTACTGTATAACAGTGGAGCTATTGATTTTTGTTTACAGTGTCTTGCTCTTGTATTGCAATTTTCAGACGGTCCCCGCACACTCACCCAGCTACTGGCTGTGCATAAAGATCAATGTTATTCATCCAGCTCGACGAACAGCTTGGTTTTGTAAAAAAAATGTTTGATTCTTGTAGTTAGTAGTCTGTGCTATTATGTGAAAGAGGCATTATTTGTGTTTGGACAACGTTCCATCTCAGAGTCATTGATCCCAGAGGTCCGAATCTGTGAATATCTTTCTAACTTAACCAAACTTTTTCCAACTGCTGCCATATATAAGCTTTCTGGCGCACGCCTCACAAAAACAAGCACCTGACTCTTTCAGTTTTCACCAGCTACCGTAAGGCTTTCCATCTTTTTCAGCCTCTTCCGCCCAAGCCCAGCGCCACTTGTTTTTCACCCCTGTTTTCAATATTGCAGTTTCTTCTCCTGGTTTGGTGTATATGGCATCCATCATTTCAAATTTGCTGCTCGCTGATGCATCGTCTTCCTTCTTCTCCAGCAGGCTATATGCTATCCAGCTGCCCTCTACTAATCATATCCAGATCTAACTAACTAGGAGTTTTCAGTGGTTTTTTGTTGTTTTTTTAAACATGATTTAAAAAAAATAATTAAAAACCCTGAGTCGGATTTCCAGCACTGTGTCGGTGGTCTTCAAACCGTGATCTAAGGACGTCATCTTACCCCGTTAGTCCATCTGATGCTCTTCTCTGGCTCAGGAGATTCAGCCTCTTCTACGAAGGTGATTCGGTTCTCTTTGCTGCGAAGTGGGGGGGTGACGGAGCGTCCTGGAGAAGCAGAAGGAGTGGCAACGGGTGTGAGCCTCAGGCTGCTGCGCAGGATGGATTGTGGAGTGAAGCCTGAGAAAACAGGACCAGAAGCAGCCAAGGCCCGAGCTCGCTGAGAGAACAAGAACAGAGAAGTGTGACTGAATATCAACAAAAGGACTAAATGATCAAAAAAGGAATGTCGTCAAATAAAAATGTAGACCCGGATTTGGAGGGGTGAAGGATTACGCAATAATGGAGTCCGACATTTGTTAAGAAATAAGACTACATTATTCTGCTCACCTTGACCACCTGTGGTGTTTGCAGCAGACTGAGCTCAGGTGCCTTGCTGGTGCTCTTTGGAGAAATCCAGGAGCTGGGAGGTCTTGGGGGGCTGAGCAGAGGGCGAGGGGTCTGACAAGAAGGGTGAACCACCAAGTCCATCAGCCTGGGTCACAGTGAAGAAGAGGAGGAGGCAAACATTGTGACATTTTAATGATGGAAAAAATACAACAGCTGGAGTTTTGAAGTCTTGTTTCAGTTAATAGTAATCTATTTTCACTAATACTGATGCCACGATGCTGCACCAGAGACGCACAACTATATCAAGTCACTGAACTGGCTTCACTCGGGTAAACACAGACTTTTAAATTTACCTTGATTTTCGTTTGGAGGTCATTGTGATGGGAGTTCCAAGGAAAGGGTCAGGAAGGGTCGAAGAAGAGGGCTTAGGACTCTGAACATCTGCAGCCCTGGGACTGGCAGACAGGAAATGCACGATAAGAAAACACACAAAAACATACACTACAAAAGAAAAAAAAATCTCTGAACTGGAGCTCACCTCTTTGCCGGGGAGGATTGTGGTGTAGCTCCTTTCCCTAACCACACCTCCTCGATTTTGGTCAGGACGTTGTTGATGAAGCCGGCCCTCGACATCAACTTCTCACTGGTCGTGCGTTTAGTGATTGTCGATAATGGCTGGGGCCGAGCAACTGGAGCAGAGCATGAATATGATATTGAATTTTCGTTTTATTAAAGCTTTTGTTGGGAATGAATTAACTTAAACTACAGATGCAACAAACAACAAAGGACGTGTCAAAAGAGCAATATTACAGAATAAAAGACTTAACTACACTAAAAAAGACTTTGACATTCATGTGTGTTGAACACTTCTATCAACTCTGACTCTTCTCTAACAGGGATGAAGCTGAGTGGAGCACCAGCTCACCCTCTCTGTGGAGAGACGTAGGATGCTGGTAGGGCTTGGCTCTTTCCATTGCCAGCTTCCGCTGAACTCTGGGCAAAACTTTTCCATACTGATCCAATATAGAGTTCCTGGTGTTTGATCGTTCTTTGAGCTTCGGGTCTCGCTCGTTCTGGGAGGAAAAGATGAAATAGAACAGGCTGTTTACTTTGAACAGACACAAGTATCACCCCTCTAGATAATCTACCTCAAGATTTCTCCAGTCGGGTTTTTGTTGTTTAAGGTTTAGAAGTGTAAATAGGCAGTTGATTTAGGACATCTGCTCCTGAATTACTAATAAAGAGACATTTATCAGTGTGATACTTTGTTTGGGTGCGGCCAACTTACCACTAAATTCAGTTTAAGGCTGTGGTTGAGCTGCAGAGCAGGAATGTAGTTAGCCTGTTGGAGGTAATGAACCATCAGTAGTTCTCGGTTCTGGAGACCCCCTGTACCCTGCAGAAACTTCTCCAAACATTCCTGAAACACAGACCGCAGAACCACGAGTTTTAGGCTTCAGCTTTGTAGTTCAATCTTTATAATGGTAGTCACCATGTATCAACCATGTGTTCAATCATATCTGTCTTACCTGCTCAGCGAGGCCCAGGGGCAGCTTGAGCAGCTCCTTGATGAGGCCGAGCTCCTGGCAGCTCTCATACAGGAAGCCCATGAGCTCCGCCATGTTCAGACGACTGGAGTGCTGCCGGAGTAAAGACCATGCCTCTACGAGGCACCTGGAACAACACAGCGACAATGTTTGCGATGATATAAAACAGTTTTCATATCACCTTTCAAAGCCGCAAAACAATGACAATGTTTGCATGGTTCACAGATTTTATGCTTTTCACAGATTTTCTTTTGCTATTCCTCATGAGAGTCCCCTTTCTCTTACCTGTTGTGTAGCAAAACAGACAGGCAGAGTTTGGCCTGGGCAGTGGAGGAAATCGGAGGCTTTGTGACATGGAAGTACCGTAGTGCCACCGATTGTTGTCCCTGGCACATCAGTGCTTGCAGGACCCGCTCATGCTGCCACTCAAACTGACAATGAGAGGCTGCAGGATGCAGGAGGAGCTCAAACGAACTCTGATCGAGACAAAGAAGAAACATCCCTTTAAAAAATGATCTGATCACTGAACAGAGGAATAGATGATAGAATAAGTCTGGAGAGTCTGATTACTGTGTTTCTAATGTCACTGATTTCAAAACTTTGAATAAAGGGAAAATACAAAAGATTTTGTTTAACTCAAATGAACATTTCAGGGTCAATCTGTGTGTACCTGGTGGTCATGATGGTCCAGCAGCCAGAGGCCCTGGACTAGTTTCACCAGGCCTATAGGGATGGCGAAAGCTGTGGGGAAAAACTCCACAGATGCTCCTCCCTTACTGGGAAAGGCGTGCATGATGTCCAGTAACAGGTAAATCACCTGGGGCAACAGGTTAAGGCTTATAGCTAAATAAGATTTGATTATTCCAAAGTTAGAAAACCTTGGAGATTTTCAATCATGACAATAAATTTACAGACAAATACAAACCAAGCCGAAATTATTGATTATTAAGTTTAGACCCCGATACATGTTTTAAGAATAATAATAATAAAAAAAAACCTGATTGCAGCAGATTAAACAGCTGATGGAAACACACAAGAAAAGCTCTGGTTCGAGCTTTACTGTTTAAAAGGATACAATAGCATGTTTGGCAGCATCATCAATGTTGTCCAGTAGATAAATGTCCAACAAAGCCTGTTGAGAAAAGGTATGAGGATTAAGTCTTGACTCAGTGTGTCTGAGGTGTTGTGGCATACAGCTGATCATAAAGAATAAACAGTCATAATGCTTACATGCAGTGAAGGTGGGGGGTAAAGCCCTGTCCCACCCTCGTCCCTTTTCCACAGGTTGGTCAAGCGTCCACCACACTGACTCACCAAACCGTCGATCATCAGACAATCTGCACACCACTTGCCTCTGAAGATAATAAACAACAGGAGAATTTCAACAATAGGTCAAGTCAGGTCATCATCCTTGAAGAATAAGTAACAACTGAGCTGTGCATCCGTCATTGAAACATCGTGAGAACTCCGAATTATGAAGACATCCAGTGTGAGGACTTATCACTGAGCCGAAGCATGAATGAATGAACCACTATCAAGCCAAGTTTACTCACTTAGCCAGCCTGGTGAGCTCCTCTCTGCGTATAGTGTAATAGTTACTGATGACTGAGGGAGTATAGAAAGGCCTGGAGATCTGGAGAGCGTCATCATCTGGTGAAAAGAGACAAATGCAAATCAGAGTGAGAAAGGAAAAATTTAGTACAGTGAATACATTAATGTTCATAAAGTCAGCAACCCTTCAGAGAATCATATGACCCAATGATTTTCTACTAAATGTGATATACGACATCAAGAGATGCATGAACATCTGTTTATTTTTACCACAACAGATTCAGCTTTCATGTTTTTGAATCACTGACTCAAACTGTGTCATATTGTATGAACTAATTTGTAGGGTTTCTTAGATCATGTTGATGTCTGTGACACTTTACCTGATCCTTCAGGCAGTAACCCAGTACGACAGAACCAGAGCACCACCTGAGCGTACTTGGAAATCAGACTGGACACCATATTCTTGTTCATCAGACCAACCAGGCCTACACAAAACAGATATAATCACCACAACATTAGAATCAAAGACGACCGCGTGCTGACAGGCAAATAACATGAGCTCGGAACTATAAGGGTGAGGGTGCTGCACCTTTTTGTGTGAGCTCCTGAGCTTCACTGAGCAGACAGTGGAAGATGGTACTGAGGTTACTGAGCAGCCTCTGGGTGTGTTGGAGCAGCTGCATAGTCTGAGGGTCTGTGAAGTTGGATGAGCTGTCAAAGAGCGGTGCACCTACAGAACATGCAGGTACAGCGGGGTACAGAGATGAGTCATAAGAACAGAAACTTCACATGAACTCAGCAAACTCACAGAAAGCATAGACATGAGAGAAACAGGAGCATTTTTGTGGCTTGAATAAAAATATAGAAAAGGTATTGGAAAATATGAAGCAAACTTTTCAAATCCTTGGCAGTGCATTACAAAGCTGTCATCAACTTTACAAGTATATTTAGCCTACAAACAGGTTATGCAAAAGTATCTGATCTCATCTATTCAAATGTGTCACTGAGTAGTCAAAACTTCTGGACCTTTTCATTATCTTAATGACTACTACATGGGCTTAATAAAACATCTAAACATAATTTGTATCTTATGATTAAAGCAAAATAAGTAAACCAAAACATACAGATGCCATCCAGTTCCTCCTTGGTTTGGACGACTTTGTTCCAGGCCCAATCCAGGATGTAGCGCAGGTTCAGTGCAGAGCCTGGTTGTTCTGTTAAGAAGAGACAGATGGACTAAATAAAAGTTGATCATTGGGCTGAGAAGATCAAGTCAACATCTCCCCCTTCTACCTGCTAATACGACAACGCTGGGCTCAGGAAAACAATTTGATGCTTGTTCCAAGTGTCACTACTCACCCTCTGCGGTCCACTGCTTGATACATCCAGTGATCAGTCCCAAAGAGCTGGTCTCCACTGCTGTGGACAATATTGCATCCAGCTGTTCCTCCTACAACACAGAGTACATGCTCAGTTGTACAGAAAGTTAAGAATGGATCTCATGGTTTGCATGACATAAAAGATTTCATATAATGTGAACTAAGACATATAGAGCAGGAGTGTGTGTGCATACCTGAGAGAGGCTGGAGGCCTGGGTGTCAGCCAGGCGAGATGAGAGTAGGCCAGACATGAGGCAGCGAGAGTAGCTGGTGGAGATGACGTCACTGGAACAAGGAGCAGCTTTCTTCAAAAAGCTCAGGGTCTGTATGTCAAAAAGAGTAATGAGATGCTTAGTTGATACTGTGCAGTCTGTGCAATACACATTATACCAGCTTATGCCAGTAAAATACAGGAACACACACACAAAAAAATTATATTTAACTGTTACAAAATCATTCATGTGTGCTGAAGTAAAGAAAGTTTAAACCAGTCATTGTATTTTTTAGTATACAGTCGTATTATAAACTCACTTCTTTCTGGTACCCAGAGCAGGTTAAGTGCACAATTCCAGAGTTCAACAAACAGGTAGCATCTGTGAAATTCAAAGATAAAAAGAAGAGTTTACTCAGCAAAATGAGAATGCAACAATGACCTTTATTTGTATGCACAACCAAATTCCTGCCCAACATGGACAGACAAAAACAGCAGCACACAGTGACTTCACCCGAAAATAGTCATTTCTGTTATCAGATCATCTTGGTGTAAATAAAGGTGCTGCACCTACCAAAGTTATAGGTGGTAGGATTAAAGTACTGTTCTGGTGGAGGACAGGTGTAGGGCAGGCCTCTGCTCAGGCTGCGCTCATGCACTGCCACATCCAGGAGGAGGTGCTGAGACACCATCTGCACCACAGGGTCCAGCGACCAAACTGCCAGATAGGGACAGTTTTGCAGAGACTCTCCCGTTCTGATCAAAAACAAACACAATACACATGAATGAAGTGATGCTCAGTGTAACAGTGAATTTAAAAAATGATTACTACACCTAGCACAGGGGGACACACTAAATATTTAATGGCCTGCACCACTGTTCTTGCATGTAAACACCAATTAGCAGCAGACAAACGTTGGGGAAATACTGACTGTTGGTGTAAAAACTAATACGGTTAAAAAAATCAGCTGTCTTGCAACAGTTTTATCAGCTATCCAAAGACCTACTTCCTGAGAGTCTTTCTTTGAGAGTACATTGTAAGTAGAACAGGGAGCCAAGGAGAAGTGCTGACTGGAATTTTTTTTGACACATAAACAAGTCATGTAGGAGCTCAGCACGTCAGTGTGAACGGTGTTATCTACGTAAGGAGGAAAAATGATATATATCCTGTTCTACACACAAGATCTAGGGCAACAGGTTTGACTTATCTGCTTTGACAGATAATTGACAGTGGCCCCTCAGTTAAGACTCTATGCATACACAAGTTAGACGACTATAACCAAGTAGTTATAGTCTTTAGTAGAGCAGACTCAAGAGATGTTCCAATGGGATCTTGATGCAGCTTAAAAGTAAAAATATCACACACACAAAAAAAAAGGTCCACAATGCATAACCAATAATGTCAATGTTTTTATATGGAAAAATAATATAGTTTAAAAAAGAAACGTTTCATAATGACTGAAAACTATTAAACATCTAGCTGTACTTTTGAAAACCAAATAACCAAAAGGTTACCCCCTTATACATAATGGTCTTTTTCCAGGATATCTACAAGCTATCTAACATTCAATGCAGTTTTATTTAAATCTGTGGCTCTCCTTATGTCTGCACGATTTTGGCCAAAAATAAAATCCTGTTATTTTTTTCCTCGATAAACTCTATTTGTGGTTGTAAATTTTTTTCCAGTGACAATTTCACTAAAATTCACTTTTGATAAAGTTTTTCTATGATCTCTTAATTTTTTTCCAAAACTTTTGCATCTACTCCTGAATTCATTTCCATGTGGACGAGTTGATACCGCTTTCAGACAGACTCTGCAGTGGGGAGTGGTTGCTCTCTATGCGAAACTGCGGAGCTGTACCAATTCCACATGACTAACTCGCTCTTGCCCTATATAGCCAAGAAATCATTGCCTTCTTTTGCAAACGCCATGTTTGTTTACAGTGGCGTGTGTGGGAACTGGGGAGCGCTTGTAGAAAGCGGAAGCCCACGGTGGCCTGGCCCTTTTTTTAACACTGTCATAATCAAATAATCCGATTACGATTTAAAATTGATTAACCGTGCAGCCCTAGCTCTCTTTATTGAGTTGAATATGAAAAGGCCAAAACTATTTCTGTTGTATATTCTAATCATTTACATTTAAATCTGTAAATATCTACATGGCTGTGGTAAGCTTGTGACACCCCCCCATACCCCTTCACCCTCAACCTGACATCATACAAGTTCCTTTTTCACATGAGTTCCTTTTTCAGCAAAGAACAAGTAAAATGTCTGAACTTGACTGTACCTCAAAGAGTCTGGCATTTGTGCATGGTACCACCGGTTGATGTCAAAAACCCCGATGTAAGTGCACGGAGTCCCCTGACCATAGGCCCTCACTTGCCAGCTGAAGATAGACACACTGGTGTCTGGAGAGGCAACTGAAAATATGATGAAGAGAGAGTGAAAAAGTCATTCAAAAAGATTGATAACAGGTGTGACAAAGGTTTGGAGTTTTCTGTATCTGCAGTGTATTAAAAACAAAGAAACATTTCAATTATTCTGAATATATCAAAGTACAAAGTATTAAGGCTAGATTGAAAGTTGGGGAGACTAACCTTCATTCATACTGTCATCTCTATCTGGGTGAGGTCTGAACTTCTCGATGGTCTGACAACTCAGTAGGCGGGTGTTGGTGGCCTGAGCCCTGAGAGGGAACGCTGGACCACTTAGCTCCTGGCTGTAACGCTCCTCACAATACTCCAGACCCTGGTGGAGACAAGGTCAAAGATGGTGGATAAACCAAAGAGGCTTGAGCTACAGGCCTGAACTGCACAGTAAAGAGCTCAGTAATTGAAGTGAAAGGAGGGTTAATATTGATGTAATCTTGTTAGCACAACAGACCTCATAGAGGATTTTCCCAGAAGCTAGACACTTCCTTTCACTGAAAGCCAGCTGGAGCAGGCGGAGGCTGACCATATCGCCCTCACTGTGTAGGAGTTAGAGGAGGTAGAGACAGAACAAGAGCATGGGTGAAAACAAACACAACAAAAATAACCCTGCTCTACCTGTATGAAGTGCTTGTTGTGTGCAAGACTTACAGGTCCTGAGTAGACTGAACAGCCCAGAGGTAGCAGCAGTTCCTGGGATCATTTTCAGGCTCCTGGAAGGTAAAGGCATACACAGGCACCCTACCACTGTCCAACTGGGAGTGGTATCTACATACAAATAAACAAAATCCACACAATCATAAATATATACTTAGAATTTTTTTGACATGACATTTAATAACAAGGCCATGTCACTTGATTTTGAATCAATCACTTAACTTTTGATTGACAGCTGACAAATCACAACAAAAGTTAGCTTATCATGCATCACATAAGGTTTGACTGTGCTATAAGAAGAAAGGCAAGGACCCACTCCTTCTTTAGGGCCTTCATGTTCCACAGCTGTAAGTATCCGTCAGAGAAGCCCACTGCCAGCTGGTTGGTCCTGGAGATGTACTGCAGAGCTGTGGCTCCGACTCCACTGGGAGCATTCAGCTGGAGGCAAAGGTGTCTGCCCTGTCTGGTGCTGACTTCTCTGAGCCGCGGGATCTCTGAAGGGGATTTGGTCACTACCTGCAGGTCTGAGAACAAAGAAAAAAATATTAGAATAGAGAAGGGGTCTCTGGCAGAAGAAAATGTGTGGTATGACCACCAGACAGCAAGATAAGTCTGCTGAGGGATAAAACCACACATTAATATTCAGCACAACAGAACATGCACATTAATGTCATAAACTGAAGTTCTGGCTCCTCACCTGAGGCCTCCAGTTCACTTTGGCTGCAGGACAGATCGTCCAGACAGAGGTCTACAAGCAGAACATGGCCGAGGTCGGTTACTACAGCAGCAATGCCGAAGAACCAACGTAGACTCTGGTGAAGATGCTGGGTCGAGGTGCTTGCTCCGCCATAACTCACAAGTGGCTCAATAGCTGTAATCTAGATGAAAAGAAAGTCCACTTTTAGTCAATAAAAATTCTCTGAGGTTTTTATGTGCTGGGTTTTATTTTTCTATTCACCCTTGGCAGCTGTGTGCTAACTCTTGCTGAGAATTGTCTGATTTGGGTTGGGGGTGAATTTGAACGTAACTCACCCTGCCTGGTATAACGACAGCTTTGACCACCCTTGACAGTCCTAAGTCATAAAGACACAGCACGCTGCCCTCTGTTTCTTCCAAGCCAACCAGCAATCCAGACCTGTTAACAAACAAACAGTAAAGGTTTATACATGTAAATCTACCTTTACTCCGTCATCAATAGACCCTAGAACAAAATAAAAGCCTGAAAATCTGGTGGTTGTAGACAAACATTCATTTAAGTTAAATGAGAAGTTAGGGGTTTATTTCTAATGGTTACAATCCACATCAAAAGACTGTTGGGAAAAAAGAAAATGAAATAAAGCTCTGACCGTTTCAGCCAGCTGAAGTCTCTGGCAGCCAGGACACTGGGCGGGTGCTCTCCCCCGCCACTGAAGCGGTATGCAGACAGCCGTTCTCCTGTCCCTGCATGCACAACCTCTAGATGGGGGCCACAGGCCAGCCAGGCCAGCCCACTGCGGCCTTCAAATAAAAACAAGGAAGTGAACGGAGGGGAGGACAAGATCAATAAACATCACTCGCCTAGGCTCTTTTTTTAAATGACAAACAGCTTAGTGGATAACAAGTGACCTGCAGCTAGCTGTACGAGCTGTTTTTACACTTTCACTTAAAAAGGAAAATTAAGTTCCTCAAAAGAGTAAGGTCATTTTCTGAGTCAACTCAAGTCAATATTTCTGATTAACTCTTTCCATTCTTTTATTTGTTTTCATTTTATTTAATGCATCAATTATTATAATATCAAGTGTAAAAAACAAATGCTTACCAACAGTGAACCTCCCATGTAGCACAGAGTCGAGGGTGATCTCATCCTCACCCAGGGCGTCTACAGTAACCGCTGGGAAAGGCAGCAGACTGCTGGTGACTTGGGCAGCCCGGTTGTGCATGGTTCACTGTATTCATAAACAAAAAACAGCAGAACATATAATTTGTTAGAAACAGCAGTAAATCTATTTACCCTTCATGTCTAGGTTGTTTGCAAAATTAGAGCTTAGGAGACTGAGCCGAACATTGTACTTGGTAGATATCATTATTCATGGGATCATACAGAGTAAACAATGCTAAGTATCATAAGAGCCTGCAAAACACTCTTTTACATGCCTCCTTCTACCTTAATCCACTCCAGACTGTGACTGCTCCAGTAGGGCTTACAGAACAATGGGGGTCTATGTTTCATACCACACTTGTATCCCCAGTTGTCAGGAAATGTCCTGTGAGCAGACCTACTGACAACTGGGACTACAACTGGGTTTGCTTTCAAAACAAGCTGCTACACATCTATTCATTTGGAGATGAGGGTTGTGAAAGCCTGCTGTGGGTAATAGCTCTGGTGAAGCACTTTCTGAATGACTGGCATAAAAAAAAACATTAAAAATGTCATTTTCAAATCTTTCTCCACACCGATTCAAAACAAACCTGATGCTAATAGTACAGATCTAAGACACTGAAGCTAAATGGCACTCAAAAGTAACTCAGTCTTGATCTTTTCTTATTGAACTTTTAAAGAATTTTGTTCAAATAAATTTTTATTTTCATTTACTTGGCACAAAATCCTGACTGTCCCAGGCATTTTATGTGCACAGTTTCTGTCATCAGAGTTCTAACAGTTTGAGCTGGCCTGTACATTTGAAATTAACCCTAGAACAATACCGCTGGATGATTTTCGCCTGACCAAACATGTTTATGTGATTTTCATTATGTTGTGTTTGTCTGAGTATCATGGGTCCCTGGGTAGCTTCAGCATGTCCTTTAACATCTTTGAAGGCATGTTTGTTTCCCTGATCCAAATCCTGCTTTTTCCTACAGGCATGTGTTCGGGTGATTTTCGCCCGGCAATAGTCATAGAGGGTAAGTAGGTTTGGGTGGATTTGATAGCTGCATGTTGGGAATAAAGTCAGTAAGAGAGGTCCTGGAATTTGCATGCTGTCTTTATTTAGCACAGTAGTTATTAATAACTATCACAAAGTTTTGGTTTTCAAGGGAATTCATATGGTGATAAAAAATGTTTTTAGTCAGCTGATCATTTTTAGTCACTCAAAACATGCCATATTTTGGTCCCCTGTCCTGCAGCTGTTATTGTGCCAAGAACCCTGAGGCTTCACCAGGAAAGAATCATATGCCTCAGGAATGGATGGAAAGGAAACTAAATTTACAGTTTTTATATGTTTTTTGTTTTTAGGAATTTTTGGTTCATGAATGCCTAATTTCAGTTATTTTGTTGCATTTGTATATGGTCCTCTCATGTTTTTTTTCCTCCCTTTGGACATTGCACAGACAAAAATGAAAGACAACTACTTAATTTGTCACGTATTGTCCTATTTTGATATATTTTGATGACAAGTATTTTTTCTTGGGTATATTATTTCAGGTAAAAATCACCTGGGCGATAGTGAAGGTGTTACTAATTGTGGCGAAAGTGTTCTAGGGTTAATGAGATTTTCCAAAACTGAAAACAAGTAAAAACTTGTGATGACTTTGCTTATGTCAGCTGTTATTTTTTCGTACACGGGTGGTTTAGTAAGCATACCATCTTCTCAGTGTATTTCTGTTCCTGTTTTACTCTTGAATAAGATAGTTATAGATGACCCGAGGTCCTGAATGTTTTTGCTGTCCTCAAAGTTTGCTCAACTACCCATGTTCAAACAAGATAATATTATCTCCAGCGGTATGTTGTGCAGTATGGTGCTTTCAAGGCCAACTCCATGCCTTTCATGTTGAGGCTGGAATATGTGGGCTCAGTACTGCCCTCTGTGACCACACTGGAGAAGAAAAAATTAGATTCAAGTGAACTCCCGCGCAACACGCCTGTCACTGCGCAGCCACATGCAGTGACGCGAGATTCAACACATTAGAACATCGAGAAGAGAAACACGGCTAAAGACAGCCACACACAGAAGTAAAGAAGTAAAGACTTAAACACAGCTTATAAGTTAATAAAAGTCACATATCTGACTCCTTCAGTTACACCGAGCGCTCACGTGTGCCATTATTTCAAAACTTGGCGTGACAGCCCCTAACTTTTACACAATTAGATCAAATGTTAAAACAAACAACCATTACTAGAAGTTATTATAAGCCACACAAGACAGGATTTCACTTAATAAGCACATATAATTTTCGATTAACGGACTACAAGTAGCACGGTTGTTAGCTGATGTGCGGCACATGCTAGCTGCAGCTGTTAGCGCGGAGCTAACGTGACATGATGTAAACAAACACAAAGCTCTCTTCTTATACAGTATAATACACACTGTCACCGATACTATATCGCAGTGGAACATATAAACGACGTGTTGTTGGTGTTGTTTGGTGCCGAAGTGAGACAAATAGCTTCAAAATATAAGTTTCTCGCAGCATTAGCAGGCTACTCAGTTAGCTTGCAAGGTCATGCAGGATTACGGTTTATCTGAGTTCACAGTGGAGCTAGTCAACGTAGCTGCGTGAATGCATGACAACAGGGAGGTACTTCACATCGTAACTGTGGATTAATTATTAGAGTTTTACAGGAAAAATCAAATGACTTCAACACTGAGCCTTTAAATCTATCAAATGGCTCCGTTTGTTAGTAGCTAAAGTGCGGTCCGTGTGCCTAGCAAGTACTTTGGTTAGCAAACGCTCTTGTTAGCAGAGTAAATGCGTTGGTTTAGCGTGACACACCTCAACACTTACTTCTACGATTAGCACTTGTATTTTCTCATTACCACAATCTTGACAAAGGTCTCGTCATTACATGTCTCCGCGAATTTATAAGATGGTGCTGCAAACTGTTGAAGATAATAAAGGTGTCTTGGATTAGCTTTAGCCGCAGACCCTCAGCTCAGACATGCTGTAGCACCCGTTTAACTTCAAACAGCGTGGCGCTTTACACATCACCGTATAGTTCAGAGTCAGCATAGACGACATATATTCCCCCTGTGGGTGGATGTTGTTTTATCTGGCTCCTCTTTAGCACTACAGCCTTGTTAGCGATCCAAACTACGCAGGAAAACGTGATGCAATGAGCCGCTAACTGCTCCAAACGTTCACGTTACACTCACCTGCCCGACGATCACGGCTCTAAAACAGCCACCAATGTTTTGTTTTTCTTGACCAATCTCTCGATATCTTCTCTTCTCTGTCATTATCCTCTAGTTTTCACAGCGCTGTCCATGTGTACGTTCCCCGGGACGATGAAACTGATTGACCAGCGCGATATGTAGCCCAGTCTTCAGGCTCCTGGACCACTGAGCGCCATTTCCACAGTTAGACACTGCTTCCCGCGGTTCTTCTTCGCGGGCGCTAATTCTGGCAGTGCAGACAGAGGGATTACTCATTACTGCCCCCATAACTTTAAAGTAGAATTAAGTCAAACGTGTATGCGCCACACCCACTGCTTGGAGATAGTCATATTGTAAGAGACTTGATGTTTTTAAGAAGAGGCTCAAGACTCACCTTTATAACCAGGCTTTTCACTGATTGCCTTTTTATACTTCTTCTAAAAAGGCTCTTTATATATTGCAAATGTTCATTTTAATCGACTTTCTTATTGTTTATTATATGTCATTTTATTAATTACCTCTGTTAGTCCTTTTCCTTTTAGAGGTTTTCACTTCTTTTACCCCTTTACATGGTAAAGAGCTCTTACTTATATATTCATTTTATATTTTTTTCTTGTCTCAGTCTATCAGGTTTTAGTCTTTCTTTTTACCTATTTATTTTTTAATTTAAAAAAAATATTTTTCTTATCTTTTATTTTTTATCTTTATCTCCAGTGTTTCCCAAAGGCAGCTCTTTCCTCATGTAATGTCTTGATGTCAGGTCATGTCTCTGACGATATATCTTTAATTCTCACACTGTGTGCGCTTGTGTTTGTGTGTGAACGTGTGTGTGAGTGAGAGTGAGCGGGTGTCTTTGTGTGCGTGTGTGGGTCCATGGTTGGGTGTGTGGGTGGGAGGTTCGGTTGTTAATTGTTTTTTGGCCTCTGTGAGGAACTTTGAACTGCATTCTTTATGTCTTGCCATACAAATAAAGTTGAATTTGAATTTGAAGTGTGAATGGTCGGTGCTGTTATTTGTTGTTTCATCCATGTGAATCACCACAATTCAGTGTTTTGATAATCTATCAGCTGTTGTTTCATATGGTTACTGAGAACCCCTACTGCTGCAAATAAAAAGAAAATGCAAAGAAAAAAAAAAGAAGTCACAACAGAAGTTACTGATGCAAAAAAAGTTACTGCGAAAATAAAAAGATGCATATACATATATATATATATATATATGTATGTATAGAGAGAGAGAGAGAGAGAGAGAGAGAGAGAGATATTTGTTGATATTGACTGATGTAATATATATTTGAACATCACTTATACATGCAAAAAAAATTTCGCTCATGCCTTGGGCCAGCTCTGCCAAGAACCAAGGAAGAAGCTGCACTGATTTATCAAGCTAAAGCTGAAAGTTTTCTTGAAGAATTTCTGGCCCTAAAAAAATTGGCAATGAGATTCCTACCCATTGTCATCTGTTACCTTTTCCCCCCGAATACGACAAAAGTCTTGAGGTCAAAAGAATAGGTGGACTTGGACCTAACATAATTAACCCCATAGTCCTTGACCTGGAGCATCCTCTCACACAGCTCCTGATCATGGATTATGACAGACAACTCTTTCACTCTGGACCGGCTAGAGTAGTTGGTGAAATACAGCATCAGTGGTCATGTAGCGTGGAGGCTCTGGAGACCTCCGTTCTGGTCTACAGCAGTAGACTGTTTCAGTCCTCTGACCATTGAAGCAGGACGACGTGCTGAAAAACAATGAGGAATTTTGTTCAAGTGTATGAACACCTGATGCACCCACATTGAACTGCTAAACAGTCTTGATTCTGACAGATTTCCTCTGTCATTCAGACGGTTCATTCCTCGAAGAGCACAGCCATACGAGCTCCTTTCTGACTGTGGAACCAAAGTAGAAGAAAGAGAGTTAAGTGATGCCTTGGCGTCATGAACCCACACCTGAAAGAACACCTATAGAAATCTCAAATACAATGCCACTTAAATCCTCCTGGAGGAATGTGGGAAAAGGAAACACATTCAAATTCAACTTTATTTGTATGGCACTTCTCAGACAAAAAAAAAAATGTAGTTCAAAACAACAATTAAGATAGGATGTTTAGGGCATGACTACCTTAAATATTTGAGTAAAGATTAAAAAGGAAAAAAAATGTTAGTACTCTGACAATCGGTGGCCCATTTGCAACCCACAGTTTGGGGAAGACTGCCTCAGAGGACAGGTGGCAAGGGGTTCCAAGGGGAAACTTTTGTTGTATTCTTGAACATCAGCTGTCTGTTAATTCAAAATAGAAAGGAAATGGTAGAGCTAAAATCTATTTTTGTAAATCCTCAAAGCAAATAGTTAATGATTTTTCAACCTTACAGATGAAATGTGGTAATTTGGCAAAGGTCTGCGGCATGCAAAAGCTTACTGTAAAACCCAATCTGTAGGAAAAACCACATTACACCATTGCTTAGAAAAAATGAAAGGCTGGTTTATTTGGCACTTATGTGACCTCAGTATGAATCAGCTTTTCCAAAGATACATGGAAGAAATTACACAGATATAGTTTATTGGAGGCATGTAAAAAAGGAGTCAACAGAGAGATGTGACAAGACTTCTCGGCTTTGTAAGGACATTTGTTACCATTAGACATGTTGACTAGTTCTTCTTTGTTCCAAAACCACACTTCTTTCTGAAGATCTGCAGTTACATCACGTTCAGTCAAATGTGGAGGATGCATAATAAAAAGTTCAAAAGAAAATTTTTTAAAAAGTCTTTTAAAAATTAAAGCCATGAATAAAATGAGGTCTTAAGACAATAGGGACATTGTTTAACTCAAACACAAGCATCAAGACAGCAATAATGTAGCTGCCATTAGCTGTCAAGACGAGTAGACTGCAAATGTCACCCAAACACATACCAATGAAAGAAGAAACCTGAAATTAAAAAAAAAGGAGTCCAGACAGTGCAGAAAGAAGTATTAAACAGTTACTAATGTTTACACAAGGAGTAACTTCAGATGGCAGATTCACATCCAATCGGTTAATATGCAGATTTGTCCCAGTGGTTCAATGATATATCATGATGACAATACTGCAAAAGCCAAATATCATATCAAAGGCAGCATGTGAAGCACAAAAGGCAGAGATGAACAAGAAGGAATTACATTTTTCATGATGTGATGGCGCTGTGATTAAGGGCCTCCAATCCATGGGCAGGGCACTCACAGCAGCTTGGTGGTGTAGCATCATATCCTTTGGTGTCTGATAAAGAGACTGTCCAAATAATTTTGCTCGCACCGACAATAACAATTTATTAGAAATGTATAAAAATAGTTCCCTTTAGTTAACCTCAGTTGAAGTCCTTTAAACAATAGTTTCTGAAGATAATACAGGAGTATTATTCTGGTTCTGTAATTTCTTTTTTATAAGTTTCTCAATCATCAGGTCAAACTCTTGTCTTTCTCTGAAATAAAAAGAAGAGTAAAAACACAGTTAAAGAGAATATTGAGGGTAAACACTGTGGCAGATTATCTCATTTCATGCTTACCTGTTGCTTACGCATCGCCCTTTCAGGTATTTTTCCTCTGCCTTTTTCACTGAGACTTTCTCCACTCCAGCTATGGCATATATGATGGCCTGTACAGGGAGACAGTTGTTTCTCAATAGCTTTTCCTCATTTACCATGAACAGCACATAAGCAGACACACTATACTCTTTAATAAAATTACATGACAAGAACAAGTGTTGAAGAAAACTTCAGTTCACCTCAGGAAGAAGCACATCCAGGACAAAGAAGACACTGTTGGTGGACTTCACTTTAGCCAGACAAGGGGCAGTGGCCACAGCTGATGAAAAGAGCTCATTAAGGTACCTGTAAACCTGCTCTAACTGCTGGTCATCTTCCAGGTATACGTTTACCACTTGTCTGTGACTGGCACTCAAAAAGGAGCGAAGCCATTGAGACTGTTGCTGCCCACCGATAACAGCCTGTGAGGACAAAGATACAAGGAGAGGGTTCTAGTTAATCCAAAGCAGGGTGGAGGAGCGCCAAGTACAATTTTTACTTCAAGATTTGTTCACATACATTTAGTATTTTTATCACACCCATTCAGAATCTCATAGTGGGTGAGTTTAGTTTTGGTAAAGTCTCATCAACTGCAGACATAAACCCTAACCTTACTACAAAAATCCAGACATGTTCAAATCTTACAATCATTTGCCTTCTTCACATTTACTGCCTGTTTGTTTTTGCGTCATACATCTGAGCCCACCCACATGTGGATTATATTTGTTACCTGTGTTTGGTCATAGGACCCACAAAACAACCTTTGCTAATTCACTGATGGAAAATTGTCAGGCTCCATGATCAAGTGTAAAGTATTGAAATAAAGTCACCAAAAACCTACAATATGTGGAGCGAGATTTATCAAACATCAGACTCCATTAATCATACCAGAAGTCTTCCTTCGACCTTTCGCTGCTTTACGATGAACTGTACAAGCTTCTCATTGGCACGGTTGTAGGCAGCATGACTCCTGTCAGGCAGTAGCCTCTTCGAACTCCTGGTAATCTCCTCCTGCTGTTCACTAAAGCTATCGTCCTGAAGATCATCAGATGACATCTCCAACAAGGGATCAGCAATGGTTAGCGTCTTTGAGGCATCCTGTGGGTACTTTCTCCTAACTGGATAGCCTGGATAGTAAAAAGCAAAATCATGTACACATAGGGCTGCAGGTGAACTCAGGTCTTGAGTTCAAATTCCTCTCTGTTTATACTCAGTGGTGCCATGTTGACTGGTCATGTATGATGAAACTTACTCATGTCATGAGCGAAGTACTCAATGAAGGAGCCTGAAAATGAGCCACATGCTACAAAGACAAAACATGATTAATATTTCTAATACACAGAGCCACCAGAACAAGACTGTGTATAGTGTAGGTAAACAAGCACAAATTAACAAAACCTACCTTTACGTATTTTGTAGTCTGTTATGAGCTCCAGGGACCATTCAATGGCAGGTCTTAACATCTCCTTTGCTTTGCACTATAACATGATTAGTACAAGAGATATGGTTAAACTGATGGTTAAACGAGTAACAAAAAAACAGTTCTGGAAAAATTAGTTTTTGATTTTGAGCAGTTCTTACCACAAGCTCGTCAGCTTCTTCACAGTCAAAGGGCTTTATATCTTTTAGGGGTACAGTCAACCTGTGAAAGCACATGCGTACAACTTAAGTATTAAAGAGAATGAATGTAAAAAAAAATAGCTTTCAAAATGCAAACTTTGAAAGTCTGCTAGCAGTTCACTCGAAATGTTAAAATACCTAAACATTTCAGCCATTGTTTTAACAAAAATAAAGGACACTGTTTCTGACAACAAAGGCCAACCAGCGATTAGCCATAATCAACTTCCAGCAAAGACTTTGTTTTCTGTGTGCTTCATTTTTAAGCAACATGATGCAGATTTCTAAATAGTAGAAGTTCAAGATTTGTTAAGCCTGTCCTCTAGAGGAAACACCCTTTAAAATGTATAATTTTGGTAGATCTGAAGCATGATCTATAACTATCTACAACAATCTAGATCTACATCCCAGCACCATGCATGTTTGTAAGTCAGATAAACCTTTGATCTGTAAGAGATAATCACCACTAGTCCGTGGTTGCATGCAGATTTCTGTTTATATCGGTAAATAAACCAGCCGCAAGTCACCGTTGATAAGGTGCCATCAGAGTGGATCTATATACTTCTGCTCCTCATATGAACTGTTTTCTACTTAACCAAGGCTGCTGATTCACTGTTGCTCAATACTACAATGCCAAAGATCAAACAACAATACAACAAATGTAAACTTCTGTACCTCCCATGTGTAAACACAGGTTCTTAGTCCAATCTCTGTTTACAGATTCCCTTTGAAAATGTAAAGACGACAACTAGAGATTGAACGGCACAGAGCTTTAGCAATCCTATCTGGTGTCCCAGATTTCCTGCATGTCTTTTTATTTGATATAACTTAGTTTGGAAATCCCAAATAACTAGGTGCTGTCTCTTGGATCAAGAACTGTGTGTGCAGAAACTTCTAGGTCTAGAGGTGCTTACAGCCTAACAGATTAAAGTAATGACGAGACATCAATATAGCAAGAGAAAAGAGACAGGAAATACCCCTTTCTTTGATGTAGATGTGGTTGATCTATGTACAATATGCTGGCCTTTTTCTGTTTCTGGATTACACTCTTAACCTGCAGAAAGGACAAAAAGTCTGATTTTTAACATGAAGGTTTACAATTACTGACAAAGAATATTTTTCGGGGTCAAGAATGAAGTTGAATGTAGATGACATTCTATCAATTAAAGACATTTTTGGGGTGAGGAATATTCAATACCCAAAACTTTTTTAATGAATGACCTAACTGAGAATCATCTACATTCAAGTGAAAGCATTTTTTAGTCTGAAATAATTAGTCAGATAATCAAAATAAGTATTCTGTTAAAAATAGGATATTTTAATAAACGTCCAACTGAGTGCTTGAGTTGTCAAAAAAATCACATAGACTTCTCAAATGCAAGAACATTAATATTTCTTGTGTACAGGTTATGATCTTTGTTAGCAATCTTGCACTCAAGCATTCAAAAACAAAACTGCCAATGAAGAGGATCCACATGGGTTTCTGCACTCACCAATGCTGGCCAGAATGGATAAGTTCTATATTTGTGCCACACAAATGCACCTGCTGTGATAGAGGGCGGCTCTGAAGGATAGAAGTACAAGTATTGAAGTACTTAATATAGAGTCTGTGGTCATAATATGTAGTCGAATGCATCTGTATTCAGTCACTGATTTCTCACTCACTTTTGTCCTCCTGCATCAAGAAACTTGGTAATTCCTCTTCTTCCTCGTCTTCACTTTCTATGTCTTCTTGGATGGACAAAGACAAAAGCTGCTCCTCATGATGACTCAGCTCTATTGATAGATCTGAAGATAGCAAAGACTCATCGTTGTCTGGGGGTGGGACAAAGACAATGATGTAGCAAAAAAAAAATCAATAAGACACTTTCAATCATCTAGATTTTTACAGTAACAGCGTTTCCATAGATGTAATATGGATTCTTGCAGCCTCATAATTCTGAAGAGTATCTCAAATTTTTAATTCAACATCAAACAGACAATACCTTCCTCCGGTTCAAATCTTGGTCTTGAGTGTCCGGATGATTTTGCGTTGACATCCTTCTGCAAACTTCCTGCTTTGATCCTGCCTCGCCGCCGTTTAGCTGGTGCACCATTTGTATCAACGCAAGTCTGCTCTTTGGTCACCCTTTTTCTCGCTCGCACAGGCTTGGAGGCCTTAACCCCTCTTCTTGTAGTTTGAGAGTTCGATCCAGTGCTGGGTGAGTTTATCTCTGATGTCTGCAGAGGAGCACGAGAAGCAGAAGTTTGAGATTATCACTGATTATAAGTGCAATAACTGAAAAGTGTAGCCAGATACATAATCTCATAATCTACCAATACATAGGATATAGGATAAACACCTCTAACTGAGTGCAGATTTTCTTGCATCTCCGCCCCTTTCGTTTGGACCCTAAAGGGGACTCTGAAATATCAGACAGGAGGTCAGTGGAGGAGCTGTGGACTGGTGTGGAAGTCAGACAAGCTTCTGGAGTCTTTTCTGTTGGCACCCTCCTTCTTTTTGGAGTACATGGTGAGGAGCTCGCCGCCAAAGCATTGTCAGGCACCGCTTCTGATTCGTCTGAGGCTTGAGGTGAAACAGTGGCTGTGGTGGCTCTTTTTGATGATGTCCTCTTAGGTTGTGTTTTCCTTTTTTTCTGAGATCGCACTGAAAAATCACAAGGCACCATGACTCAAAAATAGCAGTCTGCTGATATTTCTTTAACTGCAGATGCTAATAGCAATAAATAGAGAGCTGGACAGCCAATGGCCAATATATGACGCTTATACCATGTTGTTGTTTTGTTTTGCATTTATCGTAATACAGCATTTTAACAGTATAATCTAGTGTACATTGTTTTATCCAGTAGCAAGATTCAGGTGAAATTTCTAATTAGTCAAGAAAACAGAAAAAGGAAAAAATATAGAGTTATGCTGCACATCTCTGAACATGACTGTATTTATGCCAGAAGCAACCTTAAACTTGGCTACATTATTCAACACATCATAACAGGATTATATTTAATGCTAGTGAGAGAAAAATTGTATGTGTATGCTATCACATTTGTATTTTATCATTATGTTAATCATCATTTATTGAAAAATCACTTGGCGTGAATGCTTGCAGGATTATATCTGTTTCTTTATAATGAGCATGGGAAAGGAGAGGTATGGCCTTGGAGTTGGGACTGATACTTTTCCGCTGAAGTCATGCAAGTAGATGAATGCTACAATTTCACCCCACAGATTGTTTTCCCAACAGTGTGACATTGAACTGATAAGCAGGAACCTGATGATGAACTAAACTGTCTTTGTCTTCCCAGTACAGATCACAGCTGCAACCTTTACCCTATTTGGATACTGTTGTAATGTCATGCCACTTGTGAGATGATGTTAGTGGGTGAAAGTGTCTGTTTATTGACTGCATAAAGGATGTGTAAAAATCTGAATTCCTCAGTCAGAGGAAGCTGCCTTTGTTGTAAGCTGCTGACTCCTCGCAAGTAAAAGATATTCTGTCATTCTTCTCAGCTGGCTGCAAGTCAGATGCAGTGTTATTTTTCTGACAGCTAGTCAGCACCTGTAATGGATTTGGTGCCATATACGTAGATTGGGAAAACTTTGTTATTAGTAGGGGGACATGAACATTGCTCAACAGCCACCCAGGCAGAGCTGCCTGCAGTGTCTACAAAGATTATTTATGTTTTTAAACAGGCCTTGTGAGAACATGAATTTGCCTTATTATTTTAAAATATCATCAGAATACCATCAATCAGCCCAAACACCTTTTCTGTCTCTTATCATAAAATCATTTCCAGCTCCAACAACATCTATAAAAAGAAAGCTTTGACTCTATTTATGAGAAAAAAATGACACGTTTGCATGTTAGTTGACCTTTCATTGTTGGTTGAGATGGTGTAGTCCTTCCTTCTCCTCTTCACTTGATCATGGGCCAGCAGGAATCCAGAGCTGGCATTTAGGAAGGCTGATCTCCTTCACCTGGACTTACAGTGGTGCCGGTACCCGTCTGAAGACAGAAACAGTCCGGACATCAAAAACATCAGATAGTTTCACTCCGCCATGTAATGCGAATAATCGGAAAGCGTGTTGCCACGGAAATAGGGTCAAAAGTTCACGTCAGTTTGCTGCCATAGAAATAATGTCCTGTATGTTCAAGATAACGTAGCAGCACATTCACAACAGATGTGCCAAACAGCCAAGCATTTGGGGGTTACTTAACTGGCATTTAATTACTTTAAAAAACAAAACAAAAACATGTGTAACCGCGCACAAGCTTTAATAACACCCGAAACACTATCACAGGTAGCTAACACGGTGAGAGCAAAACAACGCCAGCGGGTTGCTAGAGAACGAGCTCATGCGTGACATGAGAGTTGCAAAGCACGCTAATGTATTAGTAAATAAAGCAACAAACATACCGACGACACCATCAACAGTGACAGTGAGCAAAGTTATCTGCAGAGTCAGCAGCGCTAGCCTGGCTCACGTTGCAGAAAACAAAAACACGACGACGTTCAGGAGATTCTCAGCAAAGATCTTACAACGCAAAAAGACCCAGTAAGTAAAAATATCAAACGACAGGTACAACTAAACACAAAACAGGCTACTTTTGGCACATTCACGCCTCTACACTATGGCTGATTAAGTCATCTCCGAATTGAGAGTTATTCTTCTTCTGTCTGCCTAGCTGACTCGTGGTTGTCAAACAGCGTTACCCCATATTACTGCCACCTATGTTGGAGTGTGCACCAGTATTAGCCAATCTCCAAACCATGTACTGTTTAAAGAAAACCACACCATATGGGCTACAGTCTATGCCCAAACACATAAACTCTGTGTACATGTGTTTATCACTAACATTAAACTCTTAGGAGTCTCCACTTTCTCTTTCGAAAGTGTTACTGAATTTATTTACTGATGGTAAGCAACACTTCCATGTAAAGCCTCCTTATTTTCTTATAAAAATGTTTAATCTTCCTGTGAGATGTCTTTTATTAAGGGAAGTGTGACTGATATGCTCTATTTTGACTCTATCAAGGGACGGATCCAGGGGGTGGCCAGGGTGACATGTTGTCCTCTGAAATCCTGTTGGCCACTGCTCCCAAAAACCGCCTCAATTCTGAAACTAGGATTGGCTATTTTCCTTGACGGAGGCAGGAGTCAGGGCTCACAATCAATCAACCACAGGGTTTTAAGATGTGTTTCACAGCAGATCGTGACTGGCTTTCTTTGCATTTCTTTCGCAAAGTTACATTTAACTTGATCAACTAAAAAATTAGTGTACAAACTTATAATTTACAGTTCTATAATCATAAAATATCTAATAATTATAACAATAAGTATTATTATTATATTGTTATAAGTATTAGACTACTTTTTGACCTATTTATAACTTATATCAGAGATAAAAAGGATATAGACATTCATTTGTGTGTGCATATAGTCAAAATTTTAAAGTTTGCGTAATGAAATTCTTTGAAAATGTCATGAATATCATGAAAAGCACAAAACAATCCTCTTGATCAGTTACTTTGATAGCTATCATGTTGCTGTTGTACTGCTTTCAATGCTCTTTTTGTAATGTTGGTGTATTTAGGATCATAACCTTTGAGGGGAAAGTATGGTTACCTTTCAAAGTAGCATAATTAACCTCTGGAAAAGATCCACAAGGAAATCTTGTGTTGAAAGATGTCAGTTCAGTGAACAAACTTAATTAAGAGCAAAGTGTTCTCTTTGCAGATAAAGTTATTTTGTCCAAGTTTTACTAATCCATACACAGTTTTTACTGTCAAAACTTCCGTTAGGCTACTGTTAAAGTGTTTGCTTGTACAGTGCACGTCTTTTCCTCAAACCCCCCACTTTTCATGACCTCAGCACGAAAGTAAATAGTAAAATCTACTGGTTTATAAATGAGGTTTCATCTGAGTAGTACAGTCATATATACTGCTGGGAAGAAAGCTTGTAATAATACTTAAAACAGAAATATTCCCTCAAATGTCCTTCAGTGCTGCATAAGTGTTACATTACTGCCATCTACTGGAGCTACCTTGCTTCTGCACTGCACCCCCAAGCAAAGGTGGCCTCATCTCCTTGTTTAATAATTGATTAAATTTACTTTTTTTTAACTTTTATTATGTGTGCATAATCTTAAATTATCATTATATTAGTGCAAATGACTGGATACAAAATGTTACTGTTTCCAGGTGTGTCACTGATCAGGCATTGTTTTATACAGCTGCTTTCCCCACAGTGATAGGTCATAGTTTTAGTATTATATCTGCAACCTGCGACACATTTTCAGAAAGATGAAATCCAGAAAAATGACACTCAACATGAAATGCATAAAGCAGCTCTGCATTGTTTGACTTCACATATGGCTGCTCTGTGTCTCAAGTGATAACTATAATACAACAGTAGAGGGCACTGCGCAACCACTGATATACTGCTCTGTTTTAACATTCAGAGGTTCATCATTTCTTCAGTGTGTCAACTCAACAGTGTCTCCAATTTACAAGAAGACATTTCAAGTTAATACCTATTTATTTTCACCTTTATAATGTAGTTGATCAGAGTTTTACACTCTTTTTCTGGCACAACATTTTATTAACTTAACATATATGAGCCCAGGTCCCCTAAGACACCCTCACGTTGAAAATGAGGGCATATGATAAAAAATCAGTGATTCATAGAGGTGTTAGTTTTGCTCTGGAGTTATGACTTTATTTCACTGATCTATTTCTGGTAAAAAAAAAAATGCTATGCTTAAATGCCTATGTGGTGTCTTAGATGTCTCCAAACTGCTGGCAATACAACTGTGGACAGAAGACATGCTTTATTTCTCTTTTATGATTAAAAAACCCCCCGGATTTTATTAAGCCATCTACAGTTTATATTAATTCAGTTTCATTTTATTTATTTGTTTTTTTTGCAATGTAAAGTCAAAGCAATGTAATGTGTTTCACCCTCTTATCCCTCAAACCCATAGTTATAGAGAAATAAGTGAATAAGAGGCGGAATACACCTATGAGACAGCAATACAGACTGTAAAAATACATTAAATAAATAGATAAACATGAGACACAAATGTATCAGCAAACACTGTGTCAAGAGTATGCTATTTTTACATGGGACTGCTGTTTTTATGTTTTGGACACATCTATAAACAGAAAAAAATGGAAAACCAAATTACAAAGCCCAAACTTAAAGTAAACAACAATACAGCCTTGTATTGATAATTTTGAGAAAATTAATATATATAACATTAAAAACAGTTAAAGTTTTCTGTTTTGTTTCATCATCTTTCGTTAAATCCCTTAATTCCCACTTGAGTAGCTTGGCCACTTGGACTTGAGAGTCCAGGTTTAAGCCCTTTTGGCAGAGCTAAGGCAAACACAGAGTCCCATCATCCTGAACATCCTCATTTAAAGCTACAAGGATCCATATCGCTCAGTTTCAACAGGCAGCAGCCCACCAGCCACTCAGCTTGGAGCTCCCTGACTGTATATTGGCGCGTGGTGGCTGAGGGGCCGGTGGCTCCGCCCTCATCCAGATGTGCGGCTCTCTCTCCGGTCTCTCCAGTCCTCTGCTGGCGTCAGCAGAGTGCGGAGCCTCGGGGAGTCAACAGGAGACAAACACTTTAAGTAGAGAAAAGGAGGAAGTGGCTCATTTGAGCGGTGGTCTGCGCCTATCAGATCTCCCCCAATTTACGGAGTCGTGACTTTGGTCTGCAGTTCACAAGGCGGAGTTGAGGTTTTGGTTTTGGTGTCACCTGTCCGGTCTGAGACGCAGCGAGGATGGAGAGAGGCAGGACTGAGACAGAGCCTCAGTGAGCGCAGAGAGGAGGACTCTGCCGGTCTGCTGAGAGGGAGCGGTCTGATTTCTTCCTCTACGACCTGTGAGACCAGGAGGCTTTCAAGAGGAGCTTGGAGTGGAAGGGGACAAACAAGAAGAAAAAAACACCATCTAGGATTTTTCTCCTCTTTTTAGCCGACGGGATAGGGATGTACCCGGTGTCCACATGCATTTGAGAGTGGCATGAGGTTGCCTCCACATTAGGAAGAGCACACTGCAGGCGCGTGCGGTTAATTGAAATCGATCAAGTGGTCTCATTTTTGGATGTAAAGCCGCAGCAAAGGTTTCTTTTCCTCTCCTCCCCTCCTCTCCTCCCCTTCCTCCTCCTCCTCCTCCTCCTCTCACCTGCAACATGACTTCACTGTCGGGGACCAAGGAGAGGTCTGTGAGCAGCCGAAGCAGAAAATATGGGGTAGGTCATTATGCCAGAGAAGGGGTGGACACACCTCTGATAAGCATGAAACTTATGAATCCCATCCAGTGACGCATGCTCATCATTTCACATGAGCCTCCTATCCTGACAGGACACTGTAGTTTGCTCTCAGAAAAAAACATTGCCCAAGCTGTAGATTGATTGCTTTGTGAATATCAAATTTCCCACATCACTGCTCATGGTGTCACAACAGCAGCATGCATCTCCACTGATAGGTCTCACATATCTATTAATTATCACTCAGTGAAGCCCGAGCAGCTAAATCTGGGATGTTACTCTCACACCTGTGTCACTGCCTGCCTCCTACAGTCTAATTAGCGGTAATTTATAACACAGGGTTGGCTCACACTACACCTGCCTCTGCACTTGGAAATGATTGAGCACCAACAGTGTCAGCTCCACTCACATACTTTTCTTATTATGGCCCTGGTGTAACAGCAGCTACACATCCCAACCTCAGCCATGATGTGACTGCTCTTTTTATGGAATAATCTAGCTGCATAAAGATCTTGTTTTAAACTCCTTGTGGCTGTGTATAGAGAGGAAAATAACAGCTACTTGTAATCTGACATGATACTGTTGAGATGGTCCAATAAGCACCCACCATGTAACCTGTCACAACTCAAACTACAGCATAAGATATAAGATATTTTCGGTAATTCTGTATTTTTTCTATCACACTGCACTGCACAAAACCATATTCTACTGTACTGTATCAAATTGTGATGAACTGTATCCTATTTCAACGTATCCTACCTGTCCTATTCTGTTGTTTTGCACTTGTATGAATTGTGTCATATCATGTCTTAAATAATCCTATTGCATCCTGTCCTATCCTAACATATCCTAATATCCTGTTGTTGTACACTGTATCATATCATATCGTATCGTATCAAATCGTATTGTATTGTATTGTATTGAATCATCCTGTCCTATCCTATACTATCCTATCATATCCTGCTATCCTATTGCTGTTCACTGTATCATGTCATATCGTATCGTATTGAATCATTCTGTCCCATCTTATCCTATTCTATACCTTCTACTCTCTTCTTTCCTTACTTATTGTTCTACATTTTAAAGTATCATATAGCACTGTCTTGCAATTCATTGTGACATGATATGATGCGACATGTATCGTCACAGAAAGTGGTTCTGGTATTGAATTGTCTGGCCATGATTAAGCCTTAGTATTAGTTAAGATTCTGCTCCCAAGCATCTAGTCCACAGGTCCAGGTATTTGCCATTTCTTTATTGATGTAAAGAAGGCTTAACCTGGACACTGAAGCTCTTAGCCAGGTTATTCTTTTGACGTATAATAACTTGTTTCTCACTTTACACACCTTTGTCAAAAGTTTGTCACATATATCATGAGGTTTATAGACTTCTGAACTGAATACACAGGTAGCTGTGGGTCAGCACCAGAGTTGACTGTCCTTCTGTCAGCAGGTTGGTGGTTTGATTCTTGCAGCTACATGCTGCTTTGCAGGCATATTGGAAATATCCAGGCATTTAATTTTGCCTTTAATAAGTGCAACTGTAGAGGGCTGTAGATATTGACAAAATACAGCCTGTCTCCATGGGACAACTTATACTTTCCAGAGCCTAAAAGCTAAGTGATAATTAAGTATAATCTTAATGATGATATTAGTGCAGGCTCAGAATAATTCATTCCTGTATCCGTATCATTGGCTGAGGCCTAGAAGTACAAAAGCTGTGGGGCATTAAGCCTTTGTAATTGATATTATTCATGCCTTTGATGGTCTTTTCATGAAATCTGTGCAGCTTAAAAAAGCTTATTTGCAAGTTTCCTTCTTCACAGGTGCCTGATACTTCTCCGACCAAATCTGCCTCTATTTTCCCGGACACATGGTACCGAAAGGCCTACGAGGAAACCAATCGCTCCAACATGCGCCCCGCCCCAGAGGGTGCCGGCTCCATGCCAAGCTCCACAGGCACCCCCTCTCCAGGCTCTGGAATCTCCTCCCCAGGGTCCTTCTCAGGATCCCCTGGAACCATCTCTCCAGGGATCGGAACAGGATCACCGGGGTCTTTGGGTGGCTCTCCAGGGTTTGGGACTGGATCTCCGGCCTCAGGCAGTGGAAGTTCCCCTGGCAGTGAGAGAGGGATTTGGTGTGAAAACTGCAATGCTAGACTGACGGAGCTGAAAAGGCAGGCTCTGAAACTGCTCATCCCTGGACCGTACTCCAGCAAGGTAACACCCGCTCTGTCTGCTTTATCTGTCTGAGTTATGATGTGTGCAGATGAGTGTGTGAATCCTATTTCATTTGATTTAAACTACCTGTTGTATCACTAGGCGGTCAGCTGGCTGAGCTCAGTACATTAGCCCTCAAAAATAACCTGTTCCTTTATTAACTGTGGCATTTGGACAGTGACACTTTGATGCTCATAAAGGATAGTGCCTCTAATCATTGCCTTGTTTAGGATTATTGTTCTCATAAATCATGAGGATGCTTTCATATGCCCAACCCTCATTTGACCATCTGTGAAAGGAGCAGGGAGCAAACAGCCCTGGGGATTTCAGATGAATATTGTGAAGTCATTGTTTATTACCACACACACACACACACACACACACACACACACACACACACACACACACACACACACACACACACACACACACACAAATGATGATGTGTCCCTTTTGGTTTCCATTGTTGCTGATTGATAATTTTCTCAAAATCTATGAGTTGCTCTTCATCGTTTTTCTCATTTGAAGAAAAATAATATGATGGATTGCTGGATGACATCGATCCCTTATCTGAATCCATATAAATTGATGGTTGTCTCTAATTGTTAATGATGGGTGTCTTTTTCCCTGTATAATCAATTTTAATTCCATGAGGATAATGATTCTCAGAGGACAGATCATGAGCTTAAGACTGGTGTAAGATGATAAATGATGCAGTATTTCATCTCTGATTTTAGTTTGCGGTATACTACGATGGTAAAAGAGCAGCAGGTTGTGTTGTTGCACTTTGGTCAGACAGATATTTTGTAGACAATGAAGTACATTTCAGTTTTCACAGGGGCACAGCTGTTAAAAAAATAAGTTATTATGCATGTAGAAGGTATTAAGAATAAAAATCCCGAACGCCCTCTTGGCAGGGCTTTGACTCTGCATAATTTTAAAACATGTTGCCTCTGGGTTCAATGATCTCCTGCTGCAGTTGGCTGGCTTTTAGTTATGTGTACAGTGGAGCCACTCATCAGACTTGCAGTTAATTGGTAACAAATAAGCTCACATTATGCAGCAAGGGGCTAATAAAGTGCATCCAGCCAGAGGGAGTCAGATGCAGGCAGACAGTGGGACAGAGGACTTACTGTACAGCCAGTACACAGGGACTGAGGTGAGGACTGTAGGGTCTCATTAAACCACAAACATGACAGTTGGAAATTGTTAGGAACAGTGGGGTTAATGTGGATGGTCGGTGGGCAGACCACTAATTAAAATGTTAGTTGTGAGGTTTGTGGGGCTGATTAGTGCTCTAACATTGTGGTTAGCTTTACTGCACAGTAGAATGAGCACAGAGGCACAACATAAAGTAGCATAATTGGTGTTTTCATTTGGTTTTCTGTGTAAGTGCTTATTCCACATGGAAACTGGCTAACACTGTGGTATGCACTGCTGAACAGTTATGGGGTTTTCAAGAGCTGGAATATCTCCCTCTGCTCGAGATCGTAGAGCTCTTATCTGTGTGTGCTTGACAGACTCAAAACAAGTGTGAATGGGAAAATTTGCAGAGGAAGTGGGAGTGGAAAAATCAGCAGAGCTATGTACACAAGTGTATACTACACCATACAAATTGGATATTTTCATGGTGATTTACTTCCAGATGAGGAACCATGGGCCCCTCTTATTGTGTGGTCCTCATGAGGGATTCTTTCACAGTTCTTTCATCTGTTGAGTCCTATGACTCAGGATGATTTGGTGGATTCATACAGCCTTCCATGAATGTAAGGCAACTATAGTGAGTTTAAATGAAGTAACAGTGGTTTTGTACATACCTGATTGTAGTTGATGTGTGGTATGGTAAAAGTTAAAATAAATGGCCCTGCTAAATCTACAGATGATGATGAGACAAATTTAAGACAACTAAGCCCTTCTGGATGTCCATGATTTTATACTGATGGCAATTCAGCAGCTGCATTACATCAGATTTAGCATTGCTTAGCGGGGTAAGAATTAAACAATCCAACAGTGTTTTCCAGTCATTTTAGCTGCTCAGGACTTCCTGTTACTGTCTTTCTATGAGGTTTCTTTTTCGTGGTCTCCTTACAAGAGTGGACTGACCTGTGCAGGTGGTTTGTGTCAGGGAAAAGCTGAACTCATGTCCTTGGTGAGGCAATGTGACCCAATAATCTGTCTGCCTCACCAAATGTGCCAGAGCAGCACTAAAGCCACTCTTTGTGTGTGTGTGTGTGTGTGTGTGTGTGTGTGTGTGTGTCTGCCCCTGGCCCTTCCCACTGTGCTGTCAGCAAGAAAGCCTGTGTTATACCCACAGGACACAGGGACACATGTGACCCCTCACAGCTCTTATTCAAAACACACACACTTCACCAACCAATCTGTTGTATGTCTCCAACACACACAAATGCGAGCGAGCGTGTATAGATTAGTATTCATTTACACACATGTACATACTCACACACCTCTGAACCATGTGACACCGTCCCTGTCTGTGAATGAGATACATGATATTTCATACTAGGTCCCCCCCACAGCCAAATACACTTACGTGGA